TCATATACCTTATTTGCTTATTTGCAATGACCTCAGTCTCGATTACTTTCTTACAGAAGACATCATAAGACTTCTCGTACACTGATGTAGATCTTTCAATCTCCAATTGCTTCTTTGTCTCTCTGGTGAGAAATTTTGTATAATTGCAGTAGCAAACTTTGTGATAGGGGACTTCCAGTGCTACACAGTCTTTCCCCCGGATTTGCACAAGTATCCGTTCATCATTCTTTCTCGGCAGCTGTACGTAGAAGACCAGCATCAATTATTTCTGCCAACATGAGTGGGGTTCTTTTTCTCTTCTTAGTTACCTGGTGTGAACAAAACTATTAAACTAAATATCTGCTAATAACACAGTTGGATGTTTGTAGCATTAAAAACTATTTTACCCTAAATAAACTTAATTGACCACAATTCAAGATATTTTAAAACCAAACTCGAGAATGCTGTGCTACTAGTACACATTGCACTATTGCACTAGTATAATTATATCTATCAAAATGACCATACCTTGTCTAGTGAGGACCAAGAGGCGTCTCTTCCACAAACAATACATATCTCTGGACTCGTTTCTTTTAGGCAAGGTCTTATTAACGCCTGCGACTGATTGGCGTGTAATTTTTCGTCTTGGTTCTATTGGTTCCACTTCCACATGTAGTTCTTCGGTAGAAGTTACAGTTTTAGAGCTAGTTCCTTCTCCTTTTTCTTCTTTTCGCTGTTGTCTACGGATATTCTCTTCATCAGAAAATCTCTTCCAGCATTTCATACGATGGTACCATTCTAAGTTAATGCTGTCAGGGTTCTTCTCCTGTTCTCCATGTATGAATTGACAGATCCGTCATCGATGTTCTCGTACGATTTCTTAGCTATTTCAGCTTGTTGACATTTAAGTTTGGCCCATTTAGACCTACACTCAAGACATTTCTTAAGCCCTTGGCGTGTAACTTTGCAAAGTTGCTCCGTAACGCCAACAAAATGAATAAAACATGAGGATATTCGAGTTTTATAAATATTTTCAGCCATGATTGTTTTGCATAACTAAGCGTGTTTCCTTTGAAGCATGTGCGTGCTTATGCGCGTGCGCAGTGCGAGTTTGGCTGACAAGCGCATGCGTATTTGCTACTAAAACAATGGCGGTTCGAATATTTCGAAGCGCGAATATATAAAACTTTGGAGGGATTGTTCTCCCAATTGTGCACCTGTTTCGCTTGGGGAACAACGGATTCTGATAAAGTAAATTTTTATCTATTGATTCATGTGAAAATTATGTAGTTCCACGAGGGGTGCAACGGAATCCGTTTTCTAAGCATCTTTTGGATGCTCATCCTACGGCCTATGTTGATGATGACGTCCAGATGGAATGATTTTTGTAAAATGAGATTTATTCAAACAAGCAGTTTGACAAAACATAAATAATTTTTTTTGGAGAGAAACTTTATAAATGTGGTTTGTCTGAGACGAGTTTTTTACATAACAAGTAATAAGACATCACAGATACAAGTTGGTGAGATATCTCATGAATGTGATATTTGTAAGAAGAGATTTTCACAGAGTATTGATAATTTAGTTAGACATGAAAGAACACATATTCGAGATGACATAATGTGAGGACTGAGTTAGTTAACCATTGAAAAACCAAGAAACTCTATCTGAACTCTTCAAGTTAATATTTTGTTGTAGTAGTAAAATAGCAAGTGACGGTTTATATGGAGACTGGGCTAGCATGGTAGCAACAAAGCCTTGTAAGCAAAGTGAATTACCTTTACATTTGTGAGAAAATGCTTATTCTAATTTCCTAGGCATTTCCTGTTTTTAAAGTAGTTAAAAATATTTTTCAATGGCACCCTTGAGCTACCATGCCTGTAGGCCAGGATATAGTATTAAGATTCTCTTCCCTATAAATCAGGGGAGATTCATATTATAAATGCATCGTAGGCTCTGGGTACGAGACTGGCTATTGGCTCCTTCCTATCCTTCCACGTGTTATATTTTGCGCTGGAGCGTAACTATACTGATTATAAAATCCGCTGAGATCTGCGATCAACACTGACCTCACGAAGAGTCTGGACTAATCAGTTTAGATGATCATTTAGAACATTTTCTCCAATACTTGTTAAGACTTGGTTTTCTGGTTTACCCAAAAGATATATAAATGAATGAGAAGAAAAAGGTGTTGGCGAAAACCTCGTACACAGCAAGCAATTCCTTCGTAGAGATCAGAGATAAAAAATATTCATAAACATGAAAATACAAACAAAATTTCCACTTAACAATTTTTTAAATTCAGAAAACACCCTAACAATATCAATATGATCTTGGAGGTTGTTTATATGGAGATTGGACATGCTTGTTAATTTTATAGTAAAAATTACCATCGTTCGCAAGGAGCTATTTTCCATTTTTCAATATTGATTTTCTTCACTGTGCCTTTCAAAAGAATTTACTTTTTTCCTCTTGAGATCATGAGATGGATTTAAAATCAGGAAGGTATCGCTTTGGTAAGAAGAGACTTTCAAAGCGTGGGGTTTTGGTTAGTCATCAAAGAACACACACTGGTACACACACTGTAGTGGTTTGGTTAGGCATCAAAGAACACACACTGGAGAGAAACCTTATGAATGTGATGTTTGTAAGACGAGATTTTCTGATTGTAGTAGTTTGGTTAGTCATCAAAAAACACACACTGGAGAGAAACCTTATGAATGTGATGTTTGTAAGAAGAAATTTTCGCGTGGTACTGATTTGGTTAGGCATCAAAGAACACACACTGGAAAGAGACCTTATGAATGTGATGTTTGTAAGAAGAGATTTTCACATGGTAGTAGTTTGGTTAGTCATCAAAGAACACACACTGGAGAGAAACCTTATGAATGTGATGTTTGTAAGAAGAAATTTTCACAGGCTGCTAATTTGGTTAGTCATCAAAAAACACACACTGGAGAGAAACCTTAGGAATGTGATGTTTGTAAGAAGAAATTTTCACGCGGTACTGATTTGGTTAGGCATCAAAGAACACACACTGGAGAGAAACCTTATGAATGTGATGTTTGTAAGAAGAAATTTTCTGATGGTAGTAATTTGGTTAGTCATCAAAGAACACACAGAGAACAGAAACCTTATGAATGTGATTCTTGTAAGAAGAGATTTTCACGCGGTAGTGATTTGGTTAGTCATCAAAGAACACACACTGGAGAGAAACCTTATGAATGTGACGTTTGTAAGAAGAGATTTTCACGTGGTAGTCATTTGCTTAGGCATCAAAGAACACACACTGGAGAGAAACCTTATGAATGTGATGTTTGTAAGACGAGATTTTCTGATGGTAGTAATTTGGTTAGTCATCAAAGAACACACAGAGGACAGAAACCTTATGAATGTGATGCTTGTAAGAAGAGATTTTCACGCGGTAGTGATTTGGTTAGACATCAAAGAACACACACTGGAGAGAAACCTTATGAATGTGATGTTTGTAAGACGAGATTTTCTGATGGTAGTCATTTGGTTAGACATCAAAGAACACATACTGGAGAGAAACCTTATGAATCTGATATTTGTAAGAAGAGATTTTCTTATGGTAGTAATTTGGTTAGTCATCAAAGAACACACACTGGAGAGAAACCTTATGAATGCAATGTTTGTAAGACGAGATTTTCTGATAGTAGTAGTTTGGTTAGACATCAAAGAACACACACTGGAGAGAAACCTTATGAATGTGATGTTTGTAAGAAGAAATTTTCACAGGCTGCTAATTTGGTTAGTCATCAAAAAACACACACTGGAGAGAAACCTTATGAATGTGATGTTTGTAAGAGCCAATTTTCACTGAAAGGTAATTTGGTTAAACATCAAAGAACACATACTGGAGAGAAACCTTATGAATCTGATATTTGTAAGAAGAGATTTTCTTATGGTAGTAATTTGGTTAGACATCAAAGAACACACACTGGAGAGAAACCTAATCAATGTGTTGATGATGACGTCCAGATGGAATGATTTTTGTAAAATGAGATTTATTCAAACAAGCAGTTTGACAAAACATAAATAATTTATTTTGGAGAGAAACTTTATGAATGTGGTTTGTCTGAGAAGAGTTTTTTACATAACAAGTAATAAGACATCACAGATACAAGTTGGTGAGATATCTCATGAATGTGATATTTGCAAGAAGAGATTTTCACAGAGTATTCATAATTTAGTTAGACATGAAAGAACACATATTGGAGATGACATAATGTGAGGACTGAGTTAGTTAACCGTTGAAAAACCAAGGAACTCTATCTGAACTCTTCAAGTTAATATTTCGTTGTGTTTACGTAGTTAAATGGCAAGAGGCTGGTTATATGGAGACTGGGCTAGCATATGGTAGCAACAAAGCCTTGTAAGCAAAGTGAATTACCTTTACATTAGCAAGAAAATGCTTATTCTACTTTCCTAGACATTTCATGTTTTAAAGAAGTTAAAAATATCTTTCAATCGCACCCTTGAGCTACCCTGCCTGTAGGCCAGGATATAGTATTAAAATTCTCTTCCCTATAAATCAGGGGAGATTCATATTATAAATGCATGGTAATTTTTACTATAAAATTAACAAGCATGTCCAATCTCCAGATAAACAACCTCCAAGATCATATTGATATTGTTAGGGTGTTTTCTGAATTTAAAAAATTGTTGAGTGGAAATTTTGTTTGTATTTTCATGAATATTTTTTATCTCTGATCTCTACGAAGGAATTTCTTGCTGTGTGGAACACACACTGGAGAGAAACCTTATGAATGTGATGTTTGTAAGAGGAGGTCTTCTTATGGTTGTAATTTGGTTAGTCATCAAAGAACACACACTGGGGAGAAACCTTATGAATGTGATGTTGGTAAGAAGAGATTTTCACATGGTAGTGATTTGGTTAGTCATAAAAGAATGCACGCACACTTGAGAAAAACTGTATATCCTGGAACCTGTCTATACATTTGATAAAGAGGTCAAACACTTGGATCAGAGCAACTTACCAAATTCCAAGCATCCAGTTTTGTTCTGAGATCTTTTTCTTTCTCAATAAGTGACAGATTGTCTTTTAGCTAGTATTAATAATGAAATGATGACATTTTGAGATAACTTTCATAGTTTTATTCTTTAAGCACCTATTTTTCCCAGAAGCTAAGTTAAAGGAAGTTTTTTGGATGGAATTATTTGAGTTTAAAATGCACCAAAGCTGCAAGGGAAATAAAAGTAACTCTGCCAGAATTTTACAAAAGAGGATTAAAATTATAGACAGGGGCGCCGGAATATCGATTATAACGGGGGCAGATATTCATATATTCGTGTTCGCAGATCGTAAAAACAATCGATTTCAAAAGGAGTTAATAATGCAGAACACGAATATATGAATATCTGCCCCCGTTATTATCGATATTCCGGCGCCCCTGATTATAGACTCCTTTTGGCAAAGTCAGAGTTTGCATGCAAAAGAAAATAAAACTTGGGTTGCTAACACTAGCAACTGTATTCAAATCACATCCTTGATTTTGTAAGGTGTCACCTTAAACTCACTATATATAAATATATATTAAAGTTGTCAGGTAGCGTATTTGTTTGTTACGGTATTGTCTGTATTTTATATGGCAATAAGATTAAGTGTTTTCAATAGCAAGATTGAACAATGTTTTTCTGTCTAGTTTATTTTCATTGTGGATTTACATGGAGGGTGCATGTACCCGCAATAATTTTCAGTGTAAACCACTAATTTTTTTTTAATGGTAGTTAACCAAAGTTATACTTCTATATTATAATTCATCATTACAGAACTGCTACCCAACGCAATAGACTTTTCCCGTAATGATGTAAAATGCGTAAAGCCTAACCTTATACAAGGAGTTTGATTGGCTGCACAAAAATAACCAATTAAATGTGACGTTAGACTTTCCATGTTTGACGTCATTATGGGGAAAGTGTATAGATCTTAGGTACTGTAACCCAGAACCTAACCTTATAAACTGAATCAAGTTCTTTAATTAGTTGTAATCGTTGTGAACAAGTCATTTTCACTGATTAGAAAGAGTCTGGATGTAAATTTGTCTTCATTTCTGTATTCAAATCTTGCATTGTTGACTGCATGCACTTAGAAATATTCTATCACATATCATGCAGCCACCTTGACTTGAAATGTTCACGACACTCACAACTAAATAAAAGCCACTAGGCTTTACTTTTAGACATACCTTATACTGGGGAAAACCAAGAATTTCACCAAGTTCTGCTAACTCTTCTCTATATCTTTCAGTGTTCTTCACCAATTCGTTTAATAAATTTTCCTCGTCATTTACCATGTCGGACAACAGTTCACTGATGTAGTTAATGACGGCATCAACACGGTCTTGTTGTGCGGACGCACTGATCCCCATTTGGATCCATATCGACTGCAGTTTTTCTGTGAACTCTGGTGAAATTTCTGTAAACTTATCCAAAATCAACTGAGTTGAACAGATGTCATTATAGACAAGGCTGAAATGAAAAGTTAGAAACTTAATTACAATAACAGCGATCTGTTGGAGCTATAATCTAGCTCAAAATTGCAAAGAGATATATATAGTAGTTATAAAAATGAGAAGCTATAATCTTATCATACATATAAAGTTCGCCAACTTTTTTTAATAGAATACACAAGAAAACGTTTTCCACGATTTTAGAATAATTTACCGAATTAGACAGTCTTAAAAATTTAGGAAGTTTTCTTGAATAATTTACAGAGTTGTTTGAACTATTTGAAGGAACGATTTATAAAGAAACTGTTCAAGATATCGATCACAAAACACACAAATGCAGAAATGCGTGGTACATTTATACATACAAATAGTCAAATACAGAATGTTGTACACTACAAAATCATGTATTCTCAACAAAAATGCGCAAATATTTCTTACTATTGAACACTCATCGCTGTGTCTTTCTCTTCAGCATCAATTGTAAAGTCTGATTAATCTGTTCTGGAAGTAAAAAGGAAGTTTTAAAGAGCAGAAATACTTTGTTGAAATCTCAAGCGATTTGGACAAAAAACCTGAATTTGAAAATTCCTCCAAAACACTGGATCACGTGAAGCTATTCTGCCGTTCCTATTGGTCAGGAACGTAAGTTCGATTCCAACATGAAGTATCCCCGAAAAACAACAAAATATTTCGAAATCCAAAACATGGCTGCCTCTGATTTGAAATGCGTCGCGATTATCGGTGAGTTTTCGATGATTATGTTAAACGATTGTTGAAAACGAGGACTGCAATGTAGATTATGATTTATGAAGAATGATTTGATGGGAATGATCATCGCGATTGGACGGTATGATTGTTGTAAACAAGGGTTTTCGATACCGGAAGTTTAGAAATGTCATTGATGGGTTCGCAAGTTGCAACTCGAGTCTACTTCAAAAAGCTATTCGCGAGCGTTCTCGTTAAACCATCAGCTTGCAGTACACCGAAGCCTGCCAACTTTAGGGGTTTACTCTGTCTAATGGCAGACAATTTTTCTTGCGTCTTGGGGTATACCGGGTATTGGCCATCAGGTCCACCCCATGAGCACAATGTTGGTAAGATTGTCCAATTTGCCTGAATTTCTAGAAAAGGATACAAATCATGATGTTTTATGGAGTTGGTCATTCCCTGCTGTCGATCCAGCAATCAAATCATTGATATCCAAAAAATGTTGTTTAAAGTCGGGTGAAAATGACCACGAGACAATTGTCCCTTTTCTGTATGGTCAGCATAACAGACTATGGTATTACCTATTGACGACAAGTGTCAGAGATGCACCAAGCTTACCAAAGGTCATCTATAATTATTATTTGAGAGCTGGAATGTTTTGCCATTCTCAGGGACCTTATCTTTGACATATTCTACTAGCATGAAGATTGTTAGTAATTGTACAAAATATTTTATATTTTTTAATATAGGTTACCCATTTCACTGTTGTTCTGGTAGCGAAGGTGCAGAACTTATATTTTTTTTAGAAAAATTTCACCTGTCAGAAATCGTTGAAATCTCACTACAGTTTTATGGACAGGGGATAGCTCCCAATTTAGTAATTTTGACAGAAGATTTAAACAGGATCTAGACATACAACATAAACAGCTGTATACTCAATGTTTTAACAGTTTAACCTAACTAGGAATCTCATGTTATTGAAAATTTCACCATAAAATTTCGCTAGGACTTCAATCCAGAAAGATACGAAGGTCTGGGGCAATCATTTCAACAGAGTTACTTGGACACAGGGAGCCCAACGGACCTTCTTCAACATTACCTCTCTGCTGTTACAAAAGGCTCTTTCGGAGCTGCTGAGGATGAAATATTTGATATCAATCAATTTGTACCTGAAAAAGCTTTCTTATCATCTTCCATTAACGGTAGATTTTTCTGCAAACTTTGGCATAAAGACATCTTAAAATCTTTGTTAAATCTTTGCTCCACAGCAAGTTTAGCTAAATGTCTCTCAGAGCTGTAGTTTTCGCACAAAAAGTCTTAGGCCTGATTTCTAATCTTGATTCAGATGTGATCAATATTTTCGGTGTTGAAACGATTCTCATATACACGGCAGTTTTACTCAAAAAGAAAGTGGCGTTTTATAGTCCACGCGTTGAAACTTTGTTGAATATAACAAGGTAAACGTTTGAAAATTATTAGTGCTCCTTTTTTGAAGAAAATTCAAAGACAATGCCCAAAATATGTAGTAAAAATAATCAGTTAGCTCTCAATTTGTGTGAATTACGTTTTTAAATCTATTTTGTATCTTCAAGAGCAATTCCACAGCTCGTTTGGCATCGTCAGAATTGGAATATTTTGTTTCCATTGATCGATTCAAACGACGATGAAGATGTTCAAAATTTGACCTCGACAAGCTATTATGTCGCCGGTTTTACGGATGCATCCGTGGAAAATCTCAACGAACTTTACGATATCTTCGCAAACAGTGAGTAACTAAATCGTGTTTACTTGGCTTTGTAAGCCAGAGGAAAGCTGGAAATTTAAGAGTTTTTCTGTCGTTTTATTTTACTACAAAACTCTTCAAATTTTCATCCAAGAGCTTTCGTTCGAGCAAAAATATTCTTAAAAATAAACTTGAGTGAAAAAAAACTGGGGAAAGGAACTTTACAATATTCAATAAGTATATTTGTTTGCCTTTGTATAGTTTCTGACGGCGAAGTTTCCATTGCCCCTCACGCGAAAGGTGAGAAGAATATATACCATTGATTTGATTTGACCATGCCTATGGCTAATGCAGTCCTACAGTACTGATGCATGAGTGATGTGATTCTTGTGTCTTTTAGAAACATTTCAAATGGGTAAAGTCCACAAAGATATAGCGATGTTTATGGTGAATAATGCAAAAGACGATGGCAAAAGCGATGGACAGTTAGTCGCTGTAAGTGTAAGCATGTGATTACTTGAAATGTAGATGTTTACGTAGATATATTTTCGGGAAAAAAGACTTCGTTAAGCTCTGCATACGAAAAACACAAGCGCTATTTTATCATAAGCTAAAGGCGAAATTTGCATTCAAAAATTCTTATGTTTGTTTGCTTCTCTCCTTTTTTCGATTTCGGCCGTTTTACCAAGATATAAACAGGATTTTGTCTTCTAAAATAAACTGTGTTTTGGCAATCCACAATGATATAACATTCACGACTATAGGCTATAGCGAACACACTATAAACATAATATTTCACCCGTAAAGTTCAACTTAAAACTTAGGCTTTTTTAATCTTAACCAGGAGTTATCTGAGAAGACTAAAAGCTTGATCAATAATCTCAAAGGTCTCGCCGTTGCGAATGAAGACAATACTCGTCAAATCATAAAACTGGAAACTTTGAAAGAACGAAAATTAACATCAGCCATGGAGAACTTCTTGTATAATCTAGCTGCAGCTGAGGGGATGGTGTAGAAAATATAAAAGATTATCTTAAATTTTCGAAAATATATGAATTGTGCAACAAAGTTTGGGTTAAATGTCTGCCAAGGCCCTTAAATTCGCCCCCAATCCCCTGCGCCGAGATAAAGTTCTGGGGTATGAAAGAAGATTGGAGTCCCAAGTTTCTGCACTAGAATAATCTATTATACGCATACATCAGTGATACTAGTTATATATGGTTGGTTTACACAAGAGTATATAGTGGAAAACAAAATACTTTAGTATTCTACAATGGTGCATCGTGAACAAATATCTATCTACTGTCATTATTAATAACTTGGAAGCCTAAATAGTTTCGTCTCCACTGCCTACAGCCATTTCAACTAAGGCTTTGTAAATCACGTCTAAAGTATTCCTAGGTCAATGTTTCTTTTAACAAAATAGTCACAAACTCAGAAAGGTTTACACCTCTGGGAAGATAAGGTCAACGGGCCTTAGATTTAAGATTACGCATTTTATGCGGGGATATCTTTTAAAATAGATAAAACTGTTTAAATTATAGAAGATTGCTAACCTCGACATTTTCGGCTGTGAGTGGTGACACCTTAATTGAAATAGCTGTAGAATCAACTGCATATGACGTCATCTGCCAAGCAACGAATCAATCTTTACTAAAATACTACAACAACACTTGCAAACAATGGGACCCGAAATCAAAACAGTTTTGCCTTCTTTTTGTGATCAATCTGCTTCCATTTCGGCAATTCGTAGAACTCGTTTCGCGTCATCCGGAACACTTCACGGAATTCGTCGTCACTCAGATGTTTCTAAAAATGCGAAAATAGGAATCAATTTCAAGTTTGCAATCCATCGAAAACAGTAAAATTCAGCGTAATTAATATTGAAGCGAAAAATACCTCCAAGTTTGACTTGTCAACGCCTCTTGGTGAGCGATAATTGTCAACTTTGAGCTCTCTGTATTGGTAAATCTGTGACAAAAGTTTGCAAAAGCAAGTTAATCTAGAATGGACACACCACCTAACTCATTCATGAACAATTCGATAACACCAAGTATTTCGCTTCAAGCGAGATCGAAAAATAGACCTACACGCGTAAAAATCATCATGTTGATGCAAGTTGTTAAAAACAGGAGTGACACAATGTTGTGCTGCACTCTGTGAACAGTATTGTTAACAATGTTGTTGAGGCTTGTTGAATCATCAATGTTGTTGCAACTTGTTACAACAACATTGCATCAACATTGATGATTCAACAAGCTTCAACAACATTGTTAACAATACTGTTCACAGGGTGCAGCACAACATTGTTCACTCCTGATGTGACAACCTGATCAATTTTTGGCCGTGTATATATAACACAACTGGAACGACAACTAGTGATAAATTTTCATGGCCATATTCCCATCAAGTTACTTTATAATATAACATTTATAGTACGCGCGTGCTGATTGGTCGAGAAGCGTGTTTTTATAACTGTATTGAAACACGGGAATTTTCCCGCCGAACTTGACAAGCGAAGCGATGTAATGAGAATTTGTAATTGAATCGAATCATAATATTTGTACAAAATCTTTTTATTGAGTTATATTATAAAAGAAATAGAAAACATTTTTTCCTGTGTTTCTATACAGTTATAGAAACACTTGTGGGAGTTTGGGAGAACTCGAAATAACGTGGAAAAACTCGCCCTACGGGCTCGTTTTCCCACTGATTATTTCTCGTTCTCCCAAACTCCCACGCGTGTTTCTATAACTGTATAGAAACACGGAAAATGTTTTCTATTTCTTAAATGTAGAAGTCAGTGGCTAAGAAGAGTAAAAATCTTGGGGGGACGCGGCGGGTTCGCGAAGGAAAATTCCACCTTAAAAACCACGTGTGCTCCCTCTTGACCACTGGTCTCTATATAGTAGCTAAATGCACGACCATGAGAACTAGCGCAAGGCAAAAGTTAAAAGGCAGATTTTACAAACCTTGGCTTCTGCTGGTGGAGATTTCGCAGATGAAGACGAGGTTCTGGTCGTTGTTCTACCAATTGAACTGTCATCTGTGCTCTTACCAATCTTTAACTGGACGCTTGTTTTGTACTTTTGATCCCCACCCTAGCGCCATTATACGGAGAAAAAGAAGTCAGTCCACGACCTAATTAAGACCGCTAAACAAATGGTTTAAATTACGATAGTCCTACCGGGGATGACACTGTTGTTGTCTGAGTCGTTTCTTCGTAATCATCTGTAAAAATGAGGAAAGATGAACATTTTATTGACAGCATTAGCTAAGTACTAAACATAGACGAATGAGGTGAGCGTAAGTAGCAACTTATAAGTCAGGAGGTTGAAAGTGAAAGACTGAATAAAAGATTGCAAAGCAGTAAGTACTAGACCAGTCAGGCTAGTATTAGTAGCAATAGTCAGCACTCGGTCAGACTAGCAGTACTGCAATGATCAACTGACACCGAGGAAGGTTGAAAGTGAATAAAACATTGCAAATCAGTAACTATCTACACTTGGACACTCTGTCAGACTATTGCAGTCCTAGAAAAAAAGAATAAACACTTACTGTAACTAGACTCGTGATAAGAATAAGGTCTTGGTCGAGACGGACCATTCTGAAATTTGAAATTGAAAAGAATAACACAAACTATAATACTATCTAATATGCAAAAGTTGTACCGAGTAACTCCGAATGAATCAGTCCCATCGACCTACCCTCATTTGGACTTCAGGTGCGTCACCATTTATAGACCCAGACCCACTCCTAGGCAACGAGCCATAGCGTGCTTTCCAGTCCTTCGCGCGGCTATCAGTTCTGGTTGGCGGAGCTGGAGGACCTAGGAATGAGTCCATAGAAACTTTCAATCATTACTAATGTTTTCATCTTGGAAAAATCATACATCTCGGTACGGGCATGGATACGCAAATGAGTGAACTTGTCTTGGTTGGTTGAGAAATATTTTGGTGTCAGGAAAATATTGTCTTTAAAAATTTGCAAATTTCTGGCAATGAAAATTACTGCATTCTTCTAACGTTAGATTTCACTGGATGCCTCGTTAATTTTCAGGATATTGTTTTGCGTTCTCCTGTCAGGAAGAACACGATCGTTTGCAGAAGCGTGTTTGGTAATCCAAAGTTCATAAAATGTAGCACAAACCTTTGGGTAATTCATCTGGTCTTGGCGGAGGGGGTAAATCGTCAAAATCTGGTGATGGCATACGACCTAAACAACGACAAATCTTATCAGTAAAGGTAATAACGTTGTGCGATAAAATCACATTTGTTTGCAACTGAGAAGTTTTTTGCTAAAAACTCAGCTGAATTTCGACAGAATAGTGTAATCCAGTCGCTTTTCAAAGACACTTCTGACTTTCGCCGTATGACTCGTGTCTTAAACAGAATAGCTTCGGCTTACAAAAACCCATTCATCGGGATTTCCTGTGAAAAGACACCGTTGTGCCGGAAGAGAGTCGGAAGACTTTTCAAGTAGAGCATTGAGAGACTGTTTTCACAGACGAATCACGAACCCACAGCGAGATGCGAAGCAACAAGCGGAGAGATAAAGACGCTTGCCTTTGCAAATGCGAAAGAGAAATCCCGAAGACAGTGATGAAAAATCGTTAGTAGGAAAAAAAAAGATGTTTCCAAGATAATAATCACCATAATATATCCTAGATACACACGCAAACAGAACCTGCCGTATTCGAGTATACGTTTTTCCCTAAAAGACTCCTGGAAAGTTTCTTTGCACAACAGAAATAACACAAGTTCGATACATTACCATAGACATGAACGATGAATGCGGTTACACAGACTTTCTTTCTCGCCATTACTCAAAACAAACCACCAAAGTATATCATGTCAGTCATGTGTACAGAGCGACGACATCGCAGCCTGTCAACGCAGTCTTGGTATGCAGAGAGTATCTCGAAACGTAATCCTTGTACAAACACTTTTAATACAACATCAACAGCGTTAAGAACACCACAAGCGTACCCCCACGCGCTGAGGATTCTTTATCGTAAGACCGAATGAAAACAAAGGATTCTATACGCTTCGTAACGATGTAAATTTTCGGACTTTCTACACATTTTTTAAATGACCAGATATTCAATGCCTACGTGAGACATCGTTGGAATGTAGTGGTATTGTGTCTTTGTAATAATATCAGAATTCAAGCTATTGTCATCTTAAAAACATGTTACATTGCTAATGTTAGACCAAGGAGCACGGGATATCACAATTGTTGAAAAGGTAGATGATATGGGTGAGATATTAATACATATGTTTGGGACATATTTTAAAACTCACCGATATTTGCATCGCCTTGCTGACCATAGTTGCCTTGATGGTAAAAATCTCTCTGCAATTAAATTAGAAGTTTCACAGAAATTGTACACAACAATCCAGTTTATAGACCAGTTCAGTTCAGCACATCTTATCTCAGTCCAGTTATACTCAGCTTAGTTTAGTTCGGTTCAGGTCAGTTCAGCTCACTTCAGTTCAATTCAGCCTACTTCAACTTAGTATGAACTTAGCTTACTGCAGTTCAGTTAACTTGAGCTCAGATTCAGTCATGTCATTTCACGTTAGTTCTGTTCTACTCGGTTCAACCGATGTAAGTATTAAACTTCAGTTAAATCTACTCGTAAAAAACAAGTGATTAATATGTACTAACCTTTCTATCAGCATCGCGTCGTTCGGCATCGCGCCGTTCGGCTTCGCGTCGTTCCGCATCGCGTCGTTCCGCATCGCGTCGTTCCGCATCCCTTCGTTGTGATTCTCTATACTCAATCTCTCTTCTCTCGCGGTCTCGTCTTTCGATCTCTCTTTGTTCCATCTCTCGTCTCTCAGCTTCGCGGCGCTCGTTCTCAATCTCCCTTTCTCTCTTCTCTCGTTCCCTCTGCTCTGCCTCGCGATGCTCTGCTTCCAAACGTTCCGCCTCGCGGAGTTCCGCATCCCTGCGCTCGGCCTCCCTGCGTTCCGCATCTCGGCGTTCAGCATCGCGGCGTTCCGCCTCCCTCATTTCTGCTTCTCGTCTTTCAGCTTCCCGTCGTTCGGCATCCCGTCTATCCGCATCCCGACGCTCTGCTTCTCTTCTATCCAGCTCTTGTCTTTCCGCTTCCCGCTGCTCATCCTCCCGTCTTCTTGTTTCTTCTTCCATCTCCCTGCGCTCCGCATCCCGCTGTTCCAACTCTTGGCGTTCCTTCTCCGCCCTTTCCATTTCCCGCACCATCTCGCTGCATTCCGGATGCCAGATCTCGGAACCTAATGACAAAATCACGTGCAACAAATGGTAAGATCACGTGCAACAAATTGTAAAATCACGTGCAACAAATGACAAAAACACGTGCAACAAATGGTAAAATCACGTGCCACAGGCATAACACTTCATCGCCACTTGTCACAAGATTGTTCTTCCATTTCCTCCGTATTTATTAACTGCAAACAAACCTTGTAGATACATCTCCTCCCCTTCGCCAAACATTTGGCCACACTTTGCACAACGAGAGCATTGTGGGTGATAATGCTTATCCCCCGCCTTGATAAAAAACAGATAATTATGTTTGATCCCTTACCTAAGCTCTTCACTCCCTCTCCCCAAAGCCCTCCCCCACACGCGTTCCCCTCTCCACTTGTTGACATGGCCTTAACTTAGAGAACCCTCCTAAATTCAGTAGTTCGGTAGATCAAAAAGATTGAATTGATAAGAAATTATTATATTACATAATTACCTGTAACACTTTACCAGTGATGTAACCTTGGCAGCCAGCGCAGGTGACCCCAAATTCGGTCTGATAATCTTTCTCACAAAATGCATACCCGTCCCTTCCGAAACAAACAGAAGCATTTCAGTTTAAAACTCAAAAAACTATTCGGTTTCGGACAAATATGGGCATATCAATCCAGTTGCATTAGAGCTCAATGCGCTCAACATGTTACCCTGTATGTCACTTACTTTCCCATGTATTCCCCATGAAGAACGATCCCGCATTTCTGACAGGTGAAGCAATTCGGGTGCCAGTGTTGGTCCAACGCCATCAAAGCCTGACCATGTTCGATATCCTTGTGGCACCCGGCACATTCTGTCGAAAATATTGTCACTGTCTTAATCAGGGAAATTGCACAAGCAACGTGCAGATTATGCAAGATTGCGCGAAATATGCAAATCAACTTAGAATCGGTCTTGTAGACATGTTATAGTGGGATTTTGAGGGACTAGATTGCAACAGAATGTATCCGAGAACAATTGTGCTACAAAGAACAAGATATTTTCAATCAATATTTGAGGCGATAAGTTTACGGTGATCTTTTCATCCTATTTCAAAATCTTTGTTAAACCCTAAATGACCTATTTTTGACAATGACCTTCAGGTCAAAATCGAAACATATCGTCTAGATTTTAAAGTTCAAATCTTGGCCTTGGGTTAACATGATGTTACCCTTTGGGGTATTGTCTTTTTCACTCCTTTTATTGTTTATCTTATGGTTTTTGGATGGATTTTTTCTTCTAGGCAAACGTTCATGACTTCATCGTTTCTTGTTTTGATTATTTTTTTGCCAAGTAAAAGACAAATACGAGGTGAACCTACTGTGCATCGGCTGTCGTGACGACGGATCGGTCCCATAATCACAGTCTTCACAAACGTAGTCTCGGCCATCGAAGATGACAGTTTCACCCGGTGGGAAGAATTTCCTACAGGAGAAAAATACCTCATCATGGGGGTGCAGGGAAATACACATGGTAGAAGTAAAAAAACTGACTTCTACCATACCAAAGAACCCTGTATTGCTTTATTAACAACAATGACAGTTTATTCGGAGTTGTTTCTCCACCCCCCCCCCCCAACGTTTAGTAAAAAGGCATGTATTCAAATTATATGAAGTTCAGAATCAAATGCCGTACAACAACTGCCTGCCTTGTTATACTGTTATACTGTACTTTTCAAATACAGACACAGGCACAGAGTTCACATGGATTAAATTTAGCTGTTTGCTGTAAATGTTGGGAATTCAAAACTAACTTGCAGTGTGCACAGGAAAAACAATCCAAATGAAAGGTGTTTCCTAAGGCACTGATGACTTCCCCTTCGAGAAATTCATGACATTTGAAGCATTGTTCACCAAAATGGTCGAGGTAGTCTTTGGCACAATAATATGCCCCATCCTTGTTGTAAAATGCATCTTCTCCCAACTCATTCCCACATTCTGCAACAAAATTAAGGATAAAGTTGTTGGTGCCAAGGCTAAAAACATCAACTGGCAGACCCAATTATATTTGAGTTAAATTGCCAGGCAATATTGAGCAAATAAATCATTGCATTGGGTATATATGAACTGATTATTGACCGAGTGTGAGGTCTGTACTGTGAAATATGTATGCATGCAAAAAACCTCGGTCTGGTATTTCACAGTACAGATTGAACAAGGGATGTAAATAATCTGTTTATTATATGGCTGAATTTGCATGAGACATCCGGGATACTGATCCAGATAAGGAATATACAGACCACTGTCTGGATATGGGTTTTTACGGACCGCTCGTTAACGAATTAGAATAGAGGATCTTGAAAAGCCATATAATAAATATATATATTACACAAATACACACTGCTAAAGATTGACATCAGTAATATAAGTAAATTTCCCTACAAGTACACCACGTAAGTATTTAAAGCTTTCAGTCTTTTAACACAGGCCTTCATCAGTGCAATTACTTGTGTTTATTTAAAATTTGATTGTCCAACTTCCAAATAAGCCTCAGTCTATGATTGACGCTATAGCAAATGACATGTGATTTTAAGAGCAAGTGGGTGAAATATTTTTGCTCATTATTTTGTATTCAAATTTCACAATATTTACACGACCAGATTACAACATATGAACTCTTTGATCATGAGATGCAAACCTTGTTATAAAAATCCAACAATCAATTAATCACGACTTCAGCTATAAGTCAGCTAAACTACAGAAACAACAACGGGGCATGTTGGAACAGAACCTAGAGGAGTCCAATATTGATTATTTTCTCACAATAATAAATCTACCTATTATTTGAAAATTTGTCTGAATTAAGACATGCAAATATGTTTACAATAGCTACACAAGCAGACTTAGATAATACCACTCCTTTCCTCTAACAAAATAGCGATAAAAACGTTTGTTAGATATTTCAAATCATATCATGTATGAGCAGTTCAGTATTTTCTGCTAGTGTTTTTAAGAGGTTATAAACATGGTATATTTTCATAGTAAATATTTTCACATTTTTACATGCAAAACAGACAGCACTAGTTGGCTTAGAAACAGGTTAAAGATCTGTTTGTCTGCACATTAAGACTAACCAGCTGTCCACACAGGCTTGTCTGGGATTTCAAATTTAAATAATATTGAAATTTATTAGCATGTTAGTAGAACGCCCATATATGGAAGCGTTCGAATTCAAAAAAATTCTAATGAGCAATTCGAATGTCCTTCGGCCAATCAAAAGGCGCATCGCGAATTCCCAAGAGACAAATTGCTTTTTAATATTCTTTATTTTAAACGATTTGTTTGTAAAACTCTATACTAACAATGATGGGAACACATAATTTTGAACTTGCAGAGCATATCTTTCGACACTTTTTATCCACCTTTTAGCAAAATATTTAAACAATGTAACCTTGTTATTGTTGTACCGTTTTGCGCTTGAGTGAACACTGAACAAATTGAAACAAGTGCAATGTTACTAGGTTCCGTCCACTTCAAAACGTCTCTAAAACAACAGTTTAAAAACATCCCAAAACGCCTTTCAATTGTATATTACATATATTCGAGCTATGACACATACTGCTGTAAGATGTTCAATACAATTATAGATTTCTAATCAAGGCAGACTCGTTTTAAATCAAATCATAATTTAATAATGCCGAAAGCCTGAATACTTAGTTGTTGTCTTACAAAAATAGACTTTATTCATTGTCCCGAGGACGAGTTTTATTTTAGCATTCGATATAAGGGTTTTCGGTGGAGTACTGAAGCAGACTTTTAGCAAATTTAGCACACTGAATTGTCGTGCGGTTGGCTTTTAAACAAGCGATATTTTATAACCGCAAATGATACTAGACTACATTAAGTTTAGAGTCAGTCTTACTTTGACAAGTAAAGCAATAATGATGGAAATACGTATCGCCAACGCTCAGAACCTGTCCGCTACACTTTCTGTGACACTTTCCACAAGTTATCCGTTCGGTTCCTGCAGAGAAAAGCGAAGAAATTGTTTAAAAATAGCCGAGGTTTAGCGTCCGTTGGGGGAAACATACACAATGTAAACACAACAATTAGAGCCCCACAAAATAACGCTTCTTGCAGGTAGATTTTCGTAAAAGCATTATAAAAGCCTTTGAAATAAATGTACGATGCTTACCCATGCTTGTATCGACAAAATACGGTGCAATCTTAGTAAATCAAGCAGTAAAACAAGAGTAAACCGAAAGTATTTGAAAACACTCGAAATAAATTCCTCAATGATTAAACATTGCCGAAGCAGCTAGTGCCAGATCTCCCTGTCAACAAACGCGGATGATATGCAAATTTTGCGCAATGCAGTCATAGATTTGAGTGATAAATGTCGCATGTGATTGGTCAACGAGAGCGATTTCTAACCTTAAAAAAGGAAATCACAGACTGGAGTAAAGTCACATGAAAACGCGAGACTTTGCTATTTTCATCAACTCTTGATCCGAGCAAATTTTGAAGAGAAATTTTAATGAAAATTTGAACCACAAACGAGATCAATTGGGAGATGATGAGAGTTTTACTTTTAATTTAATTCATCTATTTAAATGAAATTTAAAATAAATTATATCATAGTCATTAACGACTGTATTCAAAGCTCTTATTTGGTGGATTATTGTTCAATTATTGTACATATTCTTAATCACAACTTTTGTAAAAAAACACGAAAAAATGGCGCAGAAAACTGAGAAAAGATCGCTCTTTCAGCAATAATTCCAAGGTCAAGCTATTCTTCTCATGACCAATGAGCATGAAGCCGACAGTAGGATCAATCCTATTCTTGTTCAAAACTACTTCTGCGAAAACGCAGAACGCTTTTATGCGTTGTTACAACATTCCGGTGTAAAAGTGAAAAAACTTTCTGTGTTTTTGCTGTAGTCGACGGGAAATCTCTCGCCAATTGCTTTCGCTCCCAAGATGGCGGCACCAATACTGCTTTGAACTTTGGGGCGAAGTAAGACTAATGACTTGTATGGTGGTGGGCGTCTATCGTGACCTCTCTTAAGACCTTCCACAAAACCTACCAAACAAAAATATACTCCACAGTGATTCGACGATTTGGCTTTTTAATATCGCAAAATCAATCATCAAAAACGACAAAATATTTGGTTAAATAAGCCAATAATTTACTGGTAAAAGTTATATGATATGAACGGATACGGTATGGCAATATTGCGTTCACCTGCTTCCAATATTTCCCAACTTTTAAAAACGGAACCAACACACATGACTTTTAAACCATCCTCGGATTTTGCCAATTGCTTCAAGAAGTAATTGAAAAAGATAAATACTTATAACTTTCTCTGCCTAGACTCCGAGACTGTGCACAAAACTTTTTATATCTGTGTGCAGATGCACAGTCTTTGAGATCAATAGGGATTTTCAGCATAACTGGCTTTATATTCTGCGAACTGGGAAGTGAAAAGTCGGCTTATAATTTTACATACCTCGTCAACTTTCGTCTCCAGGGCATTCACGTGATGCCCCAGACGTACACCGGCTTCTTTAAATAGATATCTACACAAAGGGTCGCCCTTTTCAATCGCCCCTGGTATTAAAGAAATACAAGATTCATTGGATCATAATCGCTTGCAGGATTGAAAATAATGGGCCTGCAATTGCAGGTGGAATGTATTATCAATGGCATCAACTACAACAGTTCAAGAAGGTAGGTTCGGGCCAAACCTTTTGCGAGAGTCGTTGTAAAATGAGCTACTTTCCCTTTGTCGAAATTTCTATACAAAGGCTCCAAAATATCAAATGGTTTTTCTAACTATAAAAGTAAAAATAAACCAAAATTTACTATGCCAGCTCAATTCACAATTGTTATTGAACATTCAAATATTTCCCATACATTAAAATAGTTGTACATCTCGTCTTTAACAAATTGAACGTCGTGAGGTGATTGGACCATTCCGTCTGCATCATCATAAACAGTTTTCATAGCCATATGACTTATCCAATAACCTAGTCATCAAGAATTATAAAAAGATCAGAGATGCAGTAAAATTTACACTTTAATGATCAGCTAGATTAAATCTAGTATTCACTGGTTCACCTAACCCAAAAAGACCCTTATCAACTCACCTGATCCCTCATCGCCCAGCATGTGTCCCCATCCACCACAGCCATGGACATCACCATTTGGATTGACTAACTGGCAGTTTGAGCCTGTTCCTGATATTAAGACTATGCCACCTAGTGAAGTCATATTTTTATGAGAGGTGTTTGTATTAATGAGGTGTTTATTAGAGAGACCTGCCTGTATTAGAGAGGTGGCTACATTAGAGAGGTGTCTGTATTAGAGAGGTGTCTGTATTAGAGAGGTGTCTGTATTAGAGAGATGTCTGAATTAGAGAGGTGCCTGTATTAGAGAGGTGTCTGTATTAGAGAGGTGTCTGTATTAGAGGGGTGCCTTTATTAGAGAGGTGTCTGCATTAGAGAGGTGTCTGTGTTAGAGAGGTGTCTATATTAAAGAGGTGTCTGTATTAGAGAGGTGTCTGTATTAGAGAGGGGCATGTATTAGAGAGGTGTCTGTATTAGAGAGGTGTCTGTATTAGAGAGATGTCTGTATTAGAGAGGTGTCTGTATTAGAGAGATGTCTGTATTAGAGAGGTGTCTGTATTAGAGAGGTGTCTGTATTAGAGAGGTGTCTGTATTAGAGAGGTGTCTATATTAGAGAGGTGTCCGTATTAGAGGGTGTCCGTATTAAAGAGATGATATAACAGACAAGTGACGGTATAAGAGAGATGATTATAGAAATGTACTGGGCACTTGTATTATATTATTCGCACCTGATGCTGATGCAGTTGCTATTGACCCAAATGTATCTGTGCAAGTGTGGTAACTTTTACTGCAGTCAGGATATTTACTATTCATTGTATCCGACATTTGTTTTTTAAAATCAGGGTGTTCACCACCACTCAGGCTTAGTCCCTGTACAAGATATGGAGGAAAAAAGCTATTAATATTGCTTTGGGGACTAAACATTGTTTGATAAACAAGCAGTATTAAAATCTCATCATGAGTCATGACTAATAAGTTAGCAAGCTGTCAATGCCACTGGCTAAAGGTGATTCTCCATTACCATCCACTTCACCCACGCAAGTGAAGCTGCCTTTGAAAATCTGCCCATGCGACCGTGACGGGCCTGAAAAAAAAAACGTGCTTCGCCCGCGTGGGCGGAGTGGAGGTAATGGAGAATCGCCGTAACACATTAACTTGCAATGCATTCAGATGTGCACATTGTACTTCGATATGTTATTCTGCTAAAACGAGATGATTCTACAGGAAGAGCATGTACCTCCAGTGAATTTAAGATCAGAGCACTTAGCTAAGACAAATGATATAATAATCTATAACAATGTAAGGATCAACTCATATCATACCAGTGAAGTCAATGGCGTATTAACAGGAATGCCCGCCATCTCCTTGGCCTTGACAACCAAATCATTCACTCTCTTCGCACATTCGTCAATGCCAATCAACTATACAGAACAATTAAAAGTAAATTGCAGTAATCTGAAGCAACCAACATTAAGTTTATGTTGATACAAGAGCAGGTTTTAAGCAATGGATGCCTCTGCATCCACAGATACCTTTCACCAAGCAATAATGTGGCCTGTGAAATGTTTAAGGTATACATTGTATTTGTATCACAGGAAATTGCATGTCTGCAATCACCATTTCATTTGTGTGGTAGGATGATAGCATGGTATCTGCTACAATCATGTATATAAACTATTTAGCGTATACTAATACCTCCACTTACCCAATGATTTGTACCTAAACCTTCACTGCTGCCAATGACTTCCCCATCAGTATTGAGCAGAACCATATTGGAACATGAGCCACCACTAAGGATTGAGAAAGCTGATTGTAAAATTGGGGAGTTCTGGGCTGACTTTTGAGGATAAAATCATCTGCCATAAGATAGAACTACAGAGAATGCAATGTGCATTATCTAGGAAAGATCATGTGAGATAGGTGCTATGTATGAGTCAAAATTACACTTGATATGGTCATATGGGTGTTTAAATATACAATACCAGGTAGTATTAGCATAAATGTAACAAATTATAAATAAAGAGAACGACAAACCCTTCAATTCCTCCAAAATACTTCACATCGCCACTTGCCATGATGTTTCAAGACAGAAGATGTAAAATATCCACAAACTATAAAATCACGAAGTTATTTTGAACGCCTTTCCAGGATCTCGTGACTTTTGATCTCATAATAAAACATATATAAACCACATTGCTCTCTCACCGGTACTTCATGTTAGCAAAAAACATGTGTCCGTGTCGTAAAGGTAACTCCAAAACCACATTGCTTCCTTTGCGGTACTTCATGTTAGCAAAAAACATGTGTCCGTGTCGTAAAGGTGTGAACTCGTTTTAAATGAAATCCGCTCCGCGCGCGAAAATCCGCACTTTTCACACGAGCCAGGGTTTTTGGTCAATGCCAGGAGGGAAGGGAGGGGTGGGGAGGCTAGGGGGTAAGGTGCAAACACACAACTAGGGGGGGGGGTCGGGCTCATATCGTATCGTGGAATGAATGCTTAGAAGTTAGAATTATCAACATCAGAATCCTCAAACAAACCTTCAGAAACTATCACGTTGACCATGCTGGTTTAAATTTTGGAAAGATTGTGAGTTATTGAGTTATCAAGAGTTTGACATTCAAAGATTGCTTTCTGCTCCGTATAACCTAGATTAAAGCATTTTTAATTAGCAGTTACTCCTTCAAAACCGTTACCTCCAAACCTGTAATTCCATTGCCTTTAAAGCTTGTTTGAAATGGTTGAAAAGATCACTATCCTGTGGATAGGTGCTATCTAGCGTTCGTACAACTAACCCCAGCAAAAAGTAAGACTGTTCATAAAGCACGCCGGATTACCATCACATGCAGGTTTTCAATGCGATCTCAATCGATATCTTCGTTTACCTTTTATTAAAGTAATTAATACATCTAGCATAACCAACCACATAAACAAATATACCACTTTATACGACGAATGCTTACATTACAATGCATTAGGGATGATCAGTTACAAAAATGGTCCAGCCATTTCTCAAAGCATCAGTTCAAAGCGAGCAAATTGTGTGCCGCTCCGTCTCAAATAAATATAATTAATAATACAAAATTACTTCTACAAACACTCTTAGTCAAAGAGTCTATGCAATGATGTCTCACTGATTCAATAGTTGATTTCAAAAATCGTTCGCAGTAAAACTCTAAGTGATATCGGGCTTGTATTTTAGCCAAATCACACTTGGAACTGTATTGAAATAGAAATGCATTCTGCAGCATATTGATTATAACCTTTTGTTATTCTTTATGAAACTAATGGAAATTTTTAGCTTATGTGTCTAGTTTTAAGAACTATAGCTTTGTCATACATTTTGACCAAAATGAAGCATATTTATTATTTCAACTGTTATTTTTAGTTGTTTTAACCAAGAAATGGTTCTTATTTGACAACTAGTCCTAGGCCTTTCCCGCCACTTCACACGACTCGGCTGCCTGCGTGTAAAGGGTGAGGTTATCTCGTATGGGGGGGGGGGGTTCACGCCAGTCATCGCATAGACTCTTTCTGTCATAATTACTTTATATAAGGCAACATAAAATAAATTCCACGATTTCTATTCCTCATTTTAACGTTTTCGAAGAGCGAGGAAGATTAAAATTTATATAGTTTTATATAGTTCATATATCAGTCAATAACGGTAAAAATAGTTTTGATATAGCAATTAATATGCGAGTTATTTCCAAGGTTTCTTGTCGAAAAAATGCCGAGATAAAACACATTACATTGCCGACAATTAATCTCTATGGTGATCTGCACAAACATTCTCAATCAAACGGCATAAAATGCCTCTTGCCTTGTTGGAAATTACCAATTAAATATGACAATAAAAAACTATTTTGAACTGACTTGAATCTCCAAAGATGTTCTTTCGCATATAGTGCATTTGTAATTAATAAAGTCATGTAATTAAAACCAAGGAATTTATAGTATTTGTTGCCTTAAAGTTGAAAAACGTATTAGGTTTAGCAAATAAAAGCTACTTTGCTTTTTTGTGTGAATCCTAGTTTACAAATCAAACCTTTGAACTATGATTTTTATATATATATATATATATATATATATATATATAATATATATATATATATTATATATATATATATATATATATATATATATATATATATATATATATAATCAGTATACCTCACCAGATGAAAAAATATCTACATTATATATATACATATATGATTTGAAATGATTTTGTACAGACTTCTTCAAAAAGCATCTTTACTCCCGCAGGGCGAGAATGAAAGCCTTCCTTTTGCCATTCTCGTGTCAAAATTTAGGAGCGAAAATATAGAACAATTCAAAATGGGTTTCGCAAATCTCTTGCCATACATCTTCAGGCTTTTAAGGTCAGGTTTAGCTTGTTAGTGGAACCGCTGCAACTTTAACGTTACGCGGGAAAGTGTCAGTTTGAAAGAGGTTGGTGTAATTCCAGATGGTCATCAGTTGTTCCCAAGTTAATCTTGGCAATGTCTGCAAGTAACATTAAGAAAACATTAGGCATATTTTTCGCAGTATATAGTTATCGCCCGGAGATCTTTTGAAATTGAAGACAAATCCGAAAGATTGTAATCTTATAATATCATCTCCTACCAGTCTAGCATGAACGATAGATTTTTCCATGATAGATGAAGCTAGATTTTGGCACAGTTATGCAATAAGTCATGATATAATCTTTCCGAATCCTTGCTATTATCCCCCGCTATTTGGATCCTAACATAATCTAGTAAGTTCTCAGTGGAAATTTAACATAATCTTGTAGAAATCCCGTTAATCGAGGCGTCTTGTTTTCATCCGGGCAAGGGCCTTGGAAAAGTTTGGCAAAAACAACTATATTATTAGGGCGAAGCCAATATAACTAGGTCTGAAAAGCATAGAGTTTGGCATTAGCTGCATGCATTAGTTTAGCATTAGCACGCTGTTTCAAAATGCAAAATCATTGCATGTCTTCGCGCACGTAAAAAACGAATTATAGTCACCTCAAAATGTGTTTTCCATACAAATATATCATTGTTCATCTGCGTGGGACGACATATTTTTCCCAAAATTGATCAATAATTTAATACTGTTTGATGGGTTGGTAATTAATTGACAGCATTTCTTCGAGAAAACATTTGCAAGAAAATATAATGATAGCTAGACCTAAATTCTTCGAAACTTGTGCCAGAATTCGTTACCTTTATTTGCATTGCGTATAGACTTTTGCGGTTAGGTTGAAATATATACTTGAAAGGAATATAGGACTGATGGATAAGTTCTACTGGCGAGGAAAATAGCCTTATTTATCATAATCGTGGGCGGAATGCCCGACTGTAATATATGCCGAAATATATATGCCGTGCATGACCGCAAAACATCACGTATATACTTAAGAACAGCTAGCTTTCTAGACCCTTCCCTTTCAAATCTTTAAACTATTCATCAATTTTCTTGAAAACAACATAGTCTAGCGTAGATCAATTAAGATTAGTCCCCATATCGAATATTCTAAACCTCATTTTTCATGAAATCGAACATGTTTTTACAAAAATCGTGTCATATACTATATGATAAGCTGTGGAGATATACTCTAATTTAAAACAGGTGAAATTCAACCGGCTATATACCGGTTTCCCCGCCCCCCGGAATATCCCTGCTAACGAAGGAACATCGATTTTGCCTGTCTTTATATGAAAATTTGTCCAGCCTGATGGATGTGTGTGTGTGTAATGATCTGTGAAGATATTATAAAATTTGGAGGCAATATGGATCAGAAATTAACGAATTTTACACATTTATTGAAATGTGTACTAAATGAGATAGACTTTTAACAGAAAAGGAAAATTAAGTGCACGTGATTTCAAACATGCAGAAACGATTTTATTAATGAAAACATCGACAACTACAATAGGCAGTGTCTTAACTTAGGCCTAAACCTATATAAAACTATGATTTTCGGCAAAGCAACTTTTATATGTAGTACAACACGATCATGCATGAAAGTTGTTGTCGAAAATAACTCGGCGTCTTGTTTTTGTGCATGGATGAAAACTTTATTGATCAGGAAATTATTGTGTTTTCATTTAGCAAAGTGATTAAACATTAGCAGTATTCTCAAGGTGCGAGTTCTGTTTTTATTTCTCGTTAACGGACAACATTAAAGTATGCAAATTAAAAGACTTTCTATTTTCGCCATTCTCAGCAATAGTGCTGAGATATTAATTATTGACAGTTTCCTTTCCTTCTCTATAGATAGACAATATCTGTCTTTTAGAAAAGGTCTAAATTATTCTCTGCACGTCGAATAAAACCAATATTGATTCAAGATCGCAACCATAAATGGGCCCTCGTTTTTATAAGCAAATGAAAAACAACTAAGAGCTCTCACTGTCTCACCGCATGTCAAAGAAATGGCGCCCACGTTCAACGTGATCTGATATTGTTTTTTTCCCTTTAAACACGGAGGCGGGAAATTAAGTACGGAACTCTTATATCACCATGCGGAAACTTACATCTTCAGCTTTCTTGCAAACAGGCAGTGTCTTGTCAAAACATCTTTTATGAATAACCAGATCACAACCTTAGAAAATAAACAGCATGGAATTAGAACGCCCACGAAAGCACTTTAACCTAACCGGACAGGACAAAATAACATAGCGTGCGAGTTGACACAAGCCATGTTGTGAAGAGCTATGGGCATGGGTTGAGCGACAAATCGCCCGATAAGGCATGCTTTTGTTCCTTAATGTAGCACACAAGTCATGCGGTTTCATACACTATCATATTAGATAAGAATACGCTGTTACTTCGAGGGGCGAAATGGCAAATCGCACACGAAAACATTTTGTATTCACTTTTTAAAATTTAAACCACTTTCATATAGCTCCAAAATTACCATTACGTCATCATTTAACGTATGTGAGATATCAAATATATTCAAAGCAGTAAAACTATAAACATCAGGGGCCAGTTATTAAGACTAGTTATAGAAGTTAACTGCATGCTTTAACTGTAGTTAAGGGCAGAATTGGCCAGTCAGGGTCGTGTATTTATGGGTTAATTAACTAAGATTTAACTATATATGCAAAATGCAGAATTTATTTGGATGCAACCCAGTGGCTATAAACTCTTCAAAAGTCTTCATGCTAGGCCTAATTGCACAACAAATCGGGGAAAACAAACACCCGTGGTGCTACAAAATTATTGGATCCACAAACATCTTGTCCATCTTTGCAGCTGTTCTAACAACTGCAGTTTACATAGTTTATTATGATCATTTTGAGGTCGTTCTCTCACCTCCCATCCGGTCCAAAGGAATATTCAAAACACGGGATTTTGACTATGAACTATTGTATATTTTTGTATACACCTTTTGTATAAGCTACATCAGTTTCAATACGATCATTTGTATTTCCTTCCGAAGACAGATTGGCAGCAGTTAAATTAGCTTTGAATCAAACGGATAAGAGGTTATCTCCTGAAGTTTTGTAAATAAATCTGGTCAGGCGTCTAGTATTGCTAATATTACAACAGTGGTGTATTGCTTGAACGAGTGTTAAATATACATTGCCTGCAGAAAAGACGAACTAACATGCTCAATATGTTGGCATTGATACAGACAACTTTAAATACAGCAATTTAGCCCAACCAAATTAGCCTTAATGGAATTTTCAAAAGGGCGGGGCCACTACTCAGGGTACTCCCCCGTTCCTATGCCCACCTAAATACTGCTAGAACTTAGTTACGCCCACAAATGTTTAGTCCAACGCCTCTGAAAATATGCAAATGCAGTGAACTTATATTTACCTTCACATTGATATCCGTTCCTGGCGAAGCCCCTACGAACGAAACGAAATAAACACGACGAATTAGCACGCAAATCTTTGACCAAGAAAATCTTGCCTGTTTAGGGAGTTCAATCGTGGTAATGCGCGTAAACGCGCGAACGAATTTATGGCGGGGATGTGTTAAAAGACAGACTTAAGTTGCAACTAACGTAATGCGTCTAATCTAGTCCCATCTTTCGTCACAAGCTATTGTCTTTGTGCTTCAAAATATAGTTCGAAACGGGTTCTGAGGCATGCTCTTGCACCACCGTTTTCGGATAACTATATCTGCTGGAGAATTCATCCTATAACTAAGAAATTGATTCAGTGAATTGTTGCCATAAACATTTATATACCGTGACGTGGAAAAGAAGGCAAATATTTGAAGTGAAAATTACTTTGTCGTTCTGGAGAATTCAGTTTCCTAAATGGGCTGGGATCGGACATATGCGGCAAAGTATAATCCCTGAGATAAAGTTAATCCCCCTAATTCTAAAGTTCTTCAGGAAATGGCGACTTACATAAATGCGTAGAGATTATTTTGCTTGCAGCCACAGACAATCGCAACATCAATGAAATTTGAAAACGGGAAATTGCAAACCCCATTTAAAGAACGCATTCAAACGTGGATAAGTAGGGAGTGTACAAAAATAATATTTATGTCAAGATAAAAGCATTAACGTTGATTTCCAAACGGAAGCGCTTAATTTTTTAACCTAAATCTCGGCCTACACGTCTGGTAATCGCACGCGCGTGAATGAAACGCAAATGATAAGGACATGCTAAAGCAGGTGGCCTGGTCATTTGGTGCTTGGGGGTTACCCTGAAATGACGCATGTTTAATAAAATCTTAGTGGGCGAAAAATTCACCTGTATATGTATGTGGGCATACGATATTTCTATGTTCATAGATGACGATTCATATGCTAGTTGGCTACCATTGTTTTTATATCCCATATCGTACGAAAAATATGCACTCCCGATCCGATATATCCTAACTATATATCTGTATATACACACATATACTTAATATATCCCCCGTTTAAATATGAAACGCCTGGCCATGGCTTGGCTGGTGTGCAACACGAAAGTTAACTCCATATAAACACAGTGCCGACAGGATTGGCCAGTACGAATCGTAATATAATATACGATTTATAAAGTATGCAAAATGTTGTCAAGTCTATATATATTTTCTTTCATATGCAAAAAGAACGTAACCGCATCTGAAGACATTTCAGAGTTCAAAGTTTCACCAGGATAAATCGAGTTTAGCTATGTATATACGTACATATTATTATTTCAAACAAAATATTGGTTTAATATTAAACTCAAATTTGTCGTTCGCTGATTATTTATATGAAAGCTTAATTTATGCAGTTATCTTCTAATATAAAGAGGGGAGAGATGCATACACACACACACTTATTTCAAATCTCTTGTAACACCCCCAGACTTAATAAATTATTAGCACTACGTGGGCCGCGTTCTCCGTTCATTGAACGAACTAAAAAAGCGACGAGGATTGACAAAAATGTGATAAATATCCAGCTGTCTTTCATGCAGATATAGGCGTTAAACACGTTCAAAACTTGAAATGGATTTTTGAGCAGACATTTTTAGTTTCTTATAACGTTTAATTGAAATGCAGTCCGTTTCTTTTATTATATAAAGGCGTAATTGGGGATTTATATACTTTGTTTACTTATCGAGTTTGATCTTATATTTAGATATAGTTTAAGTTACGTGAACGTGTTGGCTTATAGATTATGTAAAATCATTTGCTGTATATAGAAAGAGTTATTGGCGGGCTCACGGTTATTCAATATCGTATCCAACAGAAAGCCAGAATGACTATATATATCAACGTTTCGTTTGCATGTATGCGTATAAGCAACTTAAACTTTCGACTAAGTTTTACGACAATATAATGCGAGGCAGCCTTTTAAATTTAAAAATCATAAGAGAATGGTTTGAATAAAAACTCCAATATTTCGATATATAGTCTACCTTATACGTCTTCCATTATATCGTTTTTAAAATAGTATATTGGCTACAATTTTGCGAATTTTTAAGATATACCATTTCCGACTATACTATAGTATATAACCACTTCTCGCACAGTTCAAGTAGCGAAATGCTAGAATATTTGCATGAATAATATTTTTTAATAAAAGGTTAGGTACTTACAAGCGATATGTTCCGTCTAAAGCGGTAAAGATTGGGCCGACGAAAACACAACGGACAATTAGACGATATTATATAGCTATGTTTCCAACCTTTAGGCAAATCTGCATTGTACCGTTTTAGCTTTTATATATAATATGCATATATATAAATATAGCCACCTGAATAGTAATGAAATATGCTCAAAGATGTATGTGAGAAAGATTGTACAGCCGTTTCCTGTTGTAAAACATGGCTATTCTGATCTAGATAGTATTGGGCGAGTTATCTGAATGTTTGGCATAGTGCCTTCTTTAATATCGGGCACTAAATGTTGAAGACAAATTTCCCGTTTAAAAAAGCGAACGAGAGAGTTCTGAACATCCACAATGTAATATAATTAGCTATACTAGGAGCCTAGTCCATTGTATATATATAACTTCTCTGAGTTCAGGCATTTTGTTAACCTTGTTTGCCGTATATAGCTCAGGGGTCGGTTGTATCAAACCCGTTTAGCTTAAACGGTGGTTAATATAAGTTCAAAATAGAAGGCATGTCTATCGTTTTATTCAAGAAGCAAACTAAATGTTTTTAACCTTAATACAAAGATACTGTTTACAACTACATATTCAGTGCATAATATTCAAGTTGACTCATTTAAGAGAGATGTAAGAGTGTTATTTAAATTTAACTTATCCACCGTTTAAGCTAAACGGGCTTGATACAACCGGCCCCTGGTCTAATCAGGGTACACAGTTACGATTGAAGAGTTAGTTTAAAGATTGGATTAGCTATCTTTGGATTTTATTTCCGCCAATCTTACAGGGGCTTATGTCAACACGCCCTGTGGAAAAACCGCAGATAATTATCTTGAGAAAACCCACGAGATTTGATAAAACTATCATCTTCGAAATTTAGTAAATTACATTCTAAAATTTTCGAAACATTAACAAATTGGATTATTCATTCATTTAAACCCAATTTACGCACCCCCGCTTCACACTTCTCGTTAATCCGACATCTCCATTTTCCCTGCCCACATATCGCCATATTTAGCGTTTAGAGTTTTGCAGGAGGAAATTGAAAAAAAAATTGTCCCCTCAAGGACTTATGTAATTTGCCGAAGGGGAAGTTTGGATAAGTTTGGTTTCTATGTAAAAACACAGACTTTTACTATGAGGAAAACCATGTGATATAAATTTACCAAACATATTTCGCATTGCAATGTGTACGGACGTGATTTTGTCTTCGACATGGCGAAATTATGAATTCGCATAGATATAGCTTAAGTTATGTTATTTGTAGCAATCAGTTATTCAATATATTCTTCAAAAGAGGAGGTGGAGTCCTTATCTAGACTATATAAATTCCGTTAAAATTCGGCGTTGAGACATCTCTTGTTAATATATTTCTTTGCCCCTTCGATATAGAAGATATATTAAAATGATATAAACTTTAGGTGCATCGTGCTCGCCATATTTCAACGAAAAACAACAACAAAAATATTATTCGGTTTTCAACACATTTTTCGATAGAGTCATCGACTCTGCGAGCAATTGATAATTTCAGAAACAGCACATATATACTTGTAAACTTATCAAAATGCTATTTCACATCGAAATTTCTGTAGTTGAACAGTCGTGTTATAGAAAAATGGACATGCAATAAAATGATTGTATGAGAAATTTATCTTAACTATTCCGAGCAAGTACGAGTATATATATTTGTGTACAAAAGGGAAAATGCCTACAGGTATATTTAAAATTGTCAAACGTAGCTATAGCCTATACGTTAATACAGTAACCCCCTTTCAAATCAGTTATTTCTGGAGTTCGCTTCGGGAAGCTCCCTTGTAAATGTCGAAAACATCTTAGCTTGTCTTTGTGTTGAATATTAGGAAACATTTTTGACTATCCAAGCGTTGAAAACGAAGTAACGCGTTAATACTTTCAGTTCACGAATTTCATCATGGAAGCGTTTGATATTCTGGACAGGTCGAACATGCAATAACAAACCCTGGCCTGTGCGCCTGCCTCGTACGATTCAACGACAAAAATGGCCTTTTAAAGAGATCAAATAACATCAAAGAGCATAAAAGAAGACCAGCTCTGTGTGTCGTCATTCATTTCGAAATGAATCAATCTAAACCTCGGTACAAAATTTGTGAATTCGTATATGAAATTCCTGGCTAATATTACATCACCCTCGGCAGCAATCTCTGCGTGCGAGGTCAAACTTACATAATTACATAGGGCTTGTTTTCACGGTAATATTTTCATTTGATTCAAAAGTGGATAAACTCGTACTAAACGTGAAGTTTAAAGCCATTCGATGTATACACAGAGATTAAAAAGCTCATTTAATAGCTGAACATTAAGTCGGTAGCCCCCCGATATATAATTTCAAAACAAATAGAATCATATCGCATGAACTTACCAGATAAATGAATGGCACTGTGAACAGAATCTTGGTTGAATGAAGGTTTTGATTTTGAAACCATGACCGCAAATATCGAGCGATGTTCTTCGAGACGATCTGAAAGCCATTCTGCCACACAGCTGACGTTCCGAAGCGTTTAAATCAGACGCTGAGGAATTGTTATTGAAACACAAACAGTTAGCCATTTCTGGGAAACAGGTTTTGGATTATAAACGGGATGGATGTCTTTGGAAACGCTTCGATCCAGCGAAGACTTGATGTCGAGTTTCTGTCGTGCTTCGTGCAACGGTGAAAGGTTTATATACGGTGTGGATGGGCCAGTCTTTGCCAGACACATATGTACTTAAGTTGCAATGACGCACAGCAGTCCACCCACGCCTTGGCAAAAGAGCCTGTCCTATCTGTGCGTAGGAGTGAAGATGAAAGACAATATCCTATATAATTACCCTGTTGCTCAATATTTAGTTGCTTGGATGCAGGTACTTTTGAATGCAAATATATTGGCTAATGGCTGACAAATAACTACCCGCTAAGCGCAACACGCTGCCCAAAAAATGCAGGAAAAACGTTTTCCCGGGTAACGCTGTCCTGTGTTCCAGTTAAACAGCATAAAACTAAAGCTGGTTCATCTTATTTCTTATACTAAAGCTTCAATTCCCGGCTGGGGTTGATTTGCATCATGATATAAAGCATGCATAGACCCATAACACGTCTCCCGATACAGAGTAACTGCTTTGGCAAACATTAAAAACGAAACAATCGACTAAAGATTTAAAATGAATAACTTACCTACATTTTTCATGGCACGGTTGTTTATGTTTAGCTCATAACATGGAATTTGGCGTTATTATATCTAGCTTGGTTCACATATTATTATTATACAATTTTTTTTCGCCAACGTATAAAACATAAATGTATATTCTATATGTTGGTTAAAAAGACGAGTTCAATTGCAACCGGATGCGGTTAATTTTCAATATAGATTATTTGACGCCGTTTGACACAGTTTCCCCTTCAGTTTCATCTCATGCAGGAGGCATTAAGCTGGGCTAACTTGTATCTTTTATATTGGGAAATTGCTCCATATCATAACTATAAAATAGATTAGGTTTTATAATTGTATTTTTCATAAAAAGATTTCTAAAAATTCAATAAAAATTCTTAACCATGCATGTCTTTGTGCTGAATATTAGGAAGCATTTTTGACTATCCAAGCGTTGAAAACGAAGCAACGCATTAAAACTTTTAGTTCATGAATTTCATTATGGAAGCGTTTGATATTCTGGACAGGTCGAACATGCAATAACAAACCCTGGTTGAACACAGTTTCCTGCACATGCACTAGTATTTTCCATCAGTTTCGTCAGTCATGCAGGAGTCAATGAGCTGGGCTAACTTGCATATACTTTTATATTGGGAAATTGCTCCATATCATAATCATAAAATAGATTAGGTTTTATAATTGTATTATTCATAAAAAGATTACTACAAATTTAATAAAAATTCTTAACCATGCAGGCTGGATTCGACCAATTTTCAATGCTGTTCTTGTTTGCCGCCATTTAAAATGAATCTCGAATCTTTTCAATTTTGTATTTTTAAGAGTAGTATTCCCATGATCAATTTTAAAATCTATCCCGCAGTCACGAAAAGTATAATGCCGAATGCATGTATTATAATAATTCGTGCTAAACGTATTTGATATATTTTCTGTCAATTTTCGGTGATCACAAACGCATTTTAGTGATATGGCAGTTGAGAAGAGATTATTATAGGCAATGGAGTATCCCAACCAAGTCTTTTTTCATGAGTTTTCTAAGGGTTCACTACTGAGGTTCAACTATGCTTAATTTTATAGTCCTTTGAGGGGGGCTCAGCCATGTGCACATGGGCGTGGTTTTCGACTGTTTTCAAGATCATTTTTATCTAGTTTATCAATTTGAAGCTCGGTTAATATGATTACAGGGAACTGAATATTCTTAGGCAAATGTCATAAGTTAGCTTTATTCTAAATTAACGGTGTTTGAACCCTTTTGGCGTAAAAGCGAAAATGTTACCCGGTTCCAGTTTACGAATACGGTAACGTATACACAAACCCGTGTCCAGGAGGGAAAAGGAATTGTAATTTAAGATACTTAAAATATTCCGACGTAAGAAAACAGATCAGTTTCATCCGTCTGTTTGAACGTGTTTACACACAGACGAACTAGAAGACGAACTATCAGTTTCGCTTGCCCAAGTTCGTCCAGAAGGATGATCCGTCTCTAGTCAGTAGAAATCGGGTCATTATTCTTGAAAATGGTTGAATCAAATGAATCTTTTATAGCTTGTAAAATACACATTATTAATTTAACTTTAGGACTACAAGAAAATTCTGGTTTTAATTTATTTCCAACCAATTTTGTGGAAAAGACACTCAACATATAATATCATCAAAATTTTAGGTTGTTCTGGACTTATAAGATTTTATCATAAAGTAATAAATCTTGAATGAAATTTCGATTTTAAGGCTATTATAGAACTGTCTACTATTCTGATCGTGTTGGTAAGAGAAAGGTTTAATACAACAATATACTGAAAATGTTTAATGATTAACAAGTGTTCCATGTGACAAATTCAACTTCGTGCGATTTCAAGACGCTTTGCCGTGTCGTCTGACAATCATCAATACTTTATATTTATTTATAATCTATATCTGTGCTTAGCATAAAATTATTATGGTTATCAACTTGTACTCTCACCGTCCCGTCGTAAAATGCACTAGGATGGTTAAGCCTTCTTATTCAGCATTCGTTGGACTGGAGTTTAATGATTTGCATTATTTTAAAGTTTGCGATGCATGTTATAATATTCGTGTCTGTTTATAGCATATTACTTTATGTTATGATTAAGCCAGGCGCACACGACGCGATTTTGTCGTAGGATCGATTTTAGTTGGCAACGTCAAACTGTTTTGATACATCAGATTGCTGTCAGCCGACTAAAGTCACCTAAAAATGACATCGCACACGCATAGATTTAGTCTGGGCCGACTAAAAATCAGGCCATGTGCGCCTGGCTTTACTCCATGCAATTGAAATATTTCTCTTTATTTTGCTTGAGGATATTGTTTAATAAATCAACTGTTGCTATCATGAGCAAAAATAGCTAGGAAGAACTTGTGTATTTTTAAATAATTTTATGACCTTCGCCTGTTGATAAATCTATGAGGCATCCAAAACGATGTTTTGATATTTTTAAGCGGAATCTGGTATGTATTATTTCCTGGGAATAGCGATCATCGAAGCGTAATTCATGGCTGCACACAATACTTTGGTCGCAATGAGAAGAAGTTCAACCTTTATGGTAGGATCCTAACAGTTCCAACAGGATTTCATAATACGATTTAAAATAATCGCTAGCATCTTCGAAATCTTCTTTCTCAAAGCAAACTGTGCCAAGATAGAAGTAGGAACGAAAAACATCCTCATGAATTGGTCCTAGTTTCTCTAATTGAATATTTAGTGCCTGTTGAAGATAATCTCTGGCGTGATCTAAATCCCGTTTTGATAGGCACACAACACCCAGTCGGAAGAATGAAGCAGCAACATTAACATGATTTGGCCCGAATTGTTTCAATCGAATTTTTAGCACGCGTTGATGATAATCACTAGCTTGCTCCAAATCACCTTTCTTCTCACACACATTACCCAGGTTGTTATATACACTAACAAGGTCAACGTGACTTGGCCCCAATAGTTCTAACTGAATTTTCAGCGCTCGTTGATAATAATCATTAGCTTGCTCCAAATCACCTTTATCACTAAACACAATACCCAGGTTGTTGTATGAAGTAGCAACGTCATCATCGTTTGGCCCTAATTGTTTTAACCGAATTTTCAGCGCTCGTTGATGATAATCATTAGCTTGCTCCAAATCACCTTTCTTCTCACACACAATACCCAGGTTGTTGTATGACCTAGCAACGTCAACATGGTTTGGCCCCAATTGTTCTAATCGAATTTTCAGAGCTTGTTGATGATAATCACCAGCTTCCTTCAAATCACCCTTATCATCACACAGATTACCCAGGTTGTAGTATGAAGTAGCAACGTCAACATGGTTTTGCCCCAATTGTTCTAACCGAATTTTCAGCGCTTGTTGATGATAATCACGAGCTTTCTTCAAATCACCCTTATCACCACACAGATTACCCAGGTTGTTGTATGAACTAGCAACATCAACATGGTTTGGCCCTAATTTCTCTAATTGAATTTCCAGCGCTCGTTGATGATAGTCATTGGCTTGCTTCAAATCACCTTTATCTTTACACAAAGTACCCAGGTTGTTGTATAAACTAGCAAGGTCAGCATGGTTTGGCCCCAATTGTTCTAACTGAATTTTCAGTGCTCGTTGATAAAAATCACTAGCTTGCTCCAAATCACCTTTATCCTCATACGCAATACCCAGGTTGTTGTATGAAGCAGCAACGTCAACATGTTTCGGCCCCAAATGTTCCAACTGAATTTTCAGTGCTCGTTGATGATAATCACTAGCTTGCTCAAAATCACCCTTTTTATGACGCAAAATACCCAGATTGTTGTATGAATTAGCAACGTCAACATGGTTCGGCCCCAATTGTTCCAACTGAATTTTCAGTGCTTGTTGATGATAATCATTAGCTTGCTCTAAATCACCTTTATCTTTAAACAAAATACCTAGATTGTTGTATGATTTAGCAACGTCAACATGGTTCGGGCCCAATTGTTCCAACTGAATTTTCAGTGCTTGTTGATGATAATCATTAGCTTGCTCTAAATCACCTTTATCTTTACACAAAATACCCAGATCGTTGTATGATTTAGCAACGTCAACATGGTTCGGCCCCAATTGTTCCAACTGAATTTTTAGTGCTTGTTGATGATAATCACTAGCTCGCTCTAAATCACCTTTATCTTTACACAAAATACCCAGATCGTTGTATGATCTAGCAACTTCATCATGATTTGGCCCCAATTGTTCTAATCGAATTTTCAGCGCTCGTTGATAATAATCATTAGCTTGCTCCAAATCACCTTTATCTTTACACAAAACACAAAGGTTGTTGTATGATCTAGCAACTTCATCATGATTTGGCCCCAATTGTTCTAATCGAATTTTCAGCGCTCGTTGATGATAATCATTAGCTTGCTCGAAATCACCTTTATCTTTACACAAATTACCCAGGTTGTTGTATGAATTAGCAACGTCAACATGGTTTGGCCCCAATTGTTCTAACCGAATTTTCAGCGCTCGTTGATGATAATCATGAGCTTCCTTCAAATCACCCTTATCATCACACAGATTACCCAGGTTGTTGTATGAAGTAGCAACGTCAACATGGTTTGGCCCCAATTGTTCTAACCGAATTTTCAGCGCTCGTTGATGATAATCATGAGCTTCCTTCAAATCACCCTTATCATCACACAGATTACCCAGGTTGTTGTATGAACTAGCAACGTCAACATGGTTTGGCCCTAATTGTTCTAACTGAATTTCCAGTGCTCGTTGATAATAATCATTGGCTTGCTTCAAATCACCTTTATCTTTACACAAAGAACCCAGGTTGTTGTATAAACTAGCAAGGTGAACATGGTTTGGCCCCAATTGTTCTAACTGAATTTTCAGTGCTCGTTGATAATAATCACTAGCTTGCTGCAAATCACCTTTATCCTTATACGTAATACCCAGGTTGTTGTATGAAGCAGCAAGGTCAACATGTTTCGGCCCCAAATGTTCCAACTGAATTTTCAGTGCTCGTTGATGATAATCACTAGCTTGCTCAAAATCACCCTTTCTATGACGCAAAATACCCAGATTGTTGTATGATTTAGCAACGTCAACATGGTTCGGCCCGAATTGTTCCAACTGAATTTTCAGTGCTTGGTGATGATAATCAATAGCTCGCTCCAAATCACCTTTATCTTTACACACAATACTTAGGTTGTTGTATGTAATAGCAACATCAACATGGTTCGACCCCAATTGTTCTAACTGAATTTTCAGTGCTTGTTGATAATAACCACTAGCTTGTTCCAAATCGTGGCACACAATACCGAGGTTGTTGTATGACCCAGCAACGTCAACATGGTTTGGCCCCAATTGTTCTAATTTAATTTTCAGCGCTCGTTGATAATAATCTCTAGCTTGCTCCAAATCACCTTTAGCACGACACACATGACCCAGGCTGCTATATGAACTAGCAACGTCAACATGCTTTGGCCCTAATTGTTCTAACTGAATTTCCAGTGCTCTTTGATGATAATCATTAGCTTGCTCCAAATCACCTTTATCACTACAAACAGTACCCAAGTTGTTGTATAAACCAGCAATAACAGTATGATTTGACCCCAATAGTTCCAATTTAATTTTGAGCGCTCGTTGATAATAATCACTAGCTTGCTTCAAATCACCCTTCATATGACATAAACCACCCAGGTTGTTGTATGATGTAGCAACATCACTATGATTTGGCCCTAATTGTTCTAATTGAATTTTCAGCGCTCTTTCATGATAATCACAAGCTTGCTCCAAATCACCTTTATCCTTACAAAGAACACCCAGATTGTTGTATGAGCCAGCAATGCCACTATGATTTGGCTCCATTTGTGCTAATTCAATTTTCAGTGCTTGTTGAAAATAATCACTAGCTTCTTCCAATTCACCTTTCGCATGGCACAAAGTACCTAGGTCAGTGTAGCAACTAGCAAGGGCAATATGGTTTGGTCCAAATTTCTGAAACACAATTTTTAGTTCTTGCTGGAAAATTTCCATCGAGAGAGAAAACTCGGAAAAGTAACATAGAGTTCTTCCAAAAAAACTATACATATGCAATCCCCATAATTCAGTTTCATAAAATGCTGAGCTCGTTAAGGATAGGGTTTGATTTGGAAACAATCTATTAATTTCTGTTAAAAATGCTTTCAAATGTGGAATGATTTTAATTTTATCTTTCCTGTCTTCGAAAGAATACAATGTTCTTGTGACGTTGTGAATTCGTATTCTTACATTTTGCTCTTCATCTGGTATTTCAACTTTTGATGAATCGCCAATGTCAGTTTTTTTCAAACGATAACGAAATTTGATCGCATCATGCACAACACGATGCAGGCGTATATCACGGTCTTTATTCCCAACATGAACAAACAACGAGCAGTGTTTTATTGCAAGAATTATATCCTCGGCCTCAAACTCGTCTTCTTGCTGCTGAACGTATTTCACAACAAGATCAAGTGGTAGTGGTTCAAACGATATCAAAGAGAAAAGGTTGAATGCATGTTCAAGAATTTTGTTTTTTTCCGCGCAATTTGTAACAGCTAAAAGTACAGCTGCACTCATGGTGGATGAATATGCTGCTGAATTTGTCTGCCGAAGAGGCTCTTCTGTTAATTCTCTTCTCCCTTTTTCAAGCTTTTCTAAGTAATTCCGCCAAGAAAAATCTGGGAGACTCTCGATGACTTGGCCCATATACGCGGCTGCAGCAGCCATTGCCAGTGGTTGACGATCTAACTTCTCTGCCACCTCATATAGTAATGGATCATTGACGTCTGTTGTTGATAACAGGGCAAGAAGCTCGCGACACTCTTGGTCATTCATACCGAGACTAAGTGAAATATGTTTACTTGACAAGCTGTCGAAAGGAACTGCATTTGTGTTTTGTGTCGTCACTATGATTTGACCGTTTTTCCAAACATCGTCGCCCATCAGAGGCAGCAGTGGGGAAATGAGTTCGAGATTTTCTACATTGTCGACGATAATCCACCACTTCTTCCAATTCTTAATTCTGTTGGATATTTGTGATCTTAAATCTTTGATTTTCTCATCTTTTGCTTTAGAAGAGCTCAAAAGATTTTGTAATACGCTCTCGTTGCAATTTAGCCGACGACAAAAATCTTCATATGAATTTAAAAGAGAATCGAAATCTTTTCCGTTCAATGTCATTACAAACATTGCTTCGTGCTTCGCGTGAACGTTTTCCCAAATATCTTCAAAAACTTGCCTGGCGAGTTGAGATTTACCACTTCCGGGATTCCCAGAGATGTAAAAATATGTAAGTTTGCCCTCGTTATCGCTGCGCAACTTTTCAAGATCTTCGCTTATCTCGTGTATCTTGTCAGAACGAGAAACGACTTCATGAGTTGGCTTGGGAGGTAGAACTTGGAGGGATTTAAAGAGGTTTTTAATTCGAACGACTTCTTTGCTTGACAATCCTAATGCATTCAATGCATTTTTAACGTTTGTTATTTTGGTTTGAAAGTCTGCATCGAGGAGCGATTTTTCAGGTTTATGAGTTATTTCATTTCGTAGTTTTCTCAGATTATCGATTTCAGTTTTTTGCTTTGTATTAAGGCTTGCACCAATCGAGTTGGAATAAAGAATTGCATCAAAAAGTACAGTACAATCCCAATCATTTGAATTTCCATGATTAAATTTGGACTGAAGCATTGGTTTATTTGGCCGTTTTCGTTTTTTCTCGAGATTAAACAACTCCTTACCAATGACGTTTGTGTCATCCCATGCTCCAAGAGAAGCCTTGTAAAGTTTGTCCCATTCCTGAATAAAGAATTTTCTCAATTCCTTCCTCACAACATCACTGACAATGTAGTCTGCTCGAATGTAGTTTTGTCTTTCCTCGCTTTCCCATGGTATACCGGACATTTTTGCCCGCTAAAAATTGAAGAACGTTTTTAACTGCGATTCAAGCTAAGAATCAGCTGTACCATGGTTGAATAATAAATTGAGAGTTTGGGAATTTCCCTTTCGACTTCGATATTGCGTTCAATAAAAATAATGAATAATATCAATTTATTGTGATAAGACAGACAATTATTCTGAAGCATGAATTTCAACATGCGCCATATTCTTAGAGGTTTGTGAAGTACTCACCAACTTGATGATATATTCTTTACTTTTCAAAACTCATATTCTAAAAACGAAAGATCAATCACAACAGGAAATTTATACCACATTGATTATGCGGTCTACTGGTATTGTTGTTGTGTGCAAGATAATGATTCTTTTGAAAGGGCTTACTAAGCAAGTATGTATTTCATGATGCAATTATAATTATTATATTTTAGTTCGAAAACAAGATAAAATTGGCGAACTTCTGTCACACAGCACTCATAGAGTGCAAATAATTTGCCTAGCTCGCGACCAATTGAAAAAAGAATTTCGTTTTTGGTTTTCCATATTGCATTCAAAAGAGACGCAATAAAATCAATCAAAGACAGAAGATAGACACGAGCAATGTGTAAATATAAGAGAGAAAATAAACAGACGGCAAAACTGATCGGGATACGACAGCCAATTATTCTGAAGCATGAATTTCAACATACGCCATCTATTGCGTGGGTGGTGAATAGTTTGTGTTTATACGTTTCTTCTGATCGTCAAATCTCAAAGAAACATGCGTCAAAAACTAATAAAACAATTGCAAGCTCTCATAGGTTTTATGAAGTACTCACCAACTTGATGATATATTCTTCACTTTTTAATTCATATTCTAAACGAGAAAGATGAATTATAACATGAAATTTATATCATGCTGATTATGCGGTCTACTGGTCGTTTTGTTGTGTGCAAGATAATGGTTGTTTTAAAATGCTTACCAAGCGAATTTGTACTTTTTATTACTCATTTATTTCATGTTATGTGAGTCTAATGGGTTTGCGTTACATTTAAGAAAAAGGAGATGAACTGATCCAAAGTGAATAAAATCGTCTCACACTCACACAATCAGTGAATGTTGTGACAACTCTGCTCTTACAATGACGTAATTTACATGTTTACTAATATACTTACAGTTACAAATATAAAAGCTGTGCTATCCAAGCCCAGACTCAATTCTGTATGAAAAGATATTCGAATTTCTTAATGTTATATTCTTGTAGAGAATGACATCACGTGTCCATACCTTTATTAAAAAATTGCTCATCTTAGCTGGACGTCTTAATAGCATTCCAGTGATCAAACTGAGCTCTGCATGAGGGCTTATAATCACTTAGTCCAAATAACGTTTTAGTTGACAGTTTTTTCTTCTCAATTCAGAATTTTGATACTAAACTTAGCGTATTCAAATACGAATTAGCTAATATCCGATACCTGCTTTGAAAAATTATACTTTACATCTGCTGTTTATGAAGTACTCGCCAACTTGATGGTGTATCCTGCACTTTTTAACTCAGATTCTAAACGAGGAAGAAAAAACTATAACATGAAATTTATACCATGCTGATTATGCGGTCTACTGGTCTTGTTGTTTTGCGCAAGAAAATGGTTGTTTTGAAAGAGCTTACTCATCAAGTTTATAATATAACATTTATAGTACGCCCGTCCTGATTGGTCGAGAAGCGTGTTTCTATAAATGTGCGGAAACACGGAGTTCCTGCCGAACTTGACAAGCGAAGTAATGTAATGAGAATTTGTAATTGAATAGAATTAATATAATATTTGTAAAAATCTTTTTATTGATTTATATTATAAAAGGAATAGAAAACATTTTTTGATGGTGAACGTTTGGGAAAAATTCGCTCGCGCTGCCGTATAAAATTGAATTAATGAAATTATTTTTCGGTGTAATTGCGGTGTATTGATTATTTTCTCGAAATTAATATATCTAGGTACAGGGTGTATACTAATACAATTAGACAACTCGCCTTCGTTGACTATTTGCTCATAGACAATTCGGACTCGTTGTCTAATTGTTAAATAAAATTGTTCGCGCTCTACGTGCTCGTTCTCCCACTGATTATTTCTCGTTCTCCCAAACTCCCACGCGTGTTTCTATAACTGTATAGAAACACGAAAAATGTTTTCTGCAATTTTAATGCAATTATTATTTTTATATTTTAGTTCGAAAAAAGATCAAATTGGTGAAACCTGTCTCACACAGCCCTCATATAATTCCAATAGCTTGCCTTATAAGCGACTGTTGAAAAGCGGATTTCCGTTTTGATTTTTCATATTGCATTCAAATGAAATTAAATGTAAAAAATATCAATGGAACAAACTTGTGCGTAACAGAAGATAGACACGAGCAATGTGTAAACATAAGAGAGAAAATAGACTGATGAAAAAACTGATCGTGATACAACGGACAATTATTCTGAAGCATGAATTTCAACATACGCCATGTATTGCGTGGGTGGGGAATAGTTTGATTTTATACTTTGCCTCTGAATGTCATATCTCAAAGAATCATGCACTAAAACTAATATAATATATTCTCATTGGTTTGTAAAGTACTCACTTTTCAACTTATATTCTAAACGAGAAAATATTGCAGATATGGTTAAGTTTTTATTTGACAATCTAAATCTGCCGTCACCAACAAAACGAAACGAATATGTCGCCCCTTTATCCACAAATATATATATTTATACACAAACCTTCTGCTTTCGTAATGAATTTTAGTAATTTGACTGTTAAAATCCTTTGAAAATTATGTTATAATAATACTCTCAGTAATGGGAGCCATGCACCAGTTCCACAAATAACAAATTTTGATCAAACGTTACCATCAAATATGTATCTTGAAACAAGCGTCATTGCATATCTGCGCATTTCATTTATGTTCAGCCTGACTTTGTTTGTTTAAGACTATATACAATTGAAAATCCTTGATAATCAGATCTTGCACCCGAGTGCCGGTCAAATACCCAACATTAAAATACACTTTCAGCCTACAGATTAATGCCGCTATGCGAGTAGGAAAATATCGTAAAGGTGGATATGTTCTTTCTGTCAATCACCCAAATAAAGTTTTCATGTATCAGACAAAATAGGAAAGATAAATAATAAAATAATAAATGACGCGTTATTAACTGCGATGAATCGAGCAGTGCTGGTTTTATTAAAACTAAGAGCTATGTAAATATGTTCTTTCAAGAAAAATATATTGAGTAAAAGCTTCGGTTTCCGAAATGTTTTTTTCTCTTAATAAATTGACTGAGCTCTGTAAACGCTGTTTAAATGAAAAGCTAATTTCAATGCAAATATACAAACTTTATTTTTAAACACACTAAAAGATATCTATAATGGAATTACGTATAACATATATTAGCAAATTAATTACAGTTCTGTATTGAAATATATATGAATGTATTACTTACAGTTACAAATATAAAAGCTGTGCTATCCAGAAACCACGCCAAGCCCAGACTCAATTCTGTATGAAAACGTATTCGAATTGCTTAATGTTATATTCTTGTAGGGAGCTATAACGACATGACGTGTCCATACAAATCTTAAATAAAAAATTGCTCTGCTTAGCTTGACGTCCTAATAGCATTCCAGAGATCAAACTGAGCCCTGCATGAGTGCTTATAATTACTTAGTTCAAATAAGGTCTTAGTTGACCGTTTTTCTTTTCAATTCAGAATTTTAATACTAAATTTAGCGTATTCAAATACGAATTAATATCTGATACCTGCTTTGAAAAAGTATACTTTACATCTACTGCCTTGTATTATCTATCTATGTGGTCACATAAGACATGCCTTTGACAAGACAAGACTGGACAAAAACCGGTGGTATAAGTGCCGGTCAAATACCCTGGGTCAAATATCTTGTATATCTGTACATTTCGTTTAGGCTCAGCCCGACTGTGTTTGAGATTCGAATGGAAAACCCCTGATTATCAGACCTCACACCCGAGAAATGCCGGTGAAATATTCAAAATTAAAATACACATTCTGCCTACTTTATGACAACGACAGATTAATGCCACTATATGCGAGTATAAAAATATCGTGAAGGTGGATATATATATTCTGTCAACCACCCAAAGTTTTCATATATCAGGTAATAAGGAATAATAAAGAATAAAACGACGCCTTATTAACTACGATGAACCGAGCAGTGAATGCAGTATACAAATATATTGAATAAAAGCTAAACTGATAAATTTCAACATACGCCATCTATTGCGTGGGTGGTGAATAGTTTGATTTTATGAGTTTCTTCTGAATTCATGTCATGTCTCAAAGAATCGTTCGTCACAACTAATATTCTAATAAGTATACTCACCAACTTGTGAACTTGATGATATATACACTTTCTAACTCAGATTCTAAACAAGAAAGATGATTATAATATGAGATTTATATCATGCTGATTATGAGGTCTACTGACTTTGTAAGCTATAGCGTTCTGTTCAAGATAATGGTTGTTTTGAAATACTTACCAAGCGAATTTGTAGTTTCTACCACTCACTAATTGTAATAGCAAGATTTGTTTCGAAAAAATGGAGATGAACTGATCCAAAGTGAATAAAATCGTCTCACACTCACACAATCAGTAAATGTTGTGACAACTCTGCTCTTACAATGACGTAATTTACATGTTCACTAAAGCCATGCATTCCACAAATAACAAGTTTTGAAACAAACGTTATCATCATTTGTGTATCTCAAAACATGCGTCGAAATGCATTCCATAAATTTCGTGCGATCGTTTTACCGCAATTATGTTTGATTTGGCGCATCTTTTATAGTGCGGTGGTAGTTTTATTAAAACTGAGAACTTGTAAATAAGTTAATATACTAAATAAACTAAAATTTCAACATACGCCATCTGTTGCGTGGGTGGTGAATAGTTTGATTTTACGCGTTGCTTCTGAATATCATATTTCAAAGAATCGTGTTTCATAGAATCATGCGTCAAAACTAATAAAACATACCCAAATAGATTAATCAATTGTTCACAAACTTGATGATATATTCTTCACTTTTTAACTCATATTCTAAACGAGGAAGATTAATTATAACAAGAAATTTATATCATGCTGATTCTGCGGTCTACTGGTCTTGTTATTCTGCGCAAGATATTATATGTAATGCCTTCAAATACCTACCAAGTAAATTCGTATTTTTCACCACGCATTTATTTCAAGTGTGATGATTGTAATGGCTGCATTATTTGTCGAAAAAGATAAACTTTCCAAAATGAATAATATCGTCTCACAGCCACACAATCAGTGAATGCTGTGAAATGCATTCCACAAAATTAATAACAAATATCTCAAAACATGCAGGCGTCATTTTTGTGTGATTGTTTTGTGCAATTATATATATATATCACTGACAGATCTCAAAAGCCGACGTTCTTTCGTCAAACGTCACTCAAACCGGATTTAATTCTGTGTTGGAAAGGTATTCGAATTGTATACCTCTCTTCATGATGTCTTAATAACATTCCAGTGATCAAACTAGGCTCTGCACGAGTGCTTATAACTCTAACCTTTACCCTATAATGCACATACTTAAACTGCATACAGTATGCAGTATAAAACTTTGAATTATATTTTTAAGAAAAATTTTTCAAAAATGTAATAACACTTTGCTTCTGAATGTCACTTGTATTTCGACTGTAATAACAACGACTTAGTTTACAAGGTCATCCGTCACCATGCAATGAATTCACAAAACAAGTTTGAACGTGTATGCCAAAACAAACCTCAATTTATGTGATGTTTTATACAATATGTATCCCTCAATATTAAATTCAGTGATGTCCTACTCGTGAAATAGGGAGCATAAAATGTTCGCAGGGCAAGTGAAAATCAAATAATCCCCCGCGCTAATTTGATCGACTCTACAAAAGCACTACGGGAGATACTGAGATTGCGACAAAAAATTTTCGTGTGAAATGACCTTTTCAGCACATTTTGTCCCGGCAGAAAAGCATGTTTGCATGATTAGTATGAAATATTCATATGAGTTCAAATGTTTAAATGAGTTCTTACCAACTTGATGATCTACTTCTTACTTTCAACTTCAATTGTAAAGGCGAAAACAATGATTGTGTTATCGACTGGCTCGGTTGTGACTATAACAACTTGTGACGCCCCCACAATTCAGCATCGCAAAAACAAATCTCGGCTGTAAATTAAGCCTCTTACAGACGAACAAGTTTTCTATGACAAGTTTTTATATGACAAGTTTTAATTGGCAATTGCACATGTGTATGTACAACAAATTTTCTATGACAAGTTTTTCTTTGACAAGTTTTATTTATTTATTATAAATCAAGTATACTTGATTTGAACAAGTGTACTTGTCATAGAAAAAATTGTCAAAGTTGGGCGTACAGACGAACAATTAAAACTTGGCACATAAAAACTTGTCATAGAAAATTTGCTCGTGTGTAATTGAACGATATAGGGACATGGTCAGCCGTCACAACCCCTGCAAAATAAGTTTTGAATATCTCAAAGAACCATGCGTAAAAAACTAATATGATATATTCGTGTAGGTTTATGAAGCACTCACCAACTTGATTATATATTCTTCAGTTTTTAACTCATATTCTAAACGAGAAAGATGAATTAACATGAAATCTATATCAGGGGCTACTGGCCTTTTCGCTGTGTTCACGAGGGAGAGAATGGTCGTTTTGAAATCATTAACTTACTTCCACTCCATCAATCACCGGCCCTATGGGCTTCACACACATGTTATGTTCAGTGTGCCTCAATATTCCCTTTGATCCCAACTCGAACTGCAATCTTTCCTCATTACAGACACGGTATATTACAAGTCTTTTTCCATCACTTGGTTTAGTATAACCACCTTGATATCGGCTAACAAGGGAATTTTCAGTTTTTACAACACATTTCATTTTATGATCTACAGATGAACCGACTCTGGCTCTCTGTAACTTGAATAGACGCTTTGAATGTGTTTGTGTTATTTCAGAACAAAATTTTAAGTATTTGAAACCGACAAGGATATAACAAATAGCGAACCCAGTTTCATGTAACAATGGCGAATCAGTTTTCATTTGCAGCAATATAATTAAATATTAATCGAAAATAAAGCTTTGAGATTAAAAGAGAAAGTTCTGAGATATTTACGATGTGCTTCTTTTCACAGGAGCATCAGCGAGTGAACACATGTACTCAAATGCCATAGAAAAACCTTTTGTAATATCAGACTGTACAAAGTAAAAAGCAGATGAACTTATATTACTTGATAAGTGTGATGTATCGTCGTGATTCTCAGATAAAAGAGAGAAAGAAAAATGAAAGTAAAATGAAAATTGTGACATAAATTCAGCGTAAACGCCTCTCGTTCCCGGGAACTTTAAGCTTTAACTCCCTATATTACTCCCGAAATTCGGATTCCACGTGGCAGTGGCGTAGTTAGCATCGATAATTGAGGGGAGGCATATTCATATATTCATCTTAACAGACTGTAAAGTCGGGTGACTCAGGTTAATCAAATATTTCCCCACTTTTTCTCGACGAATTTCGCTCCAATACGACTGATTAAACAAGCGCGAGATACCTTGAACTGCTACAAGTATTTTCAAACAAAATCTACAAGATTTAGCAGCTAACGTTTGACTTATAACATCAGGTAGAAGCAACAACACCGGCCCTTTATTATTGCTTTTGATGCAAATTGCGATGGGTTGATGTATGTACATTTAGCAAAACAAATTCTTTAACTCAACTTTGTAAGTGATAAGCCTGTCTCTTAACATCTTCCCGAATCTTTAATTTAAGAAATCATCTTTAAAATCTCTGATCCTTCCCACTAGCTCAAAAGCTAATCACTATTGCTGCTTTGATCTTCCCAAATCCCTATAGTACGTGAATGTGTAAACCTCGTTCATTATATTAATCCAATCCTCTGCTGTTAATTGTTCTGCATGCGAGTAAACAAACGGCCGCATTATTTTGACAGATTACAGCTTATTGTGTTTTACTGACTAAGGTCATGTGCATACGGTAACGTTTTCGAGCGTTTTAACATTCGTTAAGAGGCTGTTTACGTGATCCCGCTTAGCCGAGATTCAACGAAGCGAGATGACTTTGTCACTTTGAGGTATTGAAATAATTATATAACATGATTCTGGTCGTGGTGAAGTAATTTTTGAAGTGTAATTAACGCATTTCTAAAAACATTTGAACACATTTCTAACGACTTACTATGACAAATAAATCACAATAATTGTGGCAAATCATTGCACAGTTTCCTGGCCTTATTTGTCTGCTCTTAAATCCGACTTCATTATTCCGAGATATTAATTGTAAATTTTCAAGGTTACTAGGTGAAGACATTCTGCGTCTAAATTGGAGTAAAAAAGTTTAGTCTCACTTTAAACATTGGCCTAATTTCAAAAAGCATCGTGCTTCATCAATTTCAATGACAATTATATTTTCGCCCCATTACTAGGCATCAGCTATATTTTTCTAACTTACCTAAATCTTCTCTTTTACGTCATGATAAAACACTTTCACCATGCAGCATTATTCGAACCATAAATTTGGAAGTTGCGAGACCATTCTCGTCACCCCGAGACTATTTGCTCTTGGGATAACTGACGTTATTTTTATTTTACTTAAACCTTTTTCAAGTTCATAATGAAAAACATTCCTTTCATAATTTAACCCTTCCGCTTAAGACATGCGAGAAACCAAAAACTACGGCGCCATAGTCAAACTTGCAAGAGGAGCCTCTTTCCTCGAAACAGGACAAGAGGGCGAGAACCGATAGATTGACGTGTCACGCAGTGGATACGACTCCAAAAGTCGAAGGCTTAGAACATATGACATTGCTCTATAATTGAGTATGTTCATATATTCATCATATGCATCGTGATTTTAATTTAAATTTATATTTCACTCATAGGTTTTCCTCTTTTCCTTTAAGATATATAATATCGTCAAACGCTTAATTTAAAACCAATCTTGTTGAATAAACATGTTGTTCTAATATTGTTCTCATGCATGCTGTTATATCTAAGGCAAGGAAGGTTTAGAATAGCAATACAGGCTTATAAATTCATATGTGATTATAATAGTGTTATAGATGATCAGGACTTGACCGACATGCTAATTGGATATTGATTTCTTTAGTATAATTAAAATATTTCGGTTCATCAGTTCATTGTCATCAATTTTCCTGAAAACATTATTCTCGTCCAATATGTTTTCTTGAGACCATGTATCTTTTCACCCTATTAGTTAATGTAAAAATTCGCTGAATATTCAGATGCTGATATGACGCAAAAAAGCTGGATAGATGACGTAATAATTATGATGTAATCACAAAGAGAGCTTGACTCTGACACGTTGTACATTTTACAGTAACTTTATTGGGAAATTTTGAAAAGATAGTGCGCACAAATACAACAAAACAGTGTCAAATACTAGTCATAAAAGTGGTGATGCGTGATAAAAAAAATTTCATGTATCGTTATAATAATTAATTGCGTGTCTTTAAGACTAAAATTCGCTTCATGAATGCTATACAGGGTGTCCCAAAACTCCCCAAAACTATTGAAATCACCTATTGTTAAAATTTGAATGACTTGTTCGGAAAGTTCAAGACTTGTCGAAGGTGATGGTGCTTGGGTTGTAAATACTGCTATCCTTATTTGTAAAGTGTGTACATAAACAAATTTAACTGTCATCATACATAAAAACGCTTATGTCAAACAGTTATACATTTTGTTGGTCCCAACAGGCTGCTTGGGCATTCAAACTCCAGCTATGACATTGTTATATGGGTGATTTCAATGGTTTAGGGTTTTTAGGACACCTTGTACAGAATGTACAGTGCATGCGTAAGATAAGATAGATAAGCCTTTTTGATTGCCTTAACCAGCTCTTTATATAATGAGCATTCGTGAACGGAACTATTTAAATATTCTTAATTTTAATATTTTAATATTCATTCTTTTATCGTGAAGTTCATCTATAATATAAACTAAGGAGCCAGAATTGTCTTTTTCGGCAAAGGTTAACCCAGGCGTCAGTTTGATGAGAGCAATATCGTTGCTGTCGTCGTACAGAACACACTCGAATAGTCCCAATTCTTCTCCATCTATATAATAGCACTTGGTTTTTTACAGCTTTTACAGATTATAACTGCAGTCATTTCTCTGACTTCTCGGAAGCATGTAAGGGGGGTGATTTTCATTCTTCACTTTTGCCATGTATGTTTTACATAACTGTTCACGTCTGCACTCTAAAGTTGGTATTTTGGCTAGGCAGATCGCCTCGTCATAATTATTAACTGAGGGGTAAATAATCTGAAGTGCTCTTTTCTGTATGGACTCGATCTCCATCTCCGTCTGCATCTCTCTCTCCATCTCCATCTCCATCTCCATCTCCATCTCCATCTCCATATCCATATCCACCTCCACCTCCACCACCACCTCCATCCCCGCCCCCGCCTCCGCCTTCATCTCATCTTCATCTTCATCATCTTAAATATATATATATATATATATATATATATATATATATATATATATATATATATATATTTATACACCCATTTGCAAAAACGTTGGCCGCAGATAGATAGATACTCGAAGTCTAATTAGAATTGCATATGATTACATTTGCATGGGATTTCTATATTACACAACATATGCAATTCTAATTAGATTTCGAGTATCTATCTATCTATCTATCTGCGGCCAACGTTTTTGCAAATGGGGGTATAGGTGTATATATAAGTATATAGGTGTGTATATATTATATAATATATATATATAATATTATATATATATATATATATATATACAGCTATATATAAAGCTATGTACGTCTTAACGAACCTTTCTGATAAATAATAAGCCTTTAGATGCATATCCCGTGAACTTCAACATTTTGAGTGTCTTACAAGACGTTTTAATTAAAGTGCCTATATCACTCGTGGGATCTTTATGCATTTGAAAAGAACGTAAAAAGTTAGTTAATATATTAAAAAACGTTTTTTGATTTAGTGCAATAATTTCGAAGATACAAGCCTCTAAACTACCTGCGGTTCCTGAGTCCCAACCTCCGGGGTTTAAACACGGCTATTCAATTTGAAACTGCCCAATGTTTACAGGAGCCTGGGACTCAGGAACTGCAAGTAGTTTAAAGGCTAGTATCTTCAAAATTATTGCACTAAATCAAAAAACTTTTTTATTATATTAACTAACTTTTTACATTCTTTTCAAACGCATAAAGATTCCACGAGTGATATAGGCACTTTAATATATAGTTGAAGAAAAGGACTTATTACCGATGTTATAGGTATTATTAGGTGATGTTTATGAGATGAGCTTTATTACTCACGTTATATATCAGACACTATGTGTATCAGCATGGATTATGGGATAATAACTGCCAAAAGTGTAAAAATCACTTCCTTTCGACGTTTTCCACCGTCAGGATATTCGTCAGTAGAGTTATAATGATCTTGTCTATTTTAGACAGTTTTATATTATTTTACTCGATGTTAGGTTGTTATATATAGGATACGCTGCTAGTGACACCGCTCCTAAAAATTTCCAAATATGTTTACCGGTTAATGTAACAATACCTTTATCAATAAGATCTGCCAGTTTAAAATATTCTTCAGCTTTCTCTTCGTCATCCAAATCAGTATATACGCGACCCAGGTTTCTGTAAGTAGCAGCAACATCAGCGTGGTTTCCTCCTAATTTTTCTAAACGAATTTTCAGTGCCAGTTGATAGTATTCGATTGCCTTTTCTTCATCACCTTTAATATTCCACATCGTACCCAGGCAATTGTATGTAGTAGCAACGTCAATATGATCTGGCCCTAATTGTTCTAATTGAATGTTCAGTGCCTGTTGATAATATTCTTCAGCTTTCTCTTCGTCACCCAAATCAATATATACATCACCCAGGTTTCTGTAAGTAGCAGCAACATCAGCATGGTTTCCTCCTAATTTTTCTAAACGAATTTTTAGCGCCAGTTGATGGTATTCGATTGCCTTCTCTTCATCACCTTTAATATTCCACATCATACCCAGGCAATGGTATGTAGTAGCAACGTCAATATGATCTGGCCCTAATTGTTCTAATCTAATTTTCAGTGCTCGTTGATAATATTCGCCGCCTTTCTCCAGATCATGCTTTTTACAATATACAGAACCCAGGCATTGGTAGGACATAGCCACATCAAAATGATTTTGTCCTAAGTTTGCCAATCGAATTTTCAGTGCTTGTTGATGATATTCCTCAGCTTGTTTATGATCACCCTTATTATGATATACAGAACCCAGGTTGTGGTAGGACCTAGCAACATGAATATGGTTTGGTCCTAATTTTTCCAATTGAATTTTCAGTGCTTGTTGATAGTATTCCTCAGCTTTTTTAAGATCACCCTTATTAGAGTAAAGTCTACCCAGGTTGAGATATGCACCAGCAACGTCAACATGGCTTGGTCCGAATTGTTGTAATTGAATTTCCAGGCCTCGGTGATAATAATCACTTGCTTGTTCCAAATCACCTTTATCGAAACACACAAAACCAAGGTTGATGTATGAACGAGCAACGTCAACATGATCTGGACCTAATTGTTCCAATCGAATCTCTAGGGCCCGTTGATTATAATCACTGGCCTTTTCCAGATCGCCTTTGTCATGACAAACAACACCCAGGTTGCTATAAGTGCGAGCAACATCAATATGGTTCTCTCCTAATTGTTCTAATTTAATTTTCAGCGATCGTTGATAATAATCCAAGGCTTGTTCCAGATCACCTTTTTCTCTACACACATTTCCCAGGTTGTTATATGAAGCTGCAACGTCAACATGATTCGGTGTTAATTGTTGTAATTGAATTTCGAGTGCCCTTTGATAAAATTCAACTGCCTGTTCGAAATCACCTTTATCATAAAACACACCACCCAGATTGTTGTATGAAACAGCAACGTTAATGTCGTTTGATCCTAAATGTTCTAAAGCAATTTTCAGCGCCTTTTTATGATAATTCAAAGATTGTTTCTGATCACCCTTCTCATTACATACAAGACCTAGGGAGTTGTAACAACCAAAAAGGTTAATATCATTTGGCTCAAATTGTTCTAATGCCATTTTCATTGCTTGTTGAAGAAATTCCTCTGACAGTTTAAACTCGGAAAAGTCACGTAATATGTCTCCAAAGAACTGATAAACACTTATTGTTTCAGGATTTAGACCTGCTATATTTAAGCCATCATTTGGAAAGAGTTTTTTAATTTCTGCGTTAAATGCTTTTAAATGTGAAATCAATTTAATTTTATCTTTCCTATCCTCGAAGTAATACAATATTTTTAACACTTTGCGGGCTACTGCTTCTAAATGATTATGGATTGTTTTCTTTCTTTTTCTTGGAACTTCGGTTTCAGAAGCATTATCAATTTTAGGTTCTTTCGGAAGACAAAATATTTTCACTGCTTCGTGTACAACCCGATGAAGACGGATATCGCTCTCCTTATTCCTAACATGAACAAACAATGAGCAGTCTTTTATTGGAAGAATGATATCCTCTGCATCCAACTCTTCTTCTTCCTGCTGAATGTATTTCACAACAAGATCAAGTGGTAGTGGTTCAAACGATATCAAAGAGAAAAGGTTGAATGCATGTCCAAGAATTTTGTTTTTTTCCGCGCATTTTCTAACGGCTAAAAGCACAGCTGCACTCATGGTGGATGAATATGCTGCTGAATTTGTCTGCCGAAGACGCTCTTCTGTTAATTCTATTTTCCCCTTTTCAAGCTTTTTTAGGTAATCTCGCCAAGAAAAATCTGGGCAGCTCTCGATGACTTGTCCCATATACACGGCTGCGGCAGCCATTGCCAGTGGTTGACAATCTAACTTCTCTGCCACCTCATCTAGTAATGAATCACTGACATCAGTTCTTGATAACAGGGCAAGAAGCTGGCGACACTCTCGGTCATTCATACCGAGACTAAGTGAAATATGTTTACTTGACAAGCTGTCGGAAGGAACTGCATTTCTGTTTTGTGTCGTCACTATGATTTGACCGTTATTCCAAACATCGTCGCCCATCAGAGGCAGTAGTGGGGAAATGAGCTCAAGATTTTCCACATTGTCGACGATAATCCACCACTTCTTCCAATTCTTAATTCTATTGGATATTTGCGATCTCAAATCTTTTATTTTCTCATCCTTTGGTTTAGAAAAGCTGGAACGATTTTTTAATACGCTTTCGTCGCAATTTAGCTTACGACAAAGATATTCATAGGAATATAAAAGAGAATCTGAATCTTTTCCGTTCAATGTCATCACAAACATTGCTTCGTCCTTCGCATGAACATCTTTGCAAATAACATCACAAACTTGTCTGGCGAGTTGAGATTTTCCACTTCCTGGATTCCCAGAGATGTAAAAATATGTAAGTTTGCCATCGTTATCACTGCGCAACTTTTCAAGATCTTTTCTTACCTCGTGTATCTTGTCAGAACGAGAAACAAATTCATGAGTTGGCTTGGGTGGTAGAATTTGGAAGGATTTATAGAGATTTTTAATTCGAACGACTTCGTTGCTTGACAGTTCTAATGCATTCAATCATTTATAACATTTGTTGTCTTGGTTTGAAAGTTTGCATCAACGAGCGTTTTTTCAGGTTCATGAGCTAATTCATTTCGTAGCTCTCTCAGATTATCGATTTCAGTTTTTTGCGTTGGATTAAGGCTTGAACCAATCGAGTTGGAATAAAGAATTGCATCAAAAAGTACAGTACAATCCCAATCAGTTGTATTTCCATGATTAAATTTGGACTGAAGCATTGATTTATTTGGTCTTTTTCGTGATTTCTCGAAATTAAACAACTGAATACCACTTACGTTTGTGTCATCCCATGCTCCAAGAGAAGCCTGGTAACGTTTGTTCCATTCCTGAATAAAGAAACTTCTCAATTCCTTCCTGACAACATCACTGACAATGTAGTCTGCTCGAATGTAGTTTTGTCTTTCCTCGCTTTCCCATGGAATACCGGACATTTTTGGCCGCTAAAAATTGAAGAACGTTGTTAACTGCGACTCAAGCTAAGAATCAGCTGTTCGATGGTTGATTAATAAATTGAGAGCTTGGCAATTTCCCTTTCGGCTTCAATATTGCGTTCAATAAAAATAATGAATAATATCAATTTAAAAAACTTGTCTGTAAGAGAAGATAGACACGAGCATTGTCTCAATATAAGAGAGAAAATCAACAGATGACAAATATGATCGTGATAAGACAGACAATTATTCTGAAGCATGAATTTCAACATACGCCATTTTCTTATAGGTTTGTGAAGTACTCACCAATGTGATGATATATTCTTCACTTTTTAAGTCATGTTCTAAAAACGAAAGATCAATCACAACATGAAATTTATATCATTCTGCATGATTATGCGGTCTACTGGTCTTGTTGTTGTGTGGAAGATAATGGTTGTTTTTAAAGGGTTTACTAAGCAAGTATGTAGTTTTCACCACTCATTTTATTATGCAATTATAATTGTTATATTTTAGTTCGAAAAAAAGATCAAATTGGCAAAACCTCTCTCACACAGCACTCGTAGAGTGCAAATAACTTGCCTTATAAGCGACTAATTGAAAATGGAGTTTCCTTTTTGGTTCTCCATATTGCATTCAAATGAGATGTGATAAAATCAATTCAACAAACTTGTGTGCGACAGAAGATAGACACGAGCAATGTGTAAATATAAGAGAGAAAATAAACAGACGGCAAAACTCATTGTGATACGACAGACGATGATTCTGAAGCATGAATTTCAACAAACGCGATCTATTGCGTGGGTGAGGAATGGTTTGTGTTTATACGTTGCTTCTGATCGTCATATCTCAAAGAAACATGCGTCAAAAACTAATAAAACAATTGCAAGCTCTTATAGGTTTTTGAAGCACTCACCAACTTGATGATATATTCTTCACTTTTTTACTCGTATTCTAAACAAGAAAGATGAATTATAACATGAAATTTATATCACGCTGATTATGCGGTCTACTGGTCTTGTTGTTCTGTGCAAGATAATGGTTGTTTTAAAATATTTACCAAGCGAGTTTGTAGTTTTTACCACTCATTTATTTCATGTTATGTGATTGCAATGGGTATGCATTACATTTAGGAAAAAAGAGAACTGATCCAAAGTGAATAAAATCGTCTCACACTCACACAATCAGTGAATGCTGTGACAACTCTGCTCTTACAATGACGTAATTTACATGTTCACTAAAGCCATGCATTCCACAAATAACAAGTTTTGAAATGTTCGTTATCATCATTTGTGTATCTCAAAACATGCAGGCGTCATTTTATGTAATCGTTTTACACAATGTTGTGAATTATGTGAAATAAAGAAAATATTGCAGATGTGGACATATGGTTGAGTTTTTGTTTGACTGTCTAAATCTGCCATCACCCACAAAACGAAACGAATATCAGTTCGCCCCATTATCCACAAATATATTTATATTTATACATAAAGCTTCTCCTTTAGTAAGTTGACTGAAATCATGTTATAGTAACTATTTACAACAATCGAAGTTTCAGCCAAGTTCCACAAATAACAATTTTTAAAGAAACGTACCATCATATATGCATCTTAAAACAAACTTCATTACATATTTGCAAATTCGTTTGGGCCCAGCTTGACTGTGTTTAAGACTATAGGATTGAAAATCCCTGATAATCAGATCTTGCACCCGAGAAGTGCTGGTGAAATACCCAACATTAAAATACTTTCAGCCTACAGATTCAAGCCACTATGTGAGTAGAAAAGTATCGTGAAAGTGGACATGTTATTTCTGTCAATCACCCAAAGTTTACATGTTTCAGGTAATAAGGAATAATAAATAATAAAATGTCGCGTTATTACCAGCGATGAACCGAACGATGCTGGTTTTGATAAAACTAAGAACTGTGTAAATAAGTTATTTCAAGAAACACAAATATATTGGAAAAAAAGCTTCATTTCCGAAACTAATGAATTTCAACATACGCCATCTATTGCGTGGGTGGTGAATAGTTTGATTTTATGAGTTGCTTCCGAATGTCATATCTCAAAGAATCATGCGTCAAAAACTAATAAAACATATTCTTATTTGTTTGTGAAGTACTCACCAACTTGATGATATATTCTTCAGTTTTTAACTCATATTCTAAACGAGAAAGATAAATTATAACATGAAATTTATATCATGCTGATTACGTGGTCTACTGGTCTTGTTGTTCCGTGCAAGATAATGTTTGTTTTGAAATACTTACCCAGCGAATTTGTAGTTTTCACCACTCATTTATTTCATGTTATGTGAGTGTAATGGGTCTGCATTACATTTAGGAAAAAGGAGATGATCTGATCCAAAGTTAGTAAAATCTTCTCACACTCAAACAATCGGTGAATAATGTGATAACTCTGCTCTTAAAATGACGTAATTTGCATGTTCACTAAAGCCATGCATTCCACAAATAACTAGTTTTGAAACAAACTTTATCATCATTTGTGTATCTCAAAACATGCGTCATTTCGTGCGATCGTTTTACCGCAATTATGTTTGGTTTGGCGCATCTTTTATAGTGCGGTGGTAGTTTTATGAAAACTGAGAACTTGTAAATAAGTTAATATACTGAACTAATGAATTTCAACATACGCCATCTATTGCGTGGGTGGTGAATAGTTTGATTTTATGCCTTGCTTCTGAATGTCATATCTCAAAGAATTCCCTTTCCAATCGGGAAAGTAATTTAAACGAGGAAGAAATTTCAATTATATTAATTTTGGTATGCTGTGTAAATTTATTTCACATAGCAATTTATTTTACAAACAGGAAAGTAAACCGAATCAGATCAGAATTGGGTCAGAATGGAATATAACAATTTTGACGCTTTGATAAAATAATTGAATACTCGATAGCTCTATATAGGGTATACCCAGTCTTTTTGTTATATACTTAATGTAGATATCGATCGAAACTGGCCAGAAGCGCAAGTCGTAGTCAAGTGGACGAAACTATCGTCTGGTGGTAGGTAAGTTACCTAAACGTTTTATTTCAAATAATCTTAAAGAATAAAATAACCGATAATTTGAGCAGGTAGTTGCTGTATTTACACGAAGAAATGCTTGAAAATCTTACTCTATTTAACGGAAAGCCTTTGTTTTCGTTATGAATCTTTATACTTTAGTTAACTGTCTAAATTCTTGCGTCTCAATTTCCCCTCCTTCGAAAGTAAATTCATGATATTCTCGACCTTGATAATATACACAAGACATAATTATGTATATACGTATTACTTACAGATATATCAACTCTTGTGTCGCCAAACTTCATTAATTTTAACCAGATTCAAGTATGTTTTAAATAGCAGTTCGAGCTGCTTTATATTTTATATGCACATGCAGGGAAACTGTTATGAGATGACAGTTGAAACTAAAATTAATGAAAATGGCTCAGCTTGATGTCTCAATAACTTAGCAGTCAAACCGACTTCTAAGTGCTAATTAAAATTTTCATTGTTCAAGTAAATTATCTCTTAAGTTGAAGGCTTTCAATTTTTCCATGTTTGATACCAAACGTTCCATACTTGTCATTTGTATATAATAATGTCTTCACAATATATCTGTCTTGTGTGCAGGATCAAGTCATGCATTCCATGAATGACGGGTTTTGAAACAAATAATACTTTCATAGTTCTCATAGAATCATGCGTCAAAACTAATATAACATACCCTAATAGATTAATCAATTGCTCACCAACTTGATGATATATTCTTCACTTTTTAACTCATATTCTAAACAAGAAAGATTAATTATAACAAGAAATTTATATCATGTTGATTATAAGATGTCCTGGTCTTGTTATTTTGTGCAAGATATATAGATGCCTTCAAATACCTACCAAGTAAATTCGTATTTTTCACCGCTCATTTATTTCAAGTGTGATGATTGTAATGCCTCAAAACGTGCAGACGTCATTTTTGTGTGATTGTTTTGTGCAATTATATATATTAATATATATATATATTATAATATTATATATATATATATATATATATATATATATATATATATATACAATTAAGTAAAGTATCCAAGAAGAAAGAGTGCTCGATATCAAAATTTAATAGAGCGATTAAAATAAAATAAAATAAAATAAATAAATTTATTTTATTATTATATATATATATATATATATATATATATATATATATATATATATATATATATATATATATATATATATATATATATATTACTGACAGATCTCAAAAACCGACGTTCTTTCGTCAAACGTCACTCAAACCGGATTTAATTCTGTTTTGGAAAGGTATTCGAATTGTATACCTCTCTTCATGATGTCTTATTAACATTCCAGTGATCAAACTAGGCTCAGCACGAGTGCTTATAACTCTAACCTTTACCCTATAATGCACATACTTAAACTGCATACAGTATGCAGCATAAAACTTTGAATTATACTTTTAAGAAACATTTTGCAAAAATGTAATAATACGCGTTGCTTCTGAATGTCACTTGTATTTCTACTGTAATATAACAACGACTTAGTTAACAAGGTCATCCGTCACCGTCTAATGCATTCAGCAAAACAAGTTTGAACGTGTATGCCAAAACAAACCTCAATTTATGTTTTATATAATATGTATCCCTTAATATTAAATTCAGCGATGGCCTACTCGTAAAATAGGGAGCATAAAATGTTTACAGGGCAAGTCCAAATCAAATAATCCCCCGCGCTACTTTGATCGACTCTACAAAAGAACTACGGGAGATACTGTGATTGCGACAATAAATTTTCGTGTGAAATGACCTTTTCAGCACATTTTGCCCAGGCAGAAAAGCATGTTTGCATGATTGGTATGAAATATTCATATGAGTTCAAATGTTTAAATGAGATCTTACCAACTTGATGATCCACTTCTTACTTTATACTTCAATTCTAAAGAAAAAAACAATGATTGTGTTATCGACGGGCTTGGTTGTGACTATAAATACTTGTGACGCCCCCACAAGTCAGCGTTAACTCCCAATATTATATATTGTAAATTTCGTAAATGATCTGCAGAAATAACTGGATGGGTCAGTCATAGTAAGGCAAGATCAGCCTGGAAGGTGGTTGGATTATAGTCCCTATGCTCGAATATCTGACCAATGTGCATCTCTTTAACTTGAGTCTCGTTCTCTTGTGATCTGTTGTGAAGACCAAGAACGACTGTGAATCTTCGTGGTCGAACTACTTGACGTTTCTTGTTAACTGCACAATGAAAAAAAATTATAAACTTTAAAAGAAATGGAGAAGTTATTTGAATGTCTCTAATCGCCACTTATTAACAACGAATTTTCAATTCACCACTCCAGATGTTAGTGCTAAGCCTTAAAATCATTACTCAGTCCTCATTGTTGCCAAGAAATTCCACGTTGCAGTGGCGTAGCTAGCATCGATAATTAAGGGGAGGCATATTCATATATTCATCTTAACAAACTGTAAAGTCGGGTGACTCGGGTTAATCAAATATTTCCACACTTTTTCTCGACGAATTTCGCTCTAATACGACTGATTAAACAAACTCGAGATACCTTGAACTGCTACAAGTATTTTCAAACAAAATCTACAAGATTTAGCAGCTAACGTTTGACTTAACATCAGGTAGAAGCGACAACACCGGTCCTTTATTATTGCTTTTGATGCAAATTGCGATGGGTTGATGTATGTACATTTAGCAAAACAAATTCTTTAACTCACCTTTGTAAGTGATAAGACTGTCTCTAAACATCTTCTCGAATCTTTAATTTAAGAAATCGTCTTTAAGATCTCTGATCTTTCCCACTAGCTCAAAAGCTAATCACTATTGCTGCTTTGTTCTTCCCAAATCCCTATAGTACGTGAATGTGTAAACCTCGTTTATTATATTACTCCAATCCTCTGCTGTTAATTGTTCCTGCATGCGAGTAAACAAACGGTTCGGATTGGACTAATTTGACCGTTTTTTTTTTGCTAGATTACAGCATATTGTGTTTACTGACTAAGGTCATGTGCATACGGTAACGTTTTCGAGCGTTGTAACATTCGTTAGGAGGCTGTTTACGTGATCCCGCTTGGCCGAGATTCAACGAAGCGTGAGATGACTTTGTCATTTTGAGGTATTGAAATGATTATATAACATGATTCTGGTCGTCGTGAAGTAATTTTTTGAACTATTATTAAAACGCATTTCTAAAAACATTTTAACACATTTCTAACGACCTACTATGACAAAAATAAATCATAATAATTGTTTCCTATGGCCTTATTTGTCTGCTCTAAAATCCGACTTCATTCTTCCGAGATATTAATTGTGAATTTTCAAGGTTACCAGGTGAATAATTGATGATATCTGCGTCTAAATTGGGTAAAAAAGTTTAGTTTCACTTTAAACATTGGTCCAATTTCAAAAAGCATCGTACTTCATCAATTTCAATGACAACTATATCTTCGCCCCATCACTAGGCATCCAATTTTCCACGATATTTTTGGGCTCGCGACGTAATAACACGAGTTACATGACGATTGTCTTTACCACTGGGCCAACTGACCTTGAAATCAACAGCTATGTTTTTCTAACTTACCTAAATCTTCCCTTTTACGTCATGATAAAACACTTTCACCATGCAGCATTCGAACCATCAATTTGGAAGTTGCGAGACCACTCTCGTCACCTCTGGACTATTTGCTCTTGGGATAATTGACGGTATTTTTATTTTACTTAAACCTTTTTTCAAGTTCATAATGAAAAACATTCCTTTCATAATTTGATCCTTCCGCTTAAGACATGCGAGAAACCAAAGACTACGGCGCCATAGTCAAGCTTGCAAGAGAAGCCTCTTTCCTGGAACGGGACAAGAGAGCGAGAACCGATAGATTGACGTGTCACGCAGTGGATGCAACTCCAAAAGCCAAAGGCTGTGTATATAATTATGACATTGCTCAATAATTGAGCACGTTCATATAATCATCGTATGCATCATGATTTTAATTTAAATTTATATTTCACTCATAGCTACGTTTCGCTCTTTTCCTTTAAGATGTATAATTTAAAACCAATTTTGTTGAATAAACATGTTGTTCTAATATTGTTCTCATGCATGTTGTTATATCTAAGGGAAGGAAGGTTTAGAATAGTAATACAGGCTTATAAATTCATATGTGATTATAATAGTGTTATAGATGATCAGGACTTGACCGACATGCTAATTGGATTTTGATTTCTTTAGTATAATTAAAATATTTCGGTTCATGAGTTCATTGTCATCAATTTTCCTGAAAACATTATTTTCGTTCAATATGTTTTCTTTAGACCATGTATCTTTTGACCCTATTAGTCAATGTAAAAATACGCTGAATATTCAGATGCTGATACGACACACAAAAGCTGGATAGATGACGTAATAATTATGATGTAATCACCAAGAGAGCTTGACTCTGACACGTTGTGCATTTTACAGTTACTTTATTGGGAAATTTTGAAAAGAAAGTGCGCACAAATACAACAAAACAGTGTCCAATACTAGTCATAAAAGTGGTGATGCGTGATAAAAAATATCATGCATGTATCGTGATAATAATTAATTCCTGTCTTTTAGACTAAAATTCGCAGAGTTGCAAAAAAGTTGCGGGTACACGAGTACCACCCTTGAGGAAGATTTGCTTTGAATGAGGTTTGTGAGGAAGGTTCAAAGTTGAACACTCTATTTGATCACATGCATGTACCAAAAAAACCCAAATATTTCTTTATCCTGGTTGCCACTTGATTCAGTGTCGTAACGGCAATTTGAGGAAGGTTTTCGAAACTTGAAATCCTACCGGAGGAAGGGTGAACTCTTTTTGCAAGTCTGAAAATTCGCTTCATGAATGCTAACAGGGTGCCCCCAAACCCCCCAAACTATTGAAATCACCTATTGTAAAAATTTGAATGACTTGTTCGGAAAGTTCATGACTTGTCGAAGGTGATGGTGCTTGAGTTGTAAATATTGCTATCCTTATTTGTAAAGTGTGAATTTTGTTACTAAAATAATTTGCACAAACAAATTTAACTGCATCACGCATAAAATGCTTATGACAAACATTTATACTTTTTGTTGGTCCCAACAGGATGCTTAGGCATTCAAACTCCAGCTATTACATTAATGTTATGGGTGATTTCAACAGTTTGAGGTTTTTTAGGACACTTCGACAGGGTCTACAGTGTGTAAGATAAGATAGATAAGCCTTTTTGATCACCTTAACCAGCTCTTTATATACTGAGCATTCGTGCACGAAACTCTTTAAATATTCTGTGAATTTTACATAAATTTAACCCAAGGTTGTTTGTCAGTTTAAGATAGGTTGAATGTTCATCATTTCATGCCTTCTTATTAATGCCTCTAAACTATTGCGTAAATTTGAACAATAAAAGACCTGACCAGTGCGATTGCACACCATTGCAAAAGGTAATTTTTTATCTTCATCTATGATACAAACCAAGGAGCCGGAATCGCCTCTCTCGGCAAAGGCACCTTCACGTGTTTCTTGAATTCCATAAAAACCCAAATTTCTGCCGTCAGATAGCCTCATTGATGTTATGGAATGAAGTTCCCCTTGTGTTTCATTTGTCACCGCACCATATTTTTTGACTGTAGGTAATTTACCCTCAGCCATGCACCTTTCGAATATATTTCCGACTTCTTGTTTACTTAATAATTCTGATTGAACACCATTTCCAAGGAGAGCAATGGCGCGATCTAAGGTTAGCCCCGGCGTCAGTTTGATGAGAGCAATATCGTTGCTGTCGTCGTACAAACCACACTCGAATTCTCCCAATTCGAATTCATTTCCATGTATGTAATAGCACTCGGTTCTTCTACAGCCGGTCGCGTCATTTGAGCAGTCGTCCTTCAGTCTCCTGTGTTGTTCAGTAATGTCATTTGGAAAATTTTCGTGGCAGTAACACACATGATAACAAGTGACCGCGTAGCGATTTCCAGGATTTGATGTCTGGTTGGCAAGGATGGTTAAGGTCCCGCGATTTTCTATGTCATTATTTCTTAAGCAGAGGGTATCACCAGAACTAGGTCCTTGAAGATATTCATCTTTATCGTCGCTTTCTTCGGTAAACTTAACAAACGGAGCAATGTTATCACCAAACACGTTCTTTAGATCTTGCATGCAGGGTTTTGTGTTTCGAGCGTAAGTGATGCACATCTGCCATGATTTTTTTTCTTTATTAATACCAATGGAGAAATCTTTCAGCCAAGAGAGCCTAAAAATTGGCAAAAAGAGTATAATTAGTCATTAGTGCTTTTGCTTGCTATGACATACGACTTGATAAAAAATATGAAATTTCTTAAGCCCAGTTTAATTGGATAAAGATTGTAGGTCAAAAATTTTGTAGAGAATTCATCGGTGATAATAATTATAGCTACTGCAGAACTTCCTTTAATTCTTATTGGATTCTCACTGGCTGGATTCTTTGGTATCAGTAGATTCTTTTTTTTAACTTTAGGCTACCTTTCATTTCTCAGTTCATTCACATAAACAGCTTTCATGTCATAATTCTCGTCCAATATGGTTTCTTTAAACCATTCATCTTTTGACCCTTTAATTGAAACAAAATAAGATTTAAATATCAGTCTTGGATATATATACGGCAATATATAAAGCTATGCAACGCCTTAACGAACCTTCCTGATGAATAATCAGCCTTTAGATGCATACCCCGTGCACTTCAACATTTTGAGTGTCTTACAAGACGTTTGAATTAATATATAGTTGAAGAAAGGGACTTATTACCTAGCTATGTTATAGGTAATATTAGGTGATGTTTATGAGATGAGCTTTATTACCCACACCATATATCAGACACTATATGTGTATAAGCATGGGTTATGGGATAATAACTGCCTAAAGTGGAAAAATCACTTGCTCTCGACGTTTTCCACCGTAAAGGATATTCGTCAGTAGAGTTATTATGATCTTGTCTATTTTAGACAGTTTTATATTATTTTAATCGATGTTAGGTTGTTATATATAGGATACGCTGCTAGTGACACCGCTCCTAACAATTTCCAAATATCTTTACCTGTTAATGTAATAATTTCGCCTGGAACTTTTGGAGACGATTCTTCCTGATCACCTTTATCAATAAGATCTGCCCGTTGATAATATTCTTTAGCTTTCTCTTCGTCACCCAAATCAATATATACGTGACCCAGCTTTCTGTAAGTAGCAGCAACATCAGCATGGTTTCCTCCAAATTTTTCTAAACGAATTTTCAGCGCCAGTTGATAGTATTCAATCGCCTTTTCTTCATCACCTTTAATATTCCACATCATACCAAGACTACTGTATGTAGTAGCAACGTCAATATGATCTGGCCCTAATTGTTCTAATTGAATTTTCAGTGCTCGTTGATAATATTCGCCGCCTTTCTCCAGATCATTCTTTTTACAATATACATCACCCAGGCAGTGGTAGGACTTAGCAACATCAAAATGATTTGGTCCTAATATTTCGAATCGAATTTTCAGTGCTTGTTGATGATATTCCTCAGCTTGTTTAAGATCACCCTTATCATGATATACAGAACCTAGGTTTTGGTAGGACTTAGCAACATCAATATGTTTTGGTCCGAATTTTTCCAATTGAATGCTCAGTGCTTTTTGATAGTATTCCTCAGCATGTTCAAGATCGCCTTTCTTGTAGTAAATTCCACCCAGGTTGAGATATGCACTAGCAACGTCAACATGGCTCGGTCCGAATTGTTGTAATAGAATTTCCAGGCCTCGTTCATAATAATCACTTGCTTGCTCCAAATCACCTTTATTGTGACACACAATACCCAGGTTGTTGTATGAACGAGCAACGTCAACATGATCTGGCCCTAATTGCTCTAATCGAATGTTTAGGGTCCGTTGATAATAATCACTGGCCTGTTCCAGATCGCCTTTGTCACAACAAACATTACCAAGGTTGTTATAAGAGTCAGCAACATCAATATGGTTCTCTTTTAATTGTTCTAATTTAATTTCCAGCGATTTTTGATGATAATCCAAAGCTTGTTTCAGATCACCTTTTTCACTACACACATTTCCCAGGTTGTTGTATGAAGCTGCAACGTTAACCTGATTCGGTTTTAATTGTAGTAATTCAATTTTGAGTGCCCGTTGATAAAAATCACCTGCCTGTTCGAAATCACCTTTAGTAAAAAACACACTACCCAGATTGTTGTATGAAACAGCAACTTTAATGTCGTTTGATCCTAAATGTTCTAAAACAATTTTCAGCGCCTCTTGATGATAATCCAAAGATTGTTTCTGATCTCCCTTCTTATTACATACAACACCTAGGTAGTTGTAACAATCAAAAAGGTTAATATCATTTGGCCCAAATTGTTCTAATGCCATTTTCATTGCTTGTTGAAGAAATTCCTCTGAGAGTTTAAACTCGGAAAAGTCACATAATATGTCTCCAAAGAACTGATAAACACTTATTGTTTCAAGATTTAGACCTGCTATATTTAACCCATCATTTGGAAAGAGTTTGTTAATTTCTGCGTTAAATGCTTTTAAATGTGAAATCAATTTAATTTTATCTTTCCGATCCTCGAAGTGATACAATGTTTTTAACACTTTCCGAGCTACTGCTTCTAAATGATTATGGATTGTTTTCTTTCTTTTTCTTGGAACTTCGCTCTCAGAAGTATTATCAATTTTAGGTTCTTTCGGAAGACAAAATATTTTCACTGCTTCGTGTACAACCCGATGAAGACGGATATTGCTCTCCTTATTCCCAACATGAACAAACAACGAGCAGTGTTTTATTGGAAGAATGATATCCTCAGCATCCAACTCTTCATCTTCCTGCTGAATGTATTTCACAACAAGATCAAGTGGTAGTGGTTCAAACGATATTAAAGAGAAAAGGTTGAATGCATGTCCAAGAATTTTGTTTTCTTCCGCACATTTTGTAACAGCTAAAAGCACAGCTGCACTCATGGTGGATGAATATGCTGCTGAATTTGTCTGCTTGAGACGCTCTTCTGTTAATTCTCTTCTCCCTTTTTCAAGCTTTTCTAAGTAAACTCGCCAAGAAAAATCTGGGAGACTCTCGATGACTTGGCCCATATACGCGGCTGCGGCAGCCATTGCCAGTGGTTGACGATCTAACTTCTCCGCCACCTCATCTAGTAATGAATCATTGACACCAGTTCTTGATAACAGGGCAAGAAGCTGGCGACACTCTTGGTCATTCATACCGAGACTAAGTGAAATATGTTTACTTGACAAGCTGTCGGAAGGAACTGCATTTTTGTTTTGTGTCGTCACTATGATTTGACCGTTATTCCAAACATCGTCGCCCATCAGAGGCAGTAGTGGGTAAATGAGCTCGAGATTTTCCACATTGTCGACGATAATCCACCACTTCTTCCAATGCTTAATTCTGCTGGATATTTGCGATCTCAAATCTTTGATTTTCTCATCTTTTGGTTTAGAAGAGCTCAAAAGATTTTTTAATACGCTTTCGTTGCAATTTAGCTTACGACAAAAATCTTCATAGGAATATAAAAGAGAATCTAAATCTTTTCCGTTCAATGTCATTACAAACATTGCTTCATGCTTCGCGTGAACGTTTTTCCAAATATCTTCACAAACTTGTCTGGCGAGTTGAGATTTTCCACTTCCGGGATTCCCAGAGATGTAAAAATATGTAAGTTTGCCGTTGTTATTGTTGTCCTTGATGTTGTTGTCATTGTTATTGTTATCGCTGCGCAACTTTTCAAGATCTTTTGTTATCTCCTGTATCTTGTCAGAACGAGAAACGACTTCATGGGTCGGTGCAGGAGGAAGAATTTTAAACAATGCAAACAGGTTTTTTATTTGAACGACCTCGTTGGTTGACAGTCCCAATGCACCCAATGCATTCTCAACTTTTGTTGTCATGGTTTGAAAGTCTTTATTAGTTAGCGTTTTTTCAGGTATTTCATGAATTATTATATTTCGAAGTTTTCTAAGTGTATCGAGTTCATTCTTTTGGTGACTTTTAAGATAACAACTGATCGAGTTGGAATAAAGAATTGCACCGAAAAGTACAGTGCAATCCCATTCATTTGTATTTCCTTTTTGAAATTTGGAGTGAAGAAATTTGAAATTTGGCCTTGTTCGTTTTTTCTCCAAATTAAACAACTTCTGACCACTTACGTTGGTGTCATCCCAAGCTCCAAGAGAAGCCTGGTAAAGTTTGTTCCATTCCTGAATAAAGAATTTCCTCAATTCCTTTCTTACAGCCCAAGTGACAATATATAAAGCTCGAATGTAGTTTTGACGTTCCTCGTTGTCCCATGGCATACCAGACATCTTTGCTGCTAGAAAATTAGGAAAACATTCAAATTATTAGGCGAAAGTAAGGTTTTTTAGGTCTGTACAAAGCAAACTAAAAACACAGACGGATTTTTTAATGCAGATTTTCCGGTCTGCTTTTCTGGTATTTTGCCTGTTTGCAAAATGCAGTCTACGCTTGATGTATTTTACAGTAGTAATAACCTGCGATGACTTTAAAAGCATGTCTGGTATGGGGCCAGCTACTCCTGATGAGTCTATCTGCGGGACCCAACCCATCTAAAAAGGTATATATCTATAAATGGATATTGGTATATTAGGTCACAACCACTGATCCTGTGTCAGGGTATTATAAACAAAACTTCAATTCAGGCGTTTACTCCGCCCGGAGCAAAATATTGTGCAGTTATCGAGAATAGCACTTCCAAAGCCTAGTTCTCATAAATGGCAATCATCGGGGATGCCATTGTCGGCGTTCGCTGACGAATGTAGTGCTTTATATCTTGCGGGCCCAAATAAGATTTGTTTAGGGTTGATATAAAATGTTTTAAAAAAATCATAGACCACCCAGAAATGTTTTCGTTCTCGTGACGGTCGCGCGTGTACGCGAGTCTACTCGATCTATGACAAGGTTGTCATTCATACCGAGACTAAGTGAAATATGTTTACTTGACAAGCTGTCGGAAGGGACTGCATTTGTGTTTTGTGTCGTCACTATGATTTGGCCGTTATTCCAAACATCGCCGCCAATCAGAGGCAGTAGTGGGGAAATGAGCTCGAGATTTTCCACATTGTCGACGATAATCCACCACTTCTTCCAATGCTTGATTCTGTTGGATATTTGCAATCTCAAATCTTTGATTTTCTCATCTTTTCGTTTAGAAGAGCTCAAAAGATTTTTTAATACGCTTTCGTTGCAATTTAGCTTACGACAAAAATCTTCATAGGAATATAAAAGAGAATCTAAATCTTTTCCGTTCAATGTCATTACAAACATTGCTTCGTGCTTCGCGTGAGCTTTTTTCCAAATATATTCACAAGCTTGTCTGGCGAGTAGAGATTTTCCACTTCCGGGATTCCCAGAGATGTAGAAATATGTAAGTTTGCCATCGTTATCGCTGCGCAACTTTTCAAGATCTTTTCTTATCTCGTGTATCTTGTCAGAATGAGACACGACTTCATGAGTTGGCTTGGGAAGTAGAATTTGGAAGGATTTATAGAGGTTTTTAATTCGAACGGCTTCATTGCTTGACAGTTCTAATGCATTCAATGCATTTATAACATCTGTTGTCTTGGTTTGAAAGTCGGCATCATCCAGCGTTTTTTCAGTTTCACGAGTTATTTCATTTCGTAGTTTTCTCAGATTATCGATTTCAGTTTTTTGCGTTGGATTAAGGCTTGCACCAATCGATTTGGAAAAAAGAATTGCATCAAAAAGTACAGTGCAATCCCACTCATTTGTATCTCCGTGATTAAATTTGGACTGAAGCATGGACTTATTTGGTCTTGCCCGTGATTTCTCGAGATTAAACAACTGACTACCACTTGCTTTTGTGTCATCCCATGCTCCAAGAGAAGCCTGGTAACGTTTGTTCCATTCCCGAATAAAGAAACTTCTTAATTCCTTCCTCACAACGTCACTGACAATGTAGTCTGCTCGAATGAAGTTTTGTCTTTCCTCGCTTTCCCATGGTATACCAGACATTTTTGCTCGCTGAAAAATTAATGGAAGTATTTGTAATTCGCAAAAAGATCATATGTATGAAAAATATTTCCATAAATTTCGAATCGATAATACGCGAATTACTCACACAAAAATAAAAAAAGAATTATATGAAGGTAATTGTTCGTGAAATGTTTAATGTACCCAAACCTAACTGTGTCCCAACGGCGGGGATGTTGAACGTGATGTATAACCAATACTTAATATCATGCAGGTTTAAGATGTATTTTATATATTTAAACACTTAAAGTAAATCCAATTAAAGTCAGTAAAAGATTGCTTCGTTTTATATTATATAACTTAATGTAAACATGACGTTTCCACGAATTCTAATTAAAAACTGCTCAGCTTGAATGCCCTGCTTTCGATGTCGCGTTATTAGAAAAGATCAATTCAATAAACTTAATATATCGTCGAACAATGTTTCAATATAAGACTGAAAATTAAAAACATATATTTCAAGCCAGAATGCATGCAATTTTTTCCGGCCCTAGGAAGATTTTATCACCATTTAAAAAGCGCTATAAAATCATATTTCTTTATCGCTTATCATGTTGAGCCTACTACGTACACTGATGTTTTCAAGCTTTTTTAGGAAACCACTATATATTTAGCTATACGGGCAAAGTAGAAGCATGTTTGATAAAATGATATATAGTGGAGACCATAGCCCCTAGTTTGACGCTATGAATGTGCCATCAAAACGGTAAAAATTTTCAAACGCCTAACGAAAACAATCGAAAACGGTTACAGGTACACGTATAACCTTAAAAAAGCTGTAGTGCCTTATATCCTTTGAAATTAGAAAATATATAACCTGAAAAGCCAAGGCACGAATATTCCAATTTTGACTTTTACTGAAGCTCTCTTTCTCAATTCCTGTATCAGTTGATTTTCTTAGAAACTCGGTAAAAATCAGTATCATACCCCGACTATAAGCTGTATGTGCCGTCTGAATTAAGTATAGTTAAAATTATCTTTATGTAATGTGATTTTATAAATAGACTACTAAGGCAAGGTTTACCCCCAAGGAGATACGCCTTGCCGCGACGATAATTAAAACTCTTAAGGCCCACACAGACCGGACGCGAATTGGCAACGCGGCGCGAATTTTCAACGTTTTTAATTTTTCAAAATCAAATAAATTTTAAACTATCATAATATTCTTGTAGATTACATAACAATAAAACATTTTGACTCCTCTAGCGTCCATAATTTCCAAATTTTACTTCCAGAATTTAATTTATATGCTTCTGAAAACTGAAAATTCGCGTCGCGTTGCCGCTTCGCGTCCGGTCTGTGTCGGCCTTTAAAGGCCCACACAGACAGGACGCGAATTGGCAACGCGGCGCGAATTTTCAACGTTTTATATTTTTCAAAAGAAAATAAATTTTAACCTATCAAAATTTTCTTGTAGATTGCATTAAAATAATAAATTTTGATTTGTCTAGCGTCCATAGATTCCACCAAACTTTGATCCCAGAATTTCATTTATATGCTTCTGAAAACTGAAAATTCGCGCCACGTTGCCGCTTCGCGTCCTGTCTGTGTGGGCCTTAAGGTCGACACAGACCGGACGCGAAGCGGCAACGCGACGCGAATTTTGAGTTTTCAGAAGCATATAAATTAAATTGTGGAAGCAATTAAATTGTGGAAACTATGGACGCTAGAGCAGTCAAAATGTTTTATTGTTATGTAATCTATAAGAATATTATAATAGTTTAATTTTTTTTTTATTTTAAAAAATTAAAAACGTTGAAAAATCGCGCCGCGTTGCCAATTCGCGTCCGGTCTGTTTGGGCCTTTATATGATGGGCTTGCTGCCCTATCTAAAAGACCGACAGGTAATGGAGTGCACGCAATACGGGAAAGGTGGTCAATGGCCAGCAGCAATTTGAAAACTAACAAAGACCGAATACCCAAACCACAAACGGTCAGTTTAAGCATGACATCGCAGAAGACAGAGCTGAAATATATATTTTGAACACGTTGCATGGAAATCGAACTTATTAACAGAAAACTAATTTATTATTTATTACTGCCGCGATAGAAATTTGCATGAACATGCAATTAAATTTTGTTATTGTTTTTAAAATTGTTTCCGAACTGAAAATATTGCAAGCGTTAGTTGACTCACGCAACGTGGAAGAAGCTTGTAGCTGCTTTTTAGAACGGTTGGATAGCGCATCTGTTTATAGAACATATCATGAATCTTTCTGTGTTTTATCCTTACAAAAGAGAAAGCAGTTTGTCATTTTGTCCGACTAAATAGTCACACAGTGTTCACGTATACTATAGCATTTTGTGTTCAAATTTTAGAACGGAGTATGTCATGTTCGAAGGGCGATAATAAATTCTAAAAGTAATATTTTACGCTAAAGACAAACAAAAGTAAACCTTTTTGATACTAAAATAACATCAATACATCCATTACATTAGAGACTGACTTCTAACTCTCATGCACAGCATTTAAGGCCAACACACACCGCACGACTTCCGCCAACGCCACGCGATTCATGCAGTTTCATTTTGATCATGCATTGATATTCTTCATAATTGCTGAACGATAGCACATTTCCACATATCGGGGGCCCATAGCTCTCAAAATTTTCTTCCATAATTGAATTTATTTGCTTCAAAAGACTGCAAATTCGCGAGCGAATCAGCTGTAAAAACTGTAAACTGCAACAGCAATGACGCCTTGCCACACGACACAAATTTTGCGGCGTTGATATTTGCCCGTCTAAATTAGAGACGGCTGAGCAACATTATTTCACAAACAGGCCGTATGGTTTCGAAATAAATATTTTGCAAAAGTCATAATATAGGCAAAAGAACGTAAATTTCTTCCAAGTTAAAAGCGTATTTTAGTGCATCATAATTATAACATAAACGATAGGAAACGCGAAGGTTAACTATAAAAATTGTCGCAAGAAAGATCGAGTCGTTGCTTTTCCCAAGATCGTTGGTTGTTTGAACGTATTCACTTTTTACTTGCATGATCTTTTAAAAGCGGGAAAGAGCGCAGATAAAGGCGTGTATACTAAGTGAAATATGAAATACAAAAGAAAATTCACATAACGGAATATGACGACTTAAATACATGCAATAATAACAAAATTAATACAAACCTTGATTTTTATTTCAAATCCTTCACTTTGATAATTAGGACGGATCGAGATGTCGACGTCTCTGTCTTATTGCTCTTTGAAAATGAAATGAATTCTAGCTAGAGAATTGTTATTTGATATGATATTAAGAAACCAATATTACGTCGAAACACCTGACGGATATCACAAGTTATTATGTTGTCGACTTTATTTATTTAAACATTTTCACCAGTCACAATGTCTCAATATATTGCATGGGTGGTGAGAATAGTTTGAACATCTCAAAGCATGCATCAGTTGTAAACAAAAATTAGTAGTATAGCAAACTCTCATAGGTTTTAAGACGTACTCACCAATTTGATGATATATTCTTCACTTTTTAGCTCACAATCTAAACGAGATAGATGAATTATAACATGAAATGCTGATTATATGGTCTATTAGGCTCATTGCTGCATGTCAGCACTCATTTATATAACGCTATCAATATGTTAGATTTCGCCGGAAAAAATAAGATCAAACTGATTAAAATGTTTCGATCACATATGCAGTGCTCACAATTCAAACATCTCACGACAAAGCTGCTTTTATACTTTCTTAATTTGCATGGTAACCAAGCTACACATTCATATTTTAATGCATGTCTCAAAACTATCATAATTTCATGAGATCGCTCAAAGCGACTCCTGCTGCGCACAAAATTAATCCACGCTGGCAGATTTTGGGAGAAGATTTTTATTCTTTTTTAAATTGTCCGTCTTTCTCTAACCCTGTTAAAGTAAAAGATTGCTTCATTTTATAGTATATAACTTATATAAAAAGGACGTTTCCACGAATTCCAATTAACAACTTCTCAGCTTAAATGCCCTGCTTTCGATATCGCGTTGAAAATAAAAAGATGACAAAATCTCAAAACATGCAGCGTCATTTCGTGCCATCGTCCTAAACTTAATATATCGTCGAACAATTTTTCAATATAAGACTGAAAATTAAAAACATATATTTCAAGCCAGAATGCATGCAATATTTTTCGGGCCCTAGGAAGATTTTATAACTATTTAAAAAGCACTTTAAAATTATGTCTCTTTATTGCTTATCATAATGAGCATACTACATATACACCAATGTTTTCAAGCCTTTTTAGGAAACCACTATCTATTTAGCTACGCGCACAGTAGAAGCATGTTTGATAAAATTATATAGTGGAGGCCATACCTCTAGTTTGACCCTGTGAATGTGCCATCAAAATAGTAAAAAATTTGGAAACGCTTAACAAAACAATCGAAAACAGCTACAGGTACACGTAACCTTAAAAAGTTGTAGTGCATTATATCCTTTGAAATTTGAAACTATATAACCTGAAAAACCAAGGCCCGAATATTCCAATATTGACTTTTACTGAAGCTTTCTTTCTCAATTCCTGTGATCAATTTATTTTCTTAGAAACTCGGTAAAAATCAGTATCATACCCCGACTATAAGCTGTATGTGCCGTCTGAATTAAGTATAGTTAAAATTATCCCTAGCTATGTAATTTGATTTTATGAATCTACTTTTTAAATTTTATAAAGACTACTAAGGCAAGGTTTACCCCCAAGGGGATACGCCTTGCCGCGACGATAATTAAAACTCTTAGCTATATGATGGGCTTTGCGCCCTATCTAAAAGACCGACAGGTAGTGGAGTGCACGCAATATGGGAAAGGTGTTCAATGGCCAGCAGCAATTTGAAAACTAACAAAGACCGAATACCCAAACCACAAACGGTCATTTTAAGCGTGACATCGCAGAAGACAGAGCTGAAATATATATTTTGAACACGTTGCATGGAAATCGAACTTATTAACAAAAACTAATTTATTATTTATTTCTGGCGATAGAAATTTGCATGAACATGCAATTAGATTTTGTTATTGTTTTTAAAACTGTTTTGGAAAAATATTGCATGCGTTAGTTGACTGTAGCTGCTTTTAGAACGGTTGGATAGCGCATCTGTTTATAGAACAATACATGAGTCTTTCTGTGTTTTGTCCTTACAAAAAAGAAAGCAGTTTGTCATTTTGTCCGACCAAATAGTCACACAGTGTTCACGTATACTAGAGCATTTTGTGTTCAAATTTTAGAACGGAGTAATGTCATGTTCAAAGCCAAAGGACAGATTTTGCAATAATAAATTCTGAAAGTAACATTTCGTAACATGTCATAACATTTTACGCTATAGAAAAACGAAAGTAAACCTCTTTAATGCTAAAATAACACCAATACATCCATTACATTAGAGACTGACTTCTAACTCTGACAACATTTAAGGCCAACATGCATCGCACGAATTCCGCCAACGCAACGCGATTCATGCAGTTTCAGAAATTTTGATCATGCATTGATATTGTCCATAATTGCTGAACGATAGCACATTTCGACATATCGAGGCCCATAGATCTCAAAATTTTCTTCCATAATTCAATTTATTTGCTTTAAATGACTGCAAATTCGCGAGCGAATCAGCTGTAAAAACTGTAAAAACTGTAACAGCAATGACGCCTTGCCACACGACACAAATTTTGCGCCGTTGATATTTGCTCGTTTAAAGAGACGGCTGAGCAACATTTTTCACAAACAGGCCATATGGTTTCAAAATAAATATTTTGCAAAAGTCATAATATAGGCAAAGGAACGTAAAGTTCTCCAAAGTTAAAAAAGCTAGCGTATATTACTGCATCATAATTATAACATAAGTGATAGGAGACGCGAAGGTTAACTACGAAAATTATTGCAAGAAAGATCGAGTCGTTGCTTTTCCCAAGATCGTTGGTTGTTTGAACGTATTTACTTTTTTCTTGCATGATCTTTTAAAAGCGCGAAAGAGCGCAGATAAAGGCGTGTACACTAAGTGAAATATGAAATACAAAAGAAAATTCACATAACGAAAATGACGACTTAAATACATGCAATAACAACAAAATTAATACAAACCTTGATTTTTATTTCAAATCCTTCACTTTGATAATTATAGGACGGATCGAGATGTCGACGCCTCTGTCTTATTTCTTTGAAAATAAAAGGAATTCTAGCAAGAGATTTCTTATTTGATATGATATTAAGAAACCTATTATGTTGTTGTATACAAGTTATTATGTTGCCGACTTTAATTATTTAAACGTTTTCACCAGTCACAATGTCTCAATATAAGTCAGAAAGAAACTGAAAACAAAACTGATCGTTTTTCAGCTGACACAATTATTCTGAAGCATGAATTTAAACATACGCCATGTATTGCGTGGGTGGTGATAATAGTTTGAATATCTCAAAGCATGCATAGTAGTAAAAAACCTAGTTAGTGTTAGTAGCTTAACAAACTCTCATAGGTTTTATGAAGTACTCACCAACTTACTGATATATTCTTCACTTTTTAGCTCACAATCTAAACGAATAAGATGAATTATAACATGAAATGCTGATTATGTCATTTATGTGGTCTACTACGCTCAATGCTGTTAGCAAAATAATCGTCGTTTTAAAAGGGCTTCTTACCAAGTGAATTATTAGTTTTATACCACTCATTTATATAACGCTATATCAATATATTAGTTTTCGCTGGATAAATAACATCAAATTGAACAATTTTTCAATATAAGACTGAAAATTAAAAACATATATTTCAAGCCAGAATGCATGCAATATTTTTCCGGCCCTAGGAAGATTTTATAACTATTTAAGAAGCGCTATAAAATTATGTCTCTTTATCGCTTATCATAATGAGCCTACTACATACACTAATGTTTTCAAGCCTGTTTAGGAAACCGCTATCTATTTAGCTACGCGCAAAGTAGAAGCATGTTTGATAAAATTATATAGTGGAGGTCATAGACCCTAGTTTGACCCAAGGGAATACGCCTTGCCGCGACGATAATTAAAACTCTTAGCTATATGATAGGCTTGGCGCCCTATCTAAAAGACCGACAGGTAATGGAGTGCATGCACGCAATATGGGAAAGGTGTTCAATGGCCAGCAGCAATTTGAAAACTAACAAAGACCGAATACCCAAACCACAAACGGTCAGTTTAAGCCTGACATCGCAGAAGACAGAGCTGAAATATATATTTTGAACACGTTGCATGGAAATCGAACTTATTAACGAAAACTAATTTATTATTTATTACTGCCGCGATAGAAATTTGCATGAGCATGCAATTAAATTTTGTTATTGTTTTTAAAATTGTTTCCGAACTGAAAATATTGCAAGCGTTAGTTGACTCACGCAACGTGGAAGAAGCTTGTAGCTGCTTTTTAGAACGGTTGGATAGCGCATCTGTTTATAGAACATATCATGAGTCTTTCTGTGTTTTGTCCTTACAAAAGAGAAAACAGTTTGTCATTTTGTCCAACTAAATAGTCACACAGTGTTCACGTATACTATAGCATTTTGTGGTAAAATTTTAGAACGGAGTGATGTCATGTTCAAAGGGCAGACTTGCGATAATAAATCCTAAAAGTAAAATATCGTAAGATGTCGTAACATTTTACGCTATAGACAAACGAAAGTAAACCTTTTTGATACTTAAATAACACCAATACATTCATTACATTAGAGACTGACTTCTAACTCTGACAATATTTAAGGCCAACACACACCGCACGAATTCCGCCAACGGGACGCGATTCATGCAGTTTCAGAAATTTTGATCATAATTGCTGAACGAAAGCACATCTCGACATTTCGGGGACCCAAAGCTCTCAAAATTTTCTTCTATAATTGAATTTATTTGCTTCAAAAGACTGAAAATTCGCGAGCTGTAAAAACTGTAAACAATAATAATAATGACGCCACGCCTCACAAAAAAATTTTGTGGCGTTTATATTTGCCCGTTTACTAAAGGGATAACGGCTGAGCAACATTTTTTCACAAACAGACCGCATGGTTTTAAAATAAATATTTTGCAAAAGTCATATTTTAGGCAAATGAACGTAAAGTTTTTGAAAGTTAAAAGCGTATTTTAGTGCATCATAATTATAACATAAGCGATAGGAAACGCCAAGGTTAACTACGAAAATTGTTGCAAGAAAGATCGCGTCGTTGCTTTCCCTAAGATCGTTGGTTGTTTACTTGCATGATTTTTTAAAAGCGCGAAAGAGCGCAGATAAAGGCGTGTATACTAAGTGAAATATGAAATACAAAAGAAAATTCACACAACGGAATATGACGACTTAAATACATACAATAACAACAAAATTAATACAAACCTCGATTTTTATTTCAAATCCTTCACCTTGATAATTAGGACGGATCAAGATGTCGACGCCTCTGTCTTATTGCTCTTTGAAAATGAAACGAATTCTAGCTAGAGAATTGTTATTTGACATGATATTAAGAAACCTCTTACGTCGAAACACCTGACGTATATCACAATTAAGTTATTATGTTGGCGACTTTAATTATTTAAACGTTTTCACCAGTCACAATGTCTCAAAAGTAAACTGACAACAAAACTGATCGTTTTTTAGCTGATACAATTATTCTGAAGCATGAATTTCAACATAGTGATTTTATGTACGATATTTTCATATCTCAAAGAAGCATGCATCAACATACAATAGTATAACAAACTCTCCTAGGTTTATGAAGTACTCACCAACTTGATGATATATTCTTCACTTTTTAATTCACAATCTAAACGAGAAAGATGAATCATAACATGAAATCTAAAAACATGCAGCGTCATTTCGTGCCATCGTCCTTCGCAATTATTTTTGCGCAACTTTTATTGAAAATATGTTGTGAATTATGTGAAATAACGAAAATAGTTGTGTTTACTTTGACGATCCAAGTAAAAGAGCGGCTCTGGTATTAAACCCATTATCGGGTGCCTGACTGTGAGGCACACAACGATTAATCACTTGGCACACACCAACAACATTAACTTTGTATTGATCGCGTAGAATGTGCGCAAGATCGACGATCTTCGATCCCACTACGGCACTACCTCAGGGGAGTGACTCAACAAATCGTTAGTTCCTATTTCAAGAATCACAATATCGGGCTTACACTTTTGGATCCATGAGAGGTCATACGTAAGCACTTTGTCTACAGTTCTGCCCCCGGTACCCAACAAAGAAACATTGCCCGATTCGGGTAGATGAAAATTCTGGGCAGCACGCGTAAATCAAAGCGCGCTTCTAAGTCGTCCCGTAAACGACGAACAAACGAATGTCCGAGAATTAAAATAGCTGGAACACACCCATACATTACAATTCACAGATATAAAATGAAAAATAATTACCTGTAGAAAAACTTTACTTCAAAAAAGAGACGACTTTGTGCTATGAAGCGAAGAGCAGAATGAAGCATATGCGCATTCTGCTACATATATATGTATCGCCGCTCCCTTCCGTTTTCCTGCACGCGTTACATTCATGTGATCAGAAAATTACGGGGAAAATACCCAAATGCCCCATATTAAGTTCGCCTATTTTATATCATAAGCTCAGGAAGCAATAAAATCTTTATTGGTATGCCAATAATTCCTATACCTACATTTTTCATGGCACGGTTGTTCATGTTTAGCTCATCACATGGAATTTGGTGTTTTTATATCTATAGCTTGGTTTACATATTATTATTATACAATATTTTTTTTGGCTAACGTATAAAACATAAATGTATATTCTATATGTTGGTTAAAAAGATGAGTTCAATTGCAATTGCAATCGCTTGAGTTTTCAATATGAATTATTTGACGCGGTTTGAAAACAGCTTCCCGTTCACTAGTATTTTCCTTTTCAGCTGCATGAGGTAACGAGATGGGCTGACTTGTGCCTCTCAAATTGGGAAATTGTTCCATATTATACAGGACTATCAAATAAGCCGTGCTTACACTACAAGAGCCTGGCTTAGCTTTAGCCTAAATCTTTTTAGTACGGAATGTTTACACTTACACTTCGACACCTGACTTTGGCCTAGAATTTCAGCAGTTTGCACATCAGAACTTTTTAATTTATGTAAAATAGAACTTAAACTTATGTTTAACGCCAACTAGAACTTCGCACCAGTTCGTACCGATCGTTGCTATAGAAGTAGGGCCAAGGTCCACACCGAAGGGTTTACACTACCGTAAAGCAAGGCTGGCCTAGGCCACCAGTTACGATGGGCCTAGATTTCCTGGCCTCGGCCAGAAAAAAATTAAATTTAAAAATTCTTAACCAGGGTGTGGATCCGCCAATTTTAAATGCTGTGCTCGCTTGCTGGCATTTAAAATGAATTTCGAATCTTGTCAATTTTGTATTTCGAAGAGTAGTATTCACTTGATTAATTTTATCATTAAAACTTGTCCCACAATCACGAAAAGTATCACGGTGTTCAATGCATATATAATTCGTCCTAAACGGATTTGATATATTTTCTGTCAATTTTCGGTGGTCACAGATGCATTTTAGTGATATGCCAGTTGAGATGATTTTATTAGGTAACGGAATATATCAACCAAGTCTTTTTTCATGGTTTTGCTGGATTGTGCAAAAATATCCGGCAAATCTTCGCTAAGGGTTCACTACTGAGGTTCATACAAGCTTCGACTATGCTTAATTTCAGTCTTTTGAGTTGGTGGGAAAATGTTCGTCTGGGGGGGGGGGGGGGGGTTGGGTAGGCTCAGGCCATGTGCACATGGGCGTGGTTTTCGACTGTTTTCAAGATCTTTTTTATCTAGTTTATCACTTTGAAGCTCGGTTAATATGATCAAAGGAACTCGGAATATGCTCCAAATGTTAAGTTAGCTGTAATTTCTATTCTAAATTAACGGTGTTTGAAACCCTTTTGACGTAAAAGCGAAGATGTTACCGAGTGTAAAGTTAATAGTGTACAGTTTTTTAAAATTCCCCGGTTCCAGTTTACGAATACGGGTATACACAAATCCGTGTCCGGAGAAGGGAAAAGGAATTTAATTTAAGAGACTCAAAATATTCCGATGTAAGAAAACAAATCAGTTTGACCCGTCTGTTTGCCCGTGTTTACACACAGACGAACAATAAGACGACCTAATTTTCGCTTGCCCAAGTTCATCCAGACAGATGATCCGTCTCTAGTCAGTAGAAATCGGACTATTATTCTTGAAAATGGTCGAATCAAATGAATCTTTTATAGCTTGTAAAATGCACATTATTAATTTAACTTTAGGATCACAAGAAAATTCTGATTGTAATTTTTTCCGGCCAGTTTTGTGGAAAAGACACTTTTAAAGCGGTTCACCAATATATATTATCATCAAAATTTTAGGTTGTTCTGGACTTTGATCATAAAATTCATCATAAAATTTGATCATAAAGTAATAAATCTGGAATAAAATTTCGATTTTAAGGCTATTATAGAACTATCTACTATTCTGATACGCTCATTCGTTGATCGTGTTGGTAAGAGAAAGGTTTAATACAACAATATACTGAAAATGTTTAATGACTTCCATGTGACAACTTCAACTTCGTGCGATTTCAAGCAGCTTTGCCGTGTCGTCTGAAAATCATCCATACTTTATAATATTTATTTCTAATCTATCTGTGCTTAGTATAAAATTATTATGGTTATCAACTTGTACTCTCACCGTCCCGTCGTAAAATGCACGAGAATGGTTAAGCCTTCTTATTCAGCACTCGTTGGAGAGTTTGATAATTTGCATTATATTCAAGTTTGCGATGCATGTTATAATATTCGTGTCTGTTTATAGCATATTATATGTTATGATGAAACCACACGCACACGACTACGATTTTAGTCGGCAAACATCAAACTGTTTTGATACATTCAGATTGCTGTCAGCCGAAAAAAGTCACCTAAAATTACATCACATGCACATGCAAAGATTTAGTCAGCCGTCTTAAATCGTACGACAAAAATTGCGTCGTGTGCCCCTGGCTTTACTCCGTGCAATTGCAATATTTCTCTTTATTTTGCTTGAGGATATTGTTTAATGAATGAACTGTTGCTATCCTGAGCAAAAACAGCTAAGATGATGTTGTGTGTTTTGAAATAATTTTATGGCCCTCGCTTGTTAATAAATTTATGAGGCATCCAAACGATGATTTTTAAGCGGAATCTGGTATGTATTATTTCCTGCAGGGAATAGCAATGATTCTTGGAAGCGAAATTCATGGCTGCACACAATACTCTCTGGTCGCAACGAGAAGAAGTTTAACCATTATGGTAGGATTCTAACAGTTCCAACAGGATTTCATAAAACTGTTTAAAATAATGGCTAGCATCTTCCAGATCTTCTTTCTCAAAGCAAACTGTGCCAAGATAGAGATAGGAACAAAGAACATCCTTATGAATTCTTCCTAATTTCTGTAATCGAATATTTAGTGCCCGTTGAAGACAATCTCTGGCGCTATCTAAATCCCGTTTTGAGAGACACACGACACCCAGTTGGAAGAATGAAGCAGCAACATCAATATGGTTTTCCCCGAATTGTTTCAATCGAATTTTCAGCGCACGTTGATGATAATCACTAGCTTGCTCTAAATCACCTTTATCCTTACACAAAAGACCCAGGTTGTAGTATAAACTAACAAGGTCAACATGGTTTGGCCCCAATTGTTCTAATCGAATTTTCAGAGCTCGTTGATAATAATCACTAGCTTGCTTCAAATCACCTTTATCTCTACACACATTACCCAGGTTGTTGTATGACTTAGCAACTTCATCATGGTTTGGCCCCAATTGTTCTAAACGAATTTTCAGCGCTCGTTGATGATAATCATTAGCTTGCTCGAAGTCACCTTTATCTTCACACAAAACACCCAGGTTGTTGTATGACTTAGCAACGTCAACATGGTTTGGCCCCAATTGTTCTAAACGAATTTTCAGCGCTTGTTGATAATAATCACGAGCTTCCTTCAAATCACCCTTATCATCACACAGATTACCCAGGTTGTAGTATGAAGTAGCAACGTCAACATGGTTTGGCCCCAATTGTTCTAACCGAATTTTCAGCGCGTGTTGATGATAATCACTAGCTTGCTTCAAATCACCTTTATCATCACACAGATTACCCAGGTTGTTGTATGAACTAGCAACGTCAACATGGTTTGGCCCTAATTGTTCTAATAGAATTTCCAGAGCTCGTTGATGATAATCACTTGCTTGCTCCAAATCACGTTTATCTTTACACAAAGAACCCAGGTTGTTGTATGTCTTAGCAAGGTCAACATGGTTTGGCCCCAATTGTTCTAACTGAATTTTCAGGGCTCGTTGATAATAATCACTTGCTTGCTCCAAATCACCTTTATCCTTATACGCAATACCCAGGTTGTTGTATGAGGCAGCAAGGTGAACATGTTTCGGCCCCAAATGTTCCAACTGAATTTTCAGTGCTCGTTGATGATAATCACTAGCTTCCTCAAAATCACCCTTTTTATGACGCAAAATACCCATATTGTTGTATGATCTAGCAACGTCAACATGGTTCGACCCCAATTGTTCCAACTGAATTTTCAGTGCTTGTTTATGATAATCACTAGCTTGTTCCAAATCACCTTTATCCTTACACACAATACTTAGGTTGTTGTATGTAGTAGCAACGTCAACATGGTTCGACCCCAATTGTTCTAACTGAATTTTCAGTGCTTGTTGATAATAACCATTAGCTTGTTCCAAATCACCTTTATCATTACATACAATACCGAGGTTGTTGTATGACTTAGCAACGTCAACATGGTTCGACCCCAATTGTTCTAACTGAATTTTCAGTGCTTGTTGATAATAACCATTAGCTTGTTCCAAATCACCCTTATTATGACACACATGACCCAGGTTGCTGTATGACGTAGCAACGTCAACATGCTTTGGCCCCAATTGTTCTAACTGAATTTCCAGTGCTTTTTTATGATAATCATTAGCTTGCTCCAAATCACCTTTATCTCTACAAACATTACCCATGTTGTTGTATAAACCAGCAACAACAGTATGATTTGACCCGAATAGTTCCAATTTAATTTTGAGCGCTCGTTGATAATAATCACTAGCTTGCTTCAAATCACCCTTCATATGACATAAACCACCCAGGTTGTTGTATGATGTAGCAACATCACTATGATTTGGTCCTAATTGTTCTAATTGAATTTTCAGCGCTCTTTCATGATAATCACAAGCTTGCTCCAAATCACCTTTATCCTTACAAAGAACACCCAGATTGTTGTATGAGCCAGCAATGCCACCATGATTTGGCTCCATTTGTGCTAATTCAATTTTCAGTGCTTGTTGAAAATAATCACTAGCTTCCTCCAATTCACCTTTCGCATGGCACAAAGTACCTAGGTCAGTGTAGCAACTAGCAAGGGCAATATGGTTTGGTCCAAATTTCTGAAACACAATTTTTAGTTCTTGCTGGAAAATTTCCATCGAGAGAGAAAACTCGGAAAAGTAACATAGAGTTCTTCCAAAAAAACTATACATATGCAATCCCCATAATTCAGTTTCATAAAATGCTCGTTAAGGATAGGGTTTGATTTGGAAACAATCTATTAATTTCTGTTAAAAATGCTTTCAAATGTGGAATGATTTTAATTTTATCTTTCCTGTCTTCGAAAGAATACAATGTTCTTGTAACGTTGTGAATTCCTATTCTTACATTTTGCTCTTCATCTGGTATTTCATCTTTTGATGAATCGCCAATGTCAGTTTTTTTCAAAAGATAACGAAATTTGATCGCATCATGAACAACACGATGCAGGCGTATATCACGGTCTTTATTCCCAACATGAACAAACAACGAGCAGTGTTTTATTGCAAGAATGATATCCTCGGCCTCAAACTCGTCTTCTTGCTGCTGAACGTATTTCACAACAAGATCAAGTGGTAGTGGTTCAAACGATATCAAAGAGAAAAGGTTGAATGCATGTCCAAGAATTTTGTTTTCTTTCGCGCATTTTGTAACAGCTAAAAGCACAGCAGCACTCATGGTGGATGAATATGCTGCTGAATTTGTCTGCCGAAGACGCTCTTCTGTTAATTCTCTTCTCCCTTTTTCAAGCTTTTCTAAGTAATCTCGCCAAGAAAAATCTGGGAGACTCTCGATGACTTGGCCCATATACACCGCTGCGGCAGCCATTGCCAGTGGTTGACGATCTAACTTCTCTGCCACCTCATCTAGTAATGAATCATTGACATCAGTTCTTGATAACAGGGCAAGAAGCTGGCGACACTCTTGGTCATTCATACCGAGACTAAGTGAAATATGTTTACTTGACAAGCTGTCGGAAGGAACTGCATTTGTATTTTGTGTCGTCACTATGATTTGACCGTTATTCCAAACATCGCCACCAATCAGAGGCAGTAGTGGGGAAATGAGCTCGAGATTTTCCACATTGTCGACGATAATCCACCACTTCTTCCAATTCTTAATTCTGTTTGATATTTGCGATCTCAAATCTTTGATTTTCTCATCTTTCGCCTTAGAAGAGCTCAAAAGATCTTTTAATACGCTTTCGTTGCAATTTAGCTTACGAGAAAAATCTTCATAGGAATATAAAAGAGAATTTAAATCTTTTCCTTTCAATGTCATTACAAACATTGCTTCGTCCTTCACATGAACATCTTCGCAAATATCTTTACAAACTTGTCTGGCAAGTTGAGATTTTCCACTGCCTGGATTCCCAGAGATGTAAAAATATGTAAGTTTGCCGTCGTTATCGCTGCGCAACTTTTCAAGATCTTCTCTTATCTCGTGTATCTTGTCAGAACGAGACACGACTTCATGAGTTGGCTTGGGAGGTAGAATTTGGAAGGATTTATAGAGGTTTTTTATTCGAACGACTTCGTTGCTTGACAGTCCTAATGCATTCAATGCATTTATAACATTTGTTGTCTTGGTTTGAAAGTCTGCATCATCCAGCGTTTTTTTAGGTTTATGAGCTAATTCATTTCGTAGTTTTCTCAGATTATCGATTTCAGTTTTAGGCGTTGGATTAAGGCTTGCACCAATCGCGTTGGAAAAAAGAATTGCATCAAAAAGTACAGTACAGTCCCAATCATTTGTATCTCCGTGATTAAATTTGGACTGAAGCATGGTCTTATTTGGCCTTGTTCGTTTTTTCTCCAGATTAAACAACTGACTACCACTGACGTTCGTGTCATCCCACGCTCCTAGAGAAGCCTGGTAACGTTTGTTCCATTCCTGAATAAAGAAATTCCTTAATTCCTTCCTCACAACATCACTGACAATGTAGTCTGCTCGAATGGAGTTTTGTCTTTCCTCGCTTTCCCATGGTATACCAGACATCTTTGCTGCTAGAAAATTAGGAAAACATTCAAATTATTAGGCGAAAGAAAGGTTATTTTGGTCTGTACAAAACAAACCAGAAACACAGTCAGATTTTTTAATCCAGGTTTTCGTCTGTTTTTCTGGTATTTTGGCAGTCTGCAAAATACAGTCCAAGCTTGATGTATTTTATAGTTGTAATTACTCGCGATGACTTTAAATGCTTGCCCGGTTTGCCCGGTATGGGGCCGGCTACTCCTGAGGAATCTAACTGGGGTACCCAATCCATCTAAAAGGTATAAATCCATAAATGATATTGGTATATTAGGTGATTTAGGTCACAACCACTGATCCAGTGTCAGGGTATTATAAACAAAACTTCAACTCAGGTGTTTACTCCGCCCGGAGCAAAATATTGTGCGGTTATCGAGAATAGAACTTCCAAAGCCTAGTTCTCATAAATTGCGATCATCGGCGATGCCATTGTCGGCGGTCGCTGACGAATGTAGTGCTTTATATTTTGCGGGCCCAAATGAGATTTGTTTAGGGTTGATATAAAATGTTTTAAAAAAATCATTGACAGCCCAGAAATGTTTTCGTTCTCGTGACGGTCGCGCGTGTACGCGAGTCTACTGGATCTATTATTATGACAAGTTTGGCAAGTTTTTTTCTTGAAAACAGGGCAAGAAGCTGGCGACACTCTTGGTCATTCATACCGAGTGAAATATGTTTACTTGACAAGCTGTCGGAAGGAACTGCATTTGTGTTTTGTGTCGTCACTATGATTTGACCGTTATTCCAAACATCGTCGCCCATCAGAGGCAGTAGTGGGGAAATGAGCTCGAGATCTTCCACATTGTCGACGATAATCCACCACTTCTTCCAATTCTTAATTCTGTTGGATATTTGCGATCTCAAATCTTTGATTTTCTCATCTTTTGGTTTAGATGATCTCGAAAAACGTTTTAATACGCTTTCGTTGCAATTTAGCTTACGACAAAAATCTTCATAGGAATATAAAAGAGAATCTAAATCTTTTCCGTTCAATGTCATTACAAACATTGCTTCGTGCTTCGCGTGAACGTTTTTCCAAATATCTTCACAAACTTGGCTGGCGAGTTGAGATTTTCCACTTCCGGGATTCCCAGAGATGTAAAAATATGTAAGTTTGCCATCGTTATCGCTGCGCAAATTTTCAAGATCTTCTCTTATCTTGTGTATCTTGTCAGAAGGAGAAACGACTTCAAGGGCCGGTGAAAGAGGAAGAATTTTAAACGATGCAAAGAGGTTTTTTATTCGAACGACCTCGTTGATTGACAGTCCCAATGAACGCAACGCATTCTTAACTTCTGTTGTCATGGTTTGAAAGTCTTTATCAGTTAGCTTTTTGTCAGGTATTTCATGAATTATTTCATTTCGAAGTTTTCTAAGTGTATCGAGTTCATTCTTTTGGTGACTTTTAAGATTACAACCGATTGAGTTGGAATAAAGAATTGCACCGAAAAGTACAGTACAATCCCATTCATTTGTATTTCCTTTTTGAAATTTGGAGTGAAGAAATTTGAGATTTGGTCTTGTTCGTTTTTTCTCCAAATTAAACAACTCCTGACCACTTACGTTGGTGTCATCCCATGCTCCAAGAGAAGCCTGGTAAAGTTTGTTCCATTCCTGAATAAAGAATTTTCTCAATTCCTTTCTTACAGCCCAAGTGACAATATATAACGCTCGAATGTAGTTTTGACGTTCCTCGCTGTCCCATGGTAAACCAGACATCTTTGCTGTCAGAAAATTAAGAAATCATTCAAATTATTAGGCGAAAGAAATGTGTTTTAGGTCTGTACAAAACAAACCAAAAACACAGACAGATTTATTAATGCAGGTTTTCGTCTGTTTTTCTGGTATTTTGGCTGTCTGCAAAATGCAGTCTAAGCTTGATGTATTTTATAGTGGTAATAACCCGCGATGATTTCAAAAGCATGTCTGGTATGAGACCAGCTACTCCTGAGGAATCTAACTGTGGGGTACCCAACCCATTTAAAAAGGTATAAACCCATAAATGATATTGGTATATTAGGTCATGCAACCACTGATCCAGTGTCAGGGTATATAACTATATATTATAAACAATACGCAAACTCAGACGTGGGTTCGTTGCATAAATTCACATCCGACCATTGTTGTTGATTTAATTCAGCTATAAAGCTTTCACTATGGAAATTTTTCATATTTCGTATTTCAATGAATCGTGGTTTCGCTTTCTTATAGTGGACCTTGTGCGTCTTATAAACTAATACATGGTCACTTATGGAAAGGTCAATTATCCCTGCGTCTACTATTTTTGCAGGGGCATTTGTTACGCAAAGATCAATTAGCGTAGAGGAATATGGTGTAGTTCTAGTGGGATCTTCAATTAGTTGTTTTAGCCCAAAAATTTCAAAAATATCATTTAATTTATTATAGGATAGTATAGGAACATCTGCATTGCAGATGTTCCTCCCGGCATGAGATTCACATTTATATCGCCCAATAGAAAGTAGTCATGATTTGTCATGTCTATTTTCTGTATTATTTCCTCAAAGTAATCAAAGTAATGCGTAATGCGTTGGCAAGTCTGGGGCCTATACCACGTGCTAATTAATAGAGATTTGACCCTAGGCTTAGTTATTTCAACTGTTAGGTATTTATCAGAGCTTAAATCTTCGCGAATTTTGTAATTAAGGTTGCGTCTAACATAGATACAAACACCGCCCCCAAGTCGCCCAGGATTTAGTGCGATTCCGCGTTCCTTGCAGCAGCGCAAAAGGTTGATCAGTTTCACGTCATGGTCCTTCTTCCTTTGTTACACCGACACCATAGAATAAAATATCGTCCGCTATGTTGAGCGTAGCATCTTTCTTTGTGGCAATTGAAACATTATTAACCCAGGGGGTAGGCTCACTAACTGGTGTACACTCACTGGTATCCGAGTCAGACATAATTCGATTGTTTTCAGCGTTTTATAAAGGGTTTTATAATCCCGTAGCTGCCGCCATGTGTTAACACGACGCCATTATCCAAAACAACAACTTTAATGTGTCACGTGGTACCTGAATACAGGTACCCTAAGAACATATTGTAACAGTATAGGGCCAGCTATTCCTGATGAATCTAACTGGGGTACCCAACCCATCTAAAAAGGTATAAATCCATAAATGGATATTGGTCATGTAACCACTGATCCTGTGTCAGGGTATTATAAACCAGTCTTCAACTCAGGCGTTTACTCCGCCCGGAGCAAAATATTGGGCAGTTATCGAGAATAGCACTTTCAAAGCCTAGTTCTCATAAATGGTCATCATCGGGGATGCCATTGTCGGCGTTCGCTGACGAATGTAGTGCTTTATATTTTGCGGGTGAAATGAGATTTGTTTAGGGTTGATATAAAATGTTTAAAAAAAATCATAGGCAGCCCAGAAATGTTTTCGTTCTCGTGGCGGTCGCGCGTGTACACGAGTCTACTCGGTCTATTATTATGATAAGGTTGGCAAGTTTTTTTACTAAAATATACAACGTTTGCTACAGCCTGAATATCTCGCAAATTACAAATAAAAATAATATAAAAATTAACTTTGTTTAAACGCCGGTAATTTGACTACATTCTCCAGAAGTTTTAACTTCAAACGTCAATTTTAAGCATGCTGAAAAAGCAAATGTTGAGCAAAAAAGCTGATTCGCTTTTTTCAGTAGAAAATTTTATACGGAAGAGCCAATAGACCACTGGCCCTTTGCACATGACGTCACAATAAGCATCTGGAGGACAAATTAACGAAGCATAAATTTTGCAAAAGCGTAAATTTTGGGCAAAATACAGAAATATTTACTAGTGTAAGAAACTTTGCTTCGTTAACTGCATTGACCGCTATATAACCTTCACCGCTCCCATAACGATTATTTTTAGTGAAGCAAGGACACATCTGGGGTCAACTTTTAATGTTTATGATGTCGTTCAATAGTTCTATCAGCTTTTTATCGACAAAACTGATCGTGACACGACAGACAATTATTTTGAAGAGAAAATTTCATCATACGCCATCTATTGCGTGGGTGGTGGTGTGGTGGTTGGTATAAACTTTGAACTAGTTTTTCGAAACAAATAATGTATTTGTAGTTATTTGCACCAATTGTTATTAAGCCACTATTATTTGTTTGACCAGACACAGGAAATTACCAATCGCTAATGTAAAAAATTGAGAGTCGGAGGATTTCCCTTTAGATTTTTACACTACGTTTAATTAAAATAAAATATATCAATTTAATCACCTTGTGTGTAACAGAAGATAGAGATGTCTCAATATAAGAGAGAAAATAAACAGACGGCAAAATTGATGAATTTCAGCAACGCCATCTACTGCGTGGGAGGTGAATAGTTTGGTTTCATACCTTGCTTCTGAATTTCATATCTCAAAGAATCATGCGTCAAAACTAATATAACATATTCTTACAGTACTCACCAACTTGATGATATATTCTTCTGTTTTTAACTCATATTCTAAACGAGAAAGATAAATTATAACATGAAATTTATATCATGCTGATTACGTGAAGATGTGGTCTACTAGTCTTGTTGTTCTTTGCAAGATAATGGTTGTTTTAAAATACTTACCAAGCGAATTTGTAGTTTCTACCACTCATTTATTTCATGTTATGTGAGTGCAATGGATATGCGTTACATTTAGGAAAAAGGAGATGAACTGATCCAAAGTGAATAAAATCGTCTCACACTCACACAATCAGTGAATGTTGTGACAACTCTGCTCTTAAAATGACGTAATTTACATGTTCACTAAAGCCATGCATTCTACAAGTAACAAGTTTTGAAACAAACGTTATCATCATTTGTGTATCTCAAAACATGCAGAGCTATATGTAAATAATTTCTTTCAAGAAAAGCAAATATATTGAAAAAAAGCTTCATTTCGCAAACTGATGAATTTCAACATACGCCATCTATTGCGTGGGTGGCGAATATATTGGTTTGATACCTTGCTTCTCAATGTCATATCTCAAAAAATCTTGCGTCAAAATCAAATAACATATCCTTATAGGTTTATGAAGTACTCACCAACTTGATGATATATTCTTCACTTTTTAACTCATATTCTAAACGGGAAAGAAAAAACTATAACATGAAATTTATATCATGCTGATTACGCGGTCTACTGGTCTTGTTGTTCTGCGCAAGATAATGGTTGTTTTGAAAGAGCTTACTAAGCAAGTTTATAATATAACATTTATAGTAGGCGTGTCCTGATTGGTCGAGAAGCGTGTTTCTATAAATGTGCGGAAACAGGGAATTCTCCTGTCGAACTTGACAAGCGAAGTAATGTAATGAGAATTTGTAATTGAATAGAATTATAATATTTGTACAAAATCTTTTTATTGAGTTATATTATAAAAGAAATAGAAAACATTTTTCCCGTGTTTCTATACAGTTATAGAAACACGCGTGGAAGTTTGGGAGAACTCGAAATAACGTGGAAAAAAGTCGCCCTACGGGCTCGTTTTCCCACTGATTATTTCTCGTTTTCCCAAACTTCCACGCGTGTTTCTATTTAACAATTAGACGAGTCCGAGTTGTCTATGAGCGAATAGTCAACGAAGGCGAAGCCTGATTTGACTATTCACTCATAGACAACGAAGAGAGAAAATAGACTGACGACAAAACTGATCGTGATCCACCGGACAATTATTCTGAAGCATGAATTTCAACATACACGATGTATTGCGTGGGTGGTGAATAGTTTGATTTTATACCTTGCTTCTGAATGTCATATCTCAATGAAGCATGCACTAGAACTAATAAAACATATTTTTATTGGTTTGAGAAGTACTCACCAATTTGATGATAAATTCTTCCCTTTTTAACTCAACTCATATTCTAAACGAGAAAATATTGCAGGTATGGTTGAGTTTTTATTTGACAATCTAAAACTGCCATCACCAACAAAACGAGACGAGACGCCCTATTATCCACAACTATATTTATTTATACACAAAGCTTCTGTTTTCGTAACGAATTTTAGTAAATTGACTGTCCTTTGAAAATCATGTTATAGTACTTTCAGTAATGAAAGCCATGCACCAGTTTCCACAAATATCAAATTTTGAAAAAAACGTTACCATCTTTTGAAAGATCTTGCACGGGAGAAGTGCCGGTCAAATAGACAAATACCCAACATCAAAATACACGTTCAGCCTACAGATTAATGCCGCTATGCGAGTAGAAAAATATCGTGAAGGTGGATATATATTTTTGTCAATCACCCAAATAAAGTTTTCATGTATCAGATAAAATAGGAAAGATAAATAATAAAGAATAAAATGACGCGTCATTAACTGCGATGAACCAAACAGTGCTGGTTCATTAAAACTGAGAGCTATGTAAATAACTTATTTCAAGAAAAATATATTGAGTAAAAGCTTCGGTTTCCGAAATGTTTTTTCTCTTAATAAATTGACTGAGGCTACTCTGTAAACGCTGTTTAAGTGAAAAGCTAATTTTAAGGAAAATATACTGAAACTTTATTTTTAAACACACTAAAGGATATCTAATAGAATTACGTATAATATAAATGTATATTAGCTACTTAATTACAGTTCTGTATTGAAATATATGAATGTATTACTTACAGTTACAAATGTAAAAGCTGTGCTATCCAGAAACCACGCCAAGCCCAGACTCGATTCTGTATGAAAAGATATTCCAATTGCTTAATGTTATATTCTTGTAGTGAGCTACAACGACATGACGTGTCCATGCAAATCTTAATTAAAAAATTGCTCTGCTTAGCTTGACGTCTTAATAGCATTCCAGTGATCAAACTGAGCTCTACATGAGTGCTTATAATCACTTAGTCCAAATAACGTCTTAGTTGACAGTTTTTTCTTCTCAATTCAGGATATTAATACTAAACTTAGAGTATTCAAATACGAATTAATATCTGATACCTGCTTTGAAAAATTATACTTTACATCTACTGCCTTGTATTATCTATCAATGTGATCACATAAGACATGCCTTTGAGAAGACAAGACTGGACAAAAACCGCTGGTATAAAAATTTTCTGAAAATAATGTTAATTCGTAGTTATTCGCACGGTACTGTCGTAAATTGACTGTCCTTTGAAAATTATGTTATAGACTTATAGTACTTTCAGTAATGGAAGCCATGTGTCAGTTTCACAAATACCTAACTTTGAAACAAACAACAAACGTTACCATCAAATTAGTATCTTAAAACAAACGTCATTATATATTTGCACATTCGTTTGGGCCCAGCCTGACTCTGTTTAAGACTATAGGATTGAAAATCCCTGATAATCAGATTTTGCACCCGTGAAGTGCTAGTCAAATACCCAACATTAAAATACACTTTCAGCCTACAGATTAAAGCCACTATGTGAGTAAAAAAATATCGTGAATGTGGACAAGTTCTTTCTGTCAATCACCCAAAGTTTTAATGTATCAGATAAAATAGGAAAGATAAATAATAAAGAATAAAATGACGCGTTATTAACTGCGATGAACCGAACAGTGGAAGTTTTATTAAAACTAAGAACTATGTAAATAAGTTCTTTCAAGAAACCCAAATATGTTGAATAAAAGCTTCATTTCCGAAATTGATGAATTTCAACATCCGCCATCTATTGCGTGGGTTGCCTCTGAATGTCATATCTCAAAGAATCGTGCGTCAAAAACTAATAAAACATATTCTTATTTGAATATAACCAGGGAGCAGCTTGGCAGCGTCTTCAAACAACTTATAAGTTAAATATAATCTACTTGCATGTGTATAATGAAGGGTAGACACAAAAAATGATGATGCCTTATGACTCATCAAAATAAACTCAGGGGCCACGGCTAAACTGATCGTGTCTTTTTTCTGAAGCTTGAATTTCAGCATACGCCATCTATTGCGTGGGTGGTGAACAGTTTGATTTTATTCCTTGCTTCCGAATGTCATATCTTAAAGAATTATGAGATATTTCAACAGTGGAACACCAGCCAAGCAATGTGGGAGACTAGTTGAACGACGCAGTGCATGATTTTTAATTTCGTATCAAATAAACAAAACTCATTTCATTCCACTGTTAAAATTACATTTCAAATTCTAGAGCTTAGAGGTGAAGCAAAAGCTAAACGGCTTCTTTTGCGAGGTGATTTTTTTAAATTCTGATCATGATGGTAAGCTAATAATCATCGAACGTCAACAGTGGACAATCAAGTTTCGCCTTCTGTGTCTGTGGGGGTGGTTTAGACATAAAAAATACTTGAATTTAGGTGCATGCAGGGAGAGATAAAAATTTTTTTTTTATTTCAATATATGTTCAGTTTTATTTACTCAAGCTCGCCGCTATATGTACATTAATACCGCTATATATGTACAATAATTTATATTAATTTTGGTATGCTGTGTAAAAAATCACCCAAGACATACATGTAAGAAAACGAGACTTGTCAAAGGCGCGCGTATAAAACTTCGAACTATTTTTAACAACCCATTCTGAATATGATTTTTTCAACCAGGCACAAGAGAGTACCATCGAATGGAATTTTCCTTAGTATTAGGAATTTACCATTGGGTTTGTAGGCAAAATTAACGTTCAATTAAAATAAAATATGTTAAATTTAATCTACTTGCATGTGTGTAACGAAAGATAGACACGAAATATGACAATGTCTTATGACACATCAAAATAAACTCAGGGGCCAGGGCTAAACTGATCGTGACTTTTTTCTGAAGCATGAATTTCAGCATACGCCATCTATTGCGTGGTTGGGGAATAGTTTGATTTTGTACCTTGCGAATGTCATATTTCACAGAATCATGCATCAAAACTAATAAAACATACCCTAATAGATCAATGAATTGCTCACCAACTTGATGATATATTCTTTACTTTTCAACTCATATTCTACACGAGAAAGATAAATTACAACTGCTTTTATTTCAAGTGTGATTATTATTTCGAAAAAGAGAAACTTTCCAAAGTGAATAAAATTGTCTCACACCCACACAATCAGCGAATGCTGTGAAATACGTAATTTACATGCATTCCACAAAATTAATAACAAGTATCTCAAAACATGCAGGCGTCATTTCGTGTGATCGTTTTGGGCAATTATTTTCGGAGAAGTTTAGTAATCAATGCCATATGCATTGTCAAGGGTTTTCCGTGATTCTCGTACTGTAGGTTTTACTTTTTTTTTGCTCAGTTTTATAAGGACATGCAAAAAAGCATGCCTTTTGGCAGATTTAAAAAATGTTTCCCTAATTTCCCCTCAAAAGAAGCCACTCATTTGTCTTTAAATGCGGGCTTTCACTTTCGAAATATATATGAGTCGACTCACAAATTCAATGCAGTACACTTCAGTGAAACACAAGCCAAGCGAAGTGGGAGACATGGTGAACGACGCAGTGCGCGATTTTTAATTTCGTATTAAATAAAGAAAACTCATTTTGCCGAATATTCCACTGGTAAAATTACTTTTCAAATTCTAGAGCTTAGAGGTGAAGCAAAAGCAAAACGGCTTCTTTTGCGAGGTGATTTTTGGAGCACCCTTTAATTCTGATCATTGTGGTAAGCTATTAATCATCGCACGTCAACAGTGGACAATCAAGTTTCACACATAGTATGGCGGTCGCCTCCTGTGTCTGTGGGGGATAGCTTAGACATTTAAAAATATTTGAATTTAGGTGCATGCAGGGAGAAAATTATTTCGTTTCAATATATATATATATATATTATATATGTTCAGTTTTATTTACTCAAGTTTTATGTACAATTAATACCGCTATATAGGTACAATAACGTAAATGCTATAGTTGATTGATATTTGAGAGTTAAGGAATTCTTTTCTCGGTTTTGATTTTAGGTTAGTTTGAAATAATGATACCATGATATATTCGATGATATATTTCCCTTTCAAATCGGGAAAGTAGTTTAAACGAGGAAGAAACTTCATTTATATTAATTTTGCATGCTGTGTGAAAAATGAGTATAGGGTGAACGTGGCCTAAATATGATAACATAGCAATTTACTTTACAAACAGGAAAGTAAACCGAATCCATACAAATATTCGTTTTGATTTGGGTCAGAACGGGATCTGACGATTTTGACGCTTTAATAAAATAATTGAATACTCGATAGCTCTATCTAAGGTATAACCCGGCCTTTTTGTTACTTAATGCAGATATCGATCGAAACTGATAGGTCTGTAGCGCAAGTCGTAGTGTAGTGGACGCAAACATCGTCTGGTGGTATATATAGGTAAAATTACCTAAACATTTTATTTCAAATAATTTGAAAGATTCTTAATAAATAACCGATAAATTGAGCAGCAAGTCGCTGTATTTACAGGAAGAAATATGCTTGAAAATGTTACTCTATTTAACTGAAAGGTTTTGTTTTCGTTATGAATTTTTATACCTTAGTTAACCGTCTAAATTCTTGCGTATCAATTTCCCTCATTCGAAAGAAAATTCATGATAGTCTCGACCGTGATAATATAGAAAAAACATAATTATGCATGTATATACGAATACGTATTACTTACAGATATATCAAGGCTGTTGTGTCGCCAAACTTCATTTAACCAGATTCAAGTATGTTTTAAATAGCAGTTCGAATTGCTTTATATTTTATATGCACAGGCCGGAAACTGTTATGAGATGACGTCTTCAGTTGAATCTAAAATTAATGAAAATGGCACAGCTTGATGTCTCAATAACTTAGCAGTTAAACCGACTTCTAAGTGCTAATTAAAATTTTCATTGTTCAAGTAGCTAAATTATCGCTTAGTTGAAGGCTTTCAATTTTTCCATGTTTGATGCCAAACGTTCCATACTTGTCAATAATAATGTATTTTTTCTGTATAAGTATATCTGTATTCATGTATAGGTATATCTGTCTTGTGTGCCGGATCAGTCATGCATTCCATGAATGACGAGTTTTGAAACAAATAACACTTTCATATATAGTTCTCATAGAATCATGCGTCAATCAAAACTAATAAAACATACCCTAATAGATTGATCAATTGCTCACCAACTTGATGATATATTCTTCACTTTTTAACTCATATTCTAAACGAGAAAGATAAATTATAACATGAAATTTATATCATGCTGACTCTGCGATCTATACTGGTCTTGTTATTCTGTGCAAGATATATATGATGCCTTCAAATACCTACCAAGTAAATTCGTATTTTTCGCCACTCACTTATTTCAAGTGTGATGATTGTAATGGCTGCATTATATTTCGAAAAAGATAAACTTTCCAAAGTGAATAAAATCGTCTCACACCCACACAATCAGTGAATGCTGTGAAATGCATTCCACAAAATTAATAACAAATATCTCAAAACATGCAGGCGTCATTTTTGTGTGATTGTTTTGTGCAATTACTACCCAGATTTGATGTTTTATACAATATGTATCCCTCAATATTAAATTCAGCGATGGCCTACTCGTAAAATAGGGAGCATAAAATGTTTACAGGGCAAGTCCAAATCAAATAATCCCCCGCGCTACTTTGATCGACTCAACAAAAGCACTACGGGAGATACTGTGATTGCGACAATAAATTTTCGTGTGAAATGACCTTTTCAGCTCATTTTGCCCCGGCAGAAAAGCATGTTTACATGATTAGTATGAAATATTCATATGAGTTCAAATGTTTAAATGAGTTACTTACCAACTTGATGATCTACTTCTTACTTTCAACTTCAATTGTAAAGGCGAAAACAATGATTGTGTTATCGACTGGCTTGGTTGTGACTATAACAACTTGTGACGCCCCCCACAAGTCAGCATCGCAAAAACAAATCTCGGCTGTAAATTAAGCCTCTTACAGACGAACAAGTTTTCTATGACAAGTTTTTATATGACAAGTTTTAATTGCCAATTGCACATGTGTATGTACAACAAATTTTCTATGACAAGTTTTTCTTTGACAAGTTTTATTTATTCATTATAAATCAAGTATACTTGATTTTAAACAAGTGTACTTGTCATAGAAAAAATTGTCAAAGTTGGGCGTACAGACGAACAATTAAAACTTGTCACATAAAAACTTGTCATAGAAAACTTGCTCGTCTGTAAGAGGCTTAATTCAACGATATAGTTTAAATGGTCATCCGTCACCACTCCTGCAAAACAAGTTTTGAATGTCACATCTCAGAGAACCATGCGTCAAAAACAAATATGATATATTCGTATACAGGTTTATGAAGTACTCACCAACTTGATGATATATTTCTCACTTTTTAACTCATATTCTAAACGAGAAAGATGATTTATAACATGAAATCTATATATCATGGGCTACTGGCCTTGTCGCTGTGTGCACGAGGGAGAGAATGGTCGTTTTGAAATGCTAACAAGGGAATTTTCATTTTTAACAACACGGGTGTCTCTGCAACTGGAATAGACGCTTTGAATGTGTTTGTGTTATTTCAGAACAAAATTTTAAATATTTGAAACCGACAAAGATATAACCAATTGCGAACCCAGCTTCATGAATAACAATGGCGAATTAGTTTTCATTTGCAGCAATTTAATTAAATATTAATCGAAAATAAAGCTTTGAAATTAAAAGAGAAAGTTCTGAGATATTTACGATGTGCTTCTTCTCACAGGAGCATCAGTGAGTGAACACATATACTCAAATGCATAGAAAAACTTTTTTTAATATCAGACAATATAAAATAAAAAGCAAATGAACTTATTACTTGATAAGTGTGATGTATCGTATTCTTAGATAAAAGAGAGAAAGAAGAGCGAAAGTAAAATGAAAATTGGGACATAAATTCAGCGATAACGCCTCTCGTTCCCGGAAACTTTAAGCTTCAACTCCGTATATTATTTCTTAATTTCTTAAATTTCTTAAATGATCTGCAGAAATAACTGGATGGGTCAGTCGTAGTAAGATTATTATTATAGTCTCTATGCTCGAATACCTGACCAATGTGCATCTCTTATTTAACTTGGGTTTCGTTCTCCTGTGATCTGTTGTGGAGACCAAGAACGACTGTGAATCTTCGTGGTCGAACTACAACACCGGTCCTTTGATGCAAATTGCGATGGGTTGATGTATGTACATTTAGCAAAACAAATTCTTTAACTCGCCTTTGTAAGTGATAAGGCTGTCTCTAAACATCTTCTCGAATCTTTAATTTAAGAAATCATCTTTAGGATCTCTGATCCTTCCCACTAGCTCAAAAGCTAATTACTAATGCTGCTTTGATGTTCCCAAATCCCTACAGTACGTGAATGTGTAAACCTCGTTCATCATATTACTCCAATCCTCTGCTGTTAATTGTTCCTGCAAGCGAGTAAACAAACGGTTCTGATTGGACTAATTTGACCGCTTTATTTTGCTAGATTACAGCTTATTGTGTTTTACTGACTAAGGTCATGTGCACACGTTAACGTTTTCGAGCGTTTTAACATTCGTTAAGAGGCTGTTTACGTGATCCCGCTTGGCCGAGATTCAACGAAGCGTGAGATGACTTTGTCACTTTGAGGTATTGAAATGAATATATAACATGATTCTGGTCGTCGTGAAGTCATTTCTGAAGTGTAATTAACGCATTTCTAAAAACATTTGAACACATTTCTAACGACCTACCATGACAAAAATAAAACACAATAATTGTGGCAAATCATTGCACAGTTTCCTGGCCTTATTTGTCTGCTCTCAAATCTGACTTCATTCTTCCGAGATTTTAATTGTACATTTTCAAGGTTACCAGGTGAATAATTGATGACATTTCTGCGTCTAAATTAGGGTAAAAAAGTTTAGTTTCACTTTAAACATTGGCCCAATTTCAAAAAGCATCGTACTTCATCAATTTCAATGACAATTATATTTTCGCCCCATCACTAGGCATCCAATTTAGCACGATATTTTTGGGTTCGCGACGTAATAACACGAGTTACACGACGATTGTCTTTACCACTGGGCCAACAGATCTTGAAATCAACAGCTATATTTATCTAACTTACCTAAATCTTCTCTTTTACGTCATGATGAAACACTTTCACCATGCAGCATTCGAACCATCAATTTGGAAGTTGCGCGACCGGCCATTGTCGTCATTGCTCTAGACTATTTGCTCTTGAGATAACTGACGTTATTTTTATTTTACTTAAACCATTTTTCAAGTTCATAATGAAAAACATTCCTTTCATAATTTAATCCTTCCACTTAAGACATGCGAGAAACCAAAAACTACGACGCCATAGTTAAACTTGCAAGAAGAGCCTCTTTCCTCGAAACAGGACAAGAGAGCGAGAACCGATAGATTGGCGTGTCACGCAGTGGATGCGACTCCAAAAGCCGGAAGCTCAGTATATATGATATTGCTCTATGTGGTGATTGTGGGATTATTATTTGTTCACTGCGACTGCGCGGGGTTTCTTTATACTAAACTCAAACTTTTCATTGTTTTCCAGTAGTGTTTAAGTATGTCATTGGGACCCTGGTTGGAGATTTCGATTCCGGAGGTAGAATCTGTTGGGGCAGACGCCATTGTGGATGTTGAAGACGCAGAGGTTGGTAAGAGGCCAGCTAACTTTTGTGTGACTGCCTCGGTAACCGAAGACACCAGTGTTGAGATAAGCTCACTCGAAAGAGAGGGCAAAGCCACATCACTCACGGGCACAGTTGACGTTGACGGGGTGGTACCAACAGATACAGCATTGGGCGAACTTCGAGTTCGGCGAGATGTTGTTGGTTGGTTCTGAACAGACTCTCGCAAAACGGCTGATGGAGCGGCGACACGCTTAGAACGACGCACGGGTGGCATTCTAAAAAATAAAACTTTAAAAGCAGAAATAGATACTTATGGCGTGATGACTTAAAGATAGTAAAGCAACCGCACCCAAATTTTTGTCGTTGTGCGAGAAATAAAACTATCCCCCGTAAGGCGAACATTCAATAGTGAGGATTCGTTCGTTATTAGTTTTGTCGTAATTGAAAGTTGGAATGTGTGAAAGAATGATTATAAAACGTCAGCAGGATGAACATGGCAGATCCGAAGATCGCCGCACCATTCACCCTATGGCCAACAAAAAACTCACAAAAAGTGTGAGAACTCTCATATAGAGGAGAGATAAAATCAAACGTCAGCAGGATGAACATGGCAGATCCGAAGATCGCCGCACCATTCACCCTATGGCCAACAAAAAACTCACAAAACATGTGAGAACTCTCATATAGATGAGAGATAAAGACAAAGTCAAACGTCGGCAGGATGAACATGGCAGATCCGAAGATCGCCGCACCGTTCATCATATGGCCAACAAAACTCACAAACAGTGTGAGAACTCTCATATAGATAAGAGATAAAGATAGAATAGATAAAGGCGCTAAGGCGCTTCATAAGAAGTAATCACGAGTAAAGTTTGTCAAATTTCAAGGTTATAGAAAAGTAAATGTAACGTACGACATGCAGCTTGTTATATATATATAGAGAAAGAATTTTATAACATTTTAATTGCTTGAAGAATTGCCCCCCGATAACTTCGGTATAATTTATATTGCCCGATTCTATTAAAATGGACCCCGTCAGGTAGAAATGGCGTCACGGAAGGTCGTATAAAGCCATGGTGTGTCCATAAAAACACTCTCGGAACCTTCTCTAAAACTACCTGTAGGTAATTATTTAGCATTAAACGCTGCTTTTCAAAAAGAGGGTTGTTCTTTCGCGGGGAAATCAGGCATACGCATACCAATTTAACGCGATATTGATCTAGCATTAGAGCAACCAAGTCGTCAATGCGTGAACCGACTGTTTCGGGCCTTAAAGCGGACAAATCGTTCGTGCCTATCTCCAGAATAACAATATCTGGGGCACACCGAGAAACTACCCCTAAATCAAATTTGCGGATCTTCTCCACTGTTCTACCCCCTATACCGTGTAGATAAACTCTCGCTGTGCCCTTGAGTTTAAAAGTCGGGCACATGCGAATATCCCGCTTACGTTTCAGGTCGCACTGTAGGCGACGAACAAATGAGTGTCCCAGGACCAAAACTTTTGGGGGTACCATTGTGTATTCGTAGCTACTATATGTATATGTATATTAATATATAAATATATAGCAAAACAAATAGAACACTTCTGTAAATACCTTTCAACTTTCAAGGAGCTCTGTCTTTTGCGATGTCACGCTTAAACTGACCGTTTGTGGTTTGGGTATTCGGTCTTTGTTAGTTTTCGATTTGCTGCTGGCCATTCACCACCTTTCCCATATTGCGTGCCATCCATTACCTGTCGGTCTTTTAGATAAGACGCAAAGCCCATAATATAAGATTTTTAATTATCGTCGGCAAGGCGTATCCCCTTGGGGGTACACCTTGCCTTAGTAGTCTATTTATAAAATCACATTACATAAATTTCTTATTTCCTTCGTAAATATTTTGTTTTATATTGGAAAATTGCTCCATACATCATAAGAATAAAATAGATTAGGTTTTATAATTGTATTATACATAAAAAGATTACTAAGAATTCAATAAAAATTCTTAACCATGCATGTCTTTGTATTGAATATTAGGAAGCATTTTTGACTATCCAAGCGTTGAAAACGAAGTAACGCGTAAAAACTTCATGAATTTCATTATGAAAGCGTTCGATATTCTGGACAGGTCGAACATGCAATAACAAACCCTGGTTGAACACAGTTTCCTGCACACTAGTATTTTCCATCAGTTTCATCTCATGCAAGAGGCAATAAACTGGGCTAACTTGTATCTTTTTTATTTATTGCTCCATATCATAAATATAAAATAGATTAGGTGGGGGCAATTTGGGTGGGGTGATTTTTGGCACTTCACTCAGGTTTTATAATTGTATTATTCGTAAAAAGATTACTAAAAATTCAATAAAAATTTTTGACTATGCAGGCTGGATTCGACCAATTTTCAATGATGTTCTTGTTTGCCGCCATTTAAAATGAATTTCGAATCTTGTCAATTTTGTATTTCTAAGAGTAGTATTCCCATGTTTAATTTTAAAATTTATCCCGCAGTCACGAAAAGTTTAACGCCGAATGCATGTATAATTCGTGCTAAACGTATTTGATATATTTTCTGTCAATTTTCGGCGATCACAAACGCATTTTAGTGATATGGCAGTTGAGAAGAGATTATTAGGTAATGGAGTATCCCAAACAAGTCTTTTTTCAAGGGTTCACTACTGAGGTTCAACTATGCTTAATTTTATAGTCTTTTGAGGGGGGCTCAGCCATGTGCACATGGCCGTGGTTCAGTTCGTCTGTTTTCAAGATCGTTTTTATCTAGTTTATCGCTTTGAAGCTCGATTAATATGATCAAAGGGAACTGAATATTCTGAGGCAAATGTTAAGTTAGCTTTATTGTAAATTAACGGTGTTTGAAACCCTTTTGGCGTAAAAGCGAAAATGTTACCCGGTTCCAGTTTACGAATACGGGTGACGTACACAAACCCGTGTCCGGAGAATGGAAAAGGAATTGTAATTTAAGAGATTGTGGAAAAGACAGTTTAAAGCGGTTCACCATGCAGCATATAATATCATTAAAATTTTAGGTTGTTCTGGACTTATAAAATTTGATCATAAAGCAATAAATCTTGAATGAAATTTCGATTTTAAGGCTATCATAGAACTGTCTACTATTCTGATCGTGTTGGTAAGAGAAAGGTTTAATACAGCAATATATTGAAAATGTTTAATGATTAACGAGTGTTCCATGTGACAAATTCAACTTCGTGCGATTTCAAGACGCTTTGCCGTGTCGTCTGACAATCATCAATACTTTATAATATTTATTTACAATCTATCTGTGCTTAGTATAAAATTATTATGGTTATCAACTTGTACTCTCACCGTCCCGTCGTAAAATGCACTATGATGGTTAAGCCTTCTTATTCAGCATTCGTTGGAGAGTTTGATAATTTGCATTATATTGAAATTTGCGATGCATGTTATAATATTCGTGTCTGTTTATAGCATATTATATGTTATGATGAAGCCACGCGCAAACGACTGCGATTTTAGTCGGCAAACATCAAACTGTTTTGATACATTCAGATTGCTGTCAGCCGAAAAAAGTCCCCAAAAATGACATCACGCATGCAAATATTTAGTCGGCCGACTTAAATCGTACGACAAAAATTGCGTCGTGTGCGCCTGGCTTTACTCCGTGCGATTGAAATATTTCTCTTTATTTTGCTTGAGGATATTGTTTAATAAATCAACTGTTGCTATCATGAGCAAAAACAGCTAGGATGATGTTGTGTGTTTTGAAATAATTTTATGGCCCTCGCTTGTTAATAAATTTATGAGGCATCCAAACGAGGCATTTTTAAGCGGAATCTGGTATGTATTATTTCCTGCGGGGAATAGCAATGATTCTTGGAAGCGAAATTCATGGCTGCACACAATACTCTCTGGTCGCAATGAGAAGAAGTTCAACTATTATGGTAGGATCCTAACAGTTCCAACAGGATTTCATAATACGATTTAAAATAATGGCTAGCATCTTCGAAATCTTCTTTCTCAAAGCAAACTGTGCCAAGATAGAAGTTGGAACGAAGAACATCCTTATGAATTGGTCCTAGTTTCTCTAATTGAATATTTAGTGCCTGTTGAAGATAATCTCTGGCGTGATCTAAATCCCGTTTTGATAGGCACACAACACCCAGTTGGAAGAATCAAGAAGCAACATCAACATGGTTTGGTCCGAATTGCTTCAATCGAATTTTCAGCGCACGTTGATGATAATCACTAGCTTGGTCCAAATCACCTTTATCCTTACACAAGTTACCCAGGTTGTAGTATAAACTAACAAGTTCAACATGGTTTGGCCCAAATTGTTCTAACAGAATTTTCAGCGCTCATTGATAATAGTCATTAGCTTGCTCCAAATCACCTTTATCTTTACACACATTACCCAGGTTGTTGTATAAATTAGCAACGTCAACATAGTTTGGCCCCAATTGTTCTAAACGAATTTTCAGCGCTCGTTGATAATAATCATTAGCTTGCTCCAAATCACCTTTATTTTTACACAAAATACCCAGGTTGTTGTATGACTTAGCAACTTCAACATGGTTTGGCCCCAATTGTTCTAACCGAATTTTCAGCGCTCGTTGATGATAATCACTAGCTTGCTCCAAATCACCTTTATTGTTACACACATTACCCAGGTTGTAGTATGAAGTAGCAACGTCAACATGGTTTGGCTCCAATTGTTCTAACCGAATTTTCAGCGCTTGTTGATGATAATCACTAGCTTGCTCCAAATCACCCTTTTCAAGACACAAAGTACCCAGGTTGTTGTATGAACTAGCAACGTCAACATGGCTTGGTCCTAATTGTTCTAACAGAATTTTCAACGCTCGTAGATAATAATCACTAGCTTGATCCAAACCACCTTTCTTCTCACACACCATACCAAGGTTATGTAATGACTTAGCAAGGTCAACATGGTTTGGTCCTAATTGTTCTAACTGAATATTCTGCGCTCGTTGATGATAATCACTAGCTTGCTCCAATTCGCCTTTATCCGCACACACAACACCCAGGTTGTTGTATGAACTGGCAACATCAACATGCTTTGGCCCCAATTGTTCTAACAGAATTTTCAGCGCTCGTTGATAATAATCACTAGATTGATCAAAATCACCCTTTTTATGATGCAAAATACCCAGGTTGTTGTATGAATTAGCAACATCAATATTGTTTGGGCCCAAATGTTCCAACTGAATTTTCAGTGCTCGTTGATGATAATCACTAGCTTGCTCCAAATCACCTTTCCCCCTACACACATTACCCAGATTGTTGTATGACGTAGCAAGGTTAACATGGTTTGGCCCCAATTGTTCTAACTTAATTTTCAGCGATCGTTGATGATAATCACTAGCTTGATCAAAATCACCCTTTCCATGACACAAACTACCCAGGTTGTTGTATGAAGTAGCAACGTCAACATGGTTTGGTCCCAATTGTTCTAACTGAATTTTCAGTGCTCGTTGATAATAATCACTAGCTTGCTCCAAATAGCCTTTATCACGACACACATTACCCAGGTTGTTGTAAAAATAAGCAACATCGTTATGATTTGACCCGAAGTGTTCCAATTGAATTTTCAGCGCTCGTTGATAATAATCATTAGCTTGCTCCAACTCACCTTTATTCTCACACACAACACCCAGTTGGGCGAATGAAGAAGCAACATCAACATGGTTTGGCCCCAACTGTTCTAACTGAATTTTCAGCGCTCGTTGATGATAATCACTAGCTTGCTCCAAATCACCTTTATCACTACACACAATACCCAGGTTGTTATATATACTAACAAGGTCAACATGGTTTGGCCCCAATAATTCTAACTGAATTTTCAGCGCTCGTTGATAATAATCATTAGCTTGCTCCAAATCACCTTTATCACTACACACATTACCCAGGTTGTTATATATACTAACAAGGTCAACATGGTTTGGCCCCAATAGTTCTAACTGAATTTTCAGCGCTCGTTTATAATAATCATGAGCTTGCTCCAAATCACCTTTATCACTACACACATTACCAAGGTTGTTGTATGAAGCAGCAAGCATAACATGGTTTGGCCCCAATAGTTCTAACTGAATTTTCAGCGCTCGTTGATAATAATCATTAGCTTGCTCCAAATCACCTTTATCTTTACACACAATACCCAGGTTGTTGAATGACTTGGCAACGTCATCATGGTTTGGCCCTAATTGTTCTAACCGAATTTTCAGCGCTCGTTGATGATAATCATTAGCTTGCTCCAAATCACCTTTCTTCTCACACACAATACCCAGGTTGTTGTATGACCTAGCAACGTCGACATGATTTGGCCCCAATTGTTCTAACCGAATTTTCAGAGCTCGTTGATGATAATCACGAGCTTCCTTCAAATCACCCTTATCTTTACACAGATTACCCAGGTTGTAGTATGAAGTAGCAACGTCAACATGGTTTGGCCCTAATTGTTTTAACCAAATTTTCAGCGCTCGTTGATAATAATCATTAGCTTGCTCCAAATCACCTTTCTTCTCACACACAATACCCAGGCCGTTGTATGACCTAGCAACGTCAACATGCTTTTGCCCCAATTGTTCTAACTGAATTTTCAATGCTCGTTCATGATAATCACTAGCTTGCTCCAAATAACTTTTATCACTACACACACTACCCAGGTTGTTGTATAAACTAGCAATAACAGTATGATTTGCCCCGAATTGTTCCAATTCAATTTTCAGCGCTCGTTGATAATAATCACTAGCTTTCTTCAAATCACCCTTCCTATGACACCAAGTACCCAGGTTGTTGTATGACTTAGCAACGTCACTATGATTTGGTCCTAATTGTTCTAATTGAATTTTCAGCGCTCTTTCATAATAATCACAAGCTTGCCCCAAATCACCTTTATTGCTACAAACAACACCCAGATTGTTGTATGAGGCAGCAATGCCACTATGATTTGGCTCCATTTGTGCTAATTCAATTTTCAGTGCTCGTTGATGATAATCACTAGCTTCCTCCAATTCACCTTTCGCATGGCACAAAGTACCTAGGTCGCTGTAGCAACTAACAAGGGCAATATGGTTTGGTCCAAATATCTGTAACATAATTTTTAGTTCTTGCTGGAAAATTTCCATCGAGAGGGAAAACTCGGAAAAGTGACATAGAGTTCTTCCAAAAAAACTATACATATGCAAGCTCGTTAAGGATATGGTTTGATTTGGAAACAATCTATTAATTTCTGTTAAAAATGCTTTCAAATGTGGAATCATTTTAATCTTATCTTTCCTGTCTTCGAAAGAATACAATGTTCTTGTGACGTTGTTAATTACTTTTCTTACATTTTGCTCTTCATTTGGTATTTCAGCTTTTGATGAATCGCCAATGTCAGTTTTTTTCAAAAGATAACGAAATTTGATCGCATTATGGACAACACGATGCAGGCGTATATCACCGTCTTTATTCCCAACATGAACAAACAACGAGCAGTGTTTTATTGCAAGAATTATATCCTCGGCCTCAAACTCGTCTTCTTGCTGCTGAATGTATTTTACAACAAGATCAAGTGGTAGTGGTTCAAACGATATCAAAGAGAAAAGGTTGAATGCATGTCCAAGAATTTTGTCTTCTTCGGCGCATTTTGTAACAGCTAAAAGCACAGCTGCACTCATGGTGGATGAATATGCTGCAGAATTTGTCTGCCGAAGACGCTCTTCTGTTAATTCTCTTCTCCCTTTTTCAAGCTTTTCAAAGTAATCTCGCCAAGAAAAATCTGGGAGACTCTCGATGACTTGGCCCATATACGCGGCTGCGGCAGCCATTGCCAACGGTTGACAATCTAATTTCTCCGCGACCTCATCTAGTAATGGATCATTGACGTCTGTTCGTGATAACAGGGCAAGAAGCTGGCGACACTCTTCGTCATTCATACCGAGACTAAGTGAAATATGTTTACTTGACCAGCTGTCGGAAGGAACTGCATTTGTGTTTTGTGTCGTCACTATGATTTGACCGTTATTCCAAACATCGTCGCCCATCAGAGGCAGTAGTGGGGAAATGAGCTCGAGATTTTCCACATTGTCGACGATAATCCACCACTTCTTCCAATGCTTGATTCTGTTGGATATTTGCGATCTCAAATCTTTGATTTTCTCATCTTTTGGTTTAGAAGAGCTCAAAAGATCTTTTAAAACGCTTTCGTTGCAATTTAGCTTACGACAAAAATCTTCATAGGAATATAACAGAGAATCTAAATCTTTTCCGTTTAATGTCATTACAAACATTGCTTCGTCCTTCACATGAACATCTTTGCAAATATCTTCACAAACTTGTCTGGCGAGTTGAGATTTTCCACTTCCGGGATTCCCAGAGATGTAAAAATATGTAAGTTTGCCGTCGTTATCACAGCGCAACTTTTCAAGATCTTCTCCTATCTCGTGTATCTTGTCAGAACGAGACACGACTTTATGAGTTGGTTTGGGAGGTAGAACTTGGAAGGATTTATAGAGATTTTTTACTCGAACGACTTCGTTGCTTGACAGTCCTAATGCATTCAATGCATTTATAACATTTGTTGTCTTGGTTTGAAAGTCTGCATCATCCAGCGTTTTTTCAGGTTTATGAGTTATTTCATTTCGTAGTTTTCTCAGATTATCGATTTCAGTTTTTTGCGTTGGATTAAGCTTTGCACCAATCGATTTGGAAAAAAGAATTGCATCAAAAAGTACAGTACAATCCCACTCATTTGTATCTCCATGATTAAATTTGGACTGAAGCATTGATTTACTTGGTCTTGCTCGTAATTTCTCCAGATTAAACAACTGACTGCCACTTACGTTTGTGTCATCCCATGCTCCAAGAGAAGCCTGGTAACGTATGTTCCATTCCTGAATAAAGAAACTTCTTAATTCCTTCCTCACAACATCACTAACAATGTAGTCTGCTCGAATGAAGTTTTGTCTTTCCTCGCTTTCCCATGGAATACCAGACATTTTTCTATTCTAAAAATTGAAGAACGTTTTTAACTGTGATTCAATCTAAGAATCAGCTGTACCATGGTTGATTAATAAATTGAGAGTTGGGGAATTTCCCTTTTGGCTTCGATATTGCGTTCAACAAAAATAATGAATAATATCAATTTAAAACCTTGCACGTAACAGAAGATAGAAACGAGAAAAGTTTCAATATAAAACAGGAAATAAATAGACGACAAAACTGATCGTGATAAGACAGGCAATTATTCTGAAGCATGAATTTCAACATACGCCATGTATTATTGCGTGGGTGGTGAATAGTTTGATTTTGAATGTAATATCTCTTCTAAAATATGCGCCAAAATTAATACAACATAACCTTAGAGGTTTATGAAGTACTCACCAACTTGATGATAAATTATATTCTTCACTTTTTAATTCATATTCTAAACAAGAAAGATGAATTATTATCATATGAAATTTAAAACACTGATTATTCGGTCTGCTGCCTTTATATGCTGGCGTTGTGTGCAAGATAATGGATGTTTCGAAATACTTACCAAGCGAATTTGCAGTTTTCACCATTCATTTCGTATTGCGATTATGATTGTTACATATTAGTTCGGAAAAGAAGTCGGCGAAATATCGAGGAAACTTCTCTTGCAGTTGCTTAACGAATTTGAATAACTAGCCTTGTATAAGCAACTAATTGACAGTGGAATTTTCTTCTATGTTGCATTCAAATGAAATGAGATGTAATAAAATCGATTTGACAAACTTTTGTGTAACAGAATATAGAAACGAGCAATGTGTAAATATAAGAGAGAAAATAAATAGACGACAAAACTCAACGTGATATTTCAAGACAATTATTCTGAAGCATGAATTTCAACATACGCCATCTATTGCGTGGGTGGTGAATAGTTTGATTTTATACCTTGCTTTTGAATGTCATATCTCAAAGAATTATGCGTCAAAAACTAATAAAACAAACTCTGATAGATTTGTGAAGTACTCACCAACTTGATGATATATTCTTCACTTTTATAACATGAAATTTATATCATGCTGATTAAACAGGTCTTGTAATTTATATCATGTTACTAGGGCTTGTTGTTCTGTGCAATATAATATTCGTTTCGGAATACTTACCAAGTTTTCACCATTCATTTCATGTTGCGATTCTACTTGTTAGATTTTAGTTCGTAAAAGAAGATGAAATCGATGAAACGTCTCTCACACAACCCTCAACGAATTCGAATAACTAGCCTTGCAAGCAACTAATATATAATTGAAAGGGGAATTCCCTTTTTCTCCATATTGTATTCAAATGAGATGAGATGAAATGTAAAAATATTAATTAACAAACTTGTGTTGTTGTAACATCGCCACAAAAAATAATCCAATGATCTCTTTAAAACAAACCAGAAACAACTTTAATATTAAATTTTGCTAGAAAAACCCAACTAACCCTCGGGTACAAATCGCCCGACCTACTATTACCAATCTTCAGCCCTCGTATTCCGATTAAGGATAATATTTGTGGATTCTGGACATGGAATTCTTACCGACTCACCTGTCCAAAACAGAAAGACATATTATTGGTTTAACAAAAGCACGTATAGGTCATGTACACATGGGCGTGGTTTCGACTGTTTTCAAGATCGTTTTTATCTAGTTTATCACTTTGAAGCTCGGTTAATATGATCAAAGGGAACTGAATATGCTCCAAATGTTAAGTTAGCGTTAATTTCTATTCTAAATTAACGGTGTTTGAAACCCTTTTGACGTAAAAGCGAAGATGTTACAGAGTGTAAATAGAGTACAGCTAGGTTAAGATTCCCCGTTTCCAGTTTACGAATACGGGTAACGTACACAAATCCGTGTCCGGAGAATGGAAAAGGAATTGTAATTTAAGAAACTCAAAATATTCCGACGTAAGAAAACAGATCAGTTTGATCCGCGTCTCAGTGTTTGCCCGTGTGTACACACAGGCGAACTAGAAGACAAGCTATCTTTTGCTTGCCCCCAAGTTCGTCCAGACGGATGCTCCGTCGGACCAATATTCTTGAAAATGGTCGAATCCAAATGAATCTTTTTATAGCTTGTAAAATACACATTAATAATTTAACTTTAAGACTACAAGAAAATTCTGATTTTAATTTATTTCCGGCGAATTTTGTGGAAAAGACACTTTTAAAGCGGTTCACCAATATATAATATTATAAAAATTTTAGGTTGTACTGGAATTACAAAATTTGATCATAAATAAAAACAAAAATCTTGAACAAAATAAATCTTGAACAAAATTTTTCTTGCAGCAATGAAAAAATCGATTTTTATTAGGGCTTTCAAGCGGCTTTCCATTATCAACAACTTGTACTCTCGCTGTCCCGTCGTAAAATGCACTAGAACGCATGGATAAGCCTACTTATTCAGCACACGTTGGAGTGTTGTTGTTTGCGATGCATATTATAATATTCGCGTGTATTTATAGCATATTCAGTATGTTTGTTATGATTAGGCCAGGCGCGCATGACGCGATTTTTGTCCTACAAAAATCGCGTCGTGTGCGCTTGGCTTTACTCCCTGCAATTGAAATATTTCTCTTTATTTTGCTTGAGGATATTGTTTAATAAAGCAACTGTTGCTATCATGAGAAAAAATAGCTAGGATGAAGTTGTGTGTTTTAAATAATTATATGACCCTTTGTGAATAAATACATGAGGCATCTGAAACCGGGTTTGGAAAATTTTAAGCGGAATCTGGTATGTATTATTTCCTGGACATAGCGATGATTCTAAAATAATCGCTAGCATGTTCCAGATCTTCTTTTTCAAAGCAAACTGTGCCAAGATAGAGGTAGGAAAGAAGAACGTCTTTATGAATTGGTCCTAGTTTCTCTAATTGAATATCTAGTGCCCGTTGTAGATAATCTCTAGCGCTATCTAAATCCCGTTTTGAGAGACACAAAACACCCAGTCGGAAGAAGGAAGAAGCAACATGAACATGGTTTGGCTCCAATTGTTCTAACTGAATTTTTAGGACTAGTTGATAATAATCATTAGCTTGCTCCAAATCACCTTTATCCTTACACACAACACCCAGGTTGTTGTATGAGTTAGCAACGTTAACATGGTTTGGCCCCAACTGTTCTAATTGAATTTTCAGCGCTCGTTGAAAATAATCA